TCATCTCAACCCTAATCTCCAAAGCCTGGAGCAGAGCAAAAACACTCTACTATTCCACTCAATCTCTCCTTAATCATCGAGGTCAGTGTTCGTGACAAACCCCTTCTCAAAAGGAAACTCAGAAAATCAGAGAGCCAGCGAGACTGGGGGAGGATCTGACAGTTATGCATGTTACAACAAATTTCATATCTGAATTCCACATCCTCAGCACATCCCCACTGATCACCATATTCAGCAGATGGATGTGTGTGAAAGAAAGAAAGAAAGCAACATGAGGTGATGGTCGTGGATGAATGGCACAACAATGGGCCTCAGGACCTCATCATGGTATCTCTGTGCATTAAAAATGCCAAGAGAACACCTCTTCAAAGTGCCAGACGCCATCAAATGTGAGCATTTGCCCACTCAAGTCGGTTACGACGACGAACTGCAGTCAGATTGAGACCCTGATGAGGATGACGAGCATGCAGATGAGCTTCCCTGAGACGGTTTCTGACAGTTTCTGACAGTTTGTGCAGAAATACCTTTGGTTATGCAAACCGATTGTTGCAGCAGCTGTCCGGGTGGCTGGTCTCAGACGATCTTGGAGGTGAAGATGCTGGATGGGGAGATTCTGGGCTGGTGTGGTTATACGTGGTCTGCAGTAGTGAGGCCGGTTGGATGTACTGCCAAATTCTCTGAAACACCTTTGGAGACGGCTTATGGTAGAGAAAAAAGCCAGCAGCCATATCACCCTGTAGCCCAAGACTGGTTGCCCACTGAAGCTAAGCAGGGCTGAGCCTGGTTAGTACCTGGATGGGAGACCTTCTGAGAAAACCAGGTTGCTGCTGGAAGAGGTGTTAGTGAGGCCAGTAGGGGGTGCTCACCCTGTGGTCTGTGTGGGTCCTAACGCCCCAGTGTAGTGACGGGGACACTATACTGTCAAAGAGCACCGTCCTTCGGATGAGACGTTAAACCGAGGTCCTGACTCTCTGTGGTCATTAAAAATCCCAAGATGTCTTTCGAAAGAGTAGGGGTGTAACCCCGGCATCCTGGCCAAATTTGCCCAGTGGCCTCTGTCCATCATGGCCTCCTAATCATCCCCATATATATATATATACACTGATTGGCTTCATCACTCTGTCTCCTCTCCACCAGTAAGCTGGTGTGTGGTAAGCGTTCTGGCGCACTATGGCTGCCGTCGCATCATCCAAGTGGATGCTGCACATTGGTGGTGGTTGAGGAGATTCCCCCTTCCATGTGAAGCGCTTTGAGTGCCTAGAAAAGCGCTATATAAATCTAATGAATTATTATTATTAATTATAAATTAACATTCAATTCACGGGCAACAGCTCTGGTGGACATTCCTGCAGTCAGCATGCCAATAGCTGGGTTTCAGTCACGTGATTATGATGACGATTATGATGACGCGGGAAGGCGGGGCGATTTCAGATGGAGGGCAGGAAGTAAACATGGAGAATACGTCTATGGAGGAAACCGTTGCGGAGAGTCCGTATTGAGTCTAATTTACCTTGATCATTTAATGTCCCATTCCCACTGATCCCCTGAACGACAACCTAATGCTATATAAACACAGACACAAAAAAACACGTTGGCTAGCTAACATACCGTCGCTGCAGAGACACGGCATTAACAGACTCTGCTCCTCCCAAACCGCAGACGAAACGTTACGTTAAAAATCTACTTTTTACGTGGTTGTTCTGTGAGCTTTTTACATTTCTCACCTTTATGAATGACAATCTTTGGTACTCTATAAAAACCCTTTCCCTTTTCTCGATTAGAACGATTGGAGCCGCCGTAAACTACACAAAACATTTATGGCAGATCCTCAGCTATTTCACTTCCTGCCCTCCATCTGAATTTTCGCGCTCTCGCGATGCAGCAGCGTGACGTCACGTGAAACCAACCTATTGCACGCTCCCTCAAAACTTGCGACATCTGTGGCATTGTCCTGTGTGATGAAACTGCACATTTTAGAGTGACCTTTTATTGTGGCCAGCCTAAGGCACACCTGTGCAATAATCATGCTGTTTAATCAGTATCTTGATATGCTACACCTGTGAGGTGGATGGATTATCTCGGCAAAGGAGAAGTGCTCACTAACACAGAAATAGGCCTTTTGTGTACAAAGTCTTAGATCTTTGAGTTCAGCTCATGAAAAATGGGGGCAAAAACAAAAGTGTTGCGTTTATAATTTTGTTCAGTATAGTTGCTGTTATTTTGTAACTCTTTTTGAATTTACTACTAATTTAATTCACTACTCAATTTACTTCCCTAATTGATTTACCTAGTACATTTTAGATAATATTTTTTGTTCAACATTCTTGTTATTATGCCTATATTCTATGTGCTTTATATTTTGCACATTTGTTCAGCATGCCAATAAGAATATGAAGGATTGAATTTAGAAGGAACTAATCTCCATGATGGCTGCAAATAAACACCATATTTAATTCAAAACAGCACTATACAGTAATGTAAACATAAATTACCAACAACATTTAATTGTCCTTATAAAAGCATTCTTTTTACAATTTATTCACAGATGCACAGAGGGTCTCAGCTGAAACAACAATTGTTTTTTTAGTTTACAGTTTGTTCTCAACCAGATAATAGGCCTAGGCTATTAAAACCAAATAATTATAATTTAATAAAGATCAAAAACATATTTAAAAAAAGTTTAAAGGGGCAACATTTTAATAACATAAAATTTACTAGGACCAAATTCAATTTTCTCTCAGTGATGAAAGAAAAGGAGTCCAGACGAGACATTGGCGAAACTAAGTCCTGGCTGGGACAGATGCATATTGTAGCATCTTCTACAGTCTGAGCGCTCAGCGCTAACTCTGGTAATTATAGTCATGGAGACAGATGTGCAGAGCAGATGATGTTGGGGTAGGCTACACATCGTTGACCTTTTCCACGTATTGTACATGTCCATTAGACAGTTTCATGCATGTATAATACAGCCATTAGTAAGCGGGACACCAAGTCAGTGTCATCATGCTCTTGGTTTGATCTTTTCACCTCTAAGTAACACAGCTGCTTCCTGCTATTATGTAACTGCCGTGTTTATGTGTCCCATCAGAGCTGCATGTGTTCGCAGCCGAGCGTAGTGCGGCTTGATCGTAAGGAATTTTCAATTGTTGTTAGCTGGCTAAAGGTAAACGCCTCTGTCTTTGAGGCAATTTGCTCCATGAAGCGCTTGCGACTCAAATAGCATATCTGGCTCCACACTCATGGATTTCTTTTGGGCGGGAATGATCATGGATACAACCCAATTGCCTCAGTCGGGAGTCCCAGAGAAAATGACAGGAAAATTATTCTAAAATTATATTCAAACATCGCAACTCTTGTTTTAGCACAGATAAACAGGATGTCGCATGCAAAAGGAATATGAGATGAAAGTAATGTCCCAAACAAGACTAATTGGTTAAAACAAGCTAAAAAGCGGGAGGTTATGTATAATTTGACGCTACCGAAATACAATTATTTGATATTGCACTGTTTTAACAAGCAGCCTCTTGCTCTTTTATTCTCACAAAACACATTAAGATATCAGAGAAATTCCTGCAATTAACTGCAGTTATTTGTTTTCTGCTTTCAATTCTCAAGGAGAATACAGATATGATCTTTGTTGCCTAATCTAACCGAAATGGGTTTTAGGACATTTATAAACTGGCATTCACCGACAGAATATCGCATAAAGATGATGTATTATTCAACAGATGTCTCCACCACTTTACTCCGCCAGATATTGATGTGTTGGCCCTCCATATCCCAATTAATGGAGTCACCACAGACATTTATCCACAAATGTTTAGCATGCGGTTTATAAATGGCATCCTTTAGCAGTAAACAAATTCAGTGCCACAAATAATGAGAAATCAAGATTTGCACGTCAATTCTGCAGACCGACTTAGGGATTCACAGCATAGGCCTATACATCCGAAGGACTCAGAAGACAATACAAAGACCAGGACCTAGTCGGTCAGTGATCAAAGGGTGCTGCCCACCGACAGCAATGTGCATGTGCCGTCTGGGACGATACGTGCAAACATCAATGAAAGGAATGTAATAACAAGGATTAGAAATATCGGCCTTTAAAGCCCAAAGGACAAGCAATCAGCATTCTGCCATCCCAATGAGCAGTTCGAGGAGACCTATGCTAATCAAAGACTGTCTTTTACCCTTTCAATCCACTTCTAAACTACACAAGAGAATCGCCGTAAAAACAGCAAACACCAGAAACAGCTCTGTGAGGTTTGTTGTTCGCTGTTGGCCATGATGGATTGGACCGGCTCACAGCTGTGAGTCAAGCTGCATCCAAAAACAACCAATAGACGTCAGAGACTGTTTGGACATCCGGACCGCCAGACAATCTCTTGAGATAAACAGGAGTGGTTTCCAACATTCAATAATCAGTGGGGCTTAAGTGTGATGGAGGTCATTTATTTTATTTTATATAGCTGCAATGATTGACTGTGGTTGAAAAGATGCAGACAGTTAGATGCAGACACATGTTATCGATGTGATAAAGGATCTGGAGGCACGCTGCCTCCTACTGGTAAAACTACGGCGCAGCATTGTATGTTAGATGCATTTTAAAAAGGCATTAAATGTCAACTGAAGTAAATGCAAGAATCAGGCAAATATGCAAAAGTACTTTTTTAATCATCCATAGTGTTTAATAAAACACTGTCATTAAAGTGATCAAGAAAATATACACACGGCAAACTATACAACAGTACGGAAAAGACAAAAACATATCTATGTACAAGGCATTAAAATGCCATTTTAGTAACATTCAACAACAAAAACCTAATGACCTAATATATTGAACTGATAGGATGGTTTGTACTTTATCAGCTTTTGAAACATTGATGGGGGTCACTCGTTTGTATTTTGGTTAACTGATTTTTACATTTACAAAAAGAATAACATGGTTTGTAAAAAAAAAAGAACAGCTGAACATACAATGGAAAACATGTATATACGTGTACATTTACACACAAAGACTTTATTTCAAAAGATTAAAATATAACATTAAATATAATTATTTACAATGTTTAAAACATTACATATATTCCCCTTCAGCTTACTTCAAAAACCCCTCCAACTTCTCCAGACTCGCTGTGGGGATCAACGCAACTTCAAAGAAAACCCTGTAATAAAAAATAAATAAATAAATAAACCAAGACATAATCAAATGCCACAATCTGGAGTATTTTAATATAAACAAACTGCTTCATTAGTCAAATGCTTTCAAGAAATCAACATCTGCTCTAGGCAGGAGTAACATTAAAAAAAAAAACATGTCAAAATGCCAATCAGGTTTGGCAAGAGCATCAAAACAACACAGTCATGCTCAGAGATAAGAAAATGGAGTCAAAATTTTCTAAACATGAATATTGATTAAACTCCGTTCTCAATCTCAACTATAGTACAATTTGCTCCAAATGCTTTTTTGCAAGGCCGACCAACTTTAAAAGCACATGATTTATATAGTAAAACAGTGAAATGTGCTGTAGGCTAAAACTTTACCAGAAACAAACCAGAAATGTTTAGACCATAAACCCACACAGCAAGAATCGTACAGGTCATTTGAGCATTTAAGTTTATTTGAACTGCTGAGATAAGCAATTTTTCTGAATATTGCTGTATTGCACTTCAGGGTAAATAAAAAAGTTTTTTTTTTAAAATGTATTTCCAAACATTAATTTTGCCATTAGTTGTAATAATCCAGTGAGATTTTTGTATGCCCAAGGAGTCTGACAACAGCTGGTATGATCTGATCTCACCACCATCGACTCCGTCTGGGATTATATGAAGAAACAGAAAAAACTGAGACAGACTAAATCCAGAAGAACTGCAGCAACGTCTCCAATACACTTGAAGAAACCTTCCTGCAAAGCTACAGTACTGTGAAAACTTTTAGGCACTTGTGTAAAAATGCTGTAAAGTGAGGATACTTTCCAAAATCATGTCATAAATAGATTTGATTTATCAATTAACTTCTATTAACTAAATCAAATCAATATTTGGTGTGACCACCCTTTGCGTTTAAAACAGCTTTTGTCCAGGTACACTTGCACATAGTTTTTCAAGTAGGTTTACAGGTCTGTTTCTTTAAGCATCGTGCAGACATTGCTGCAGTTCTTCTGGATTTAGTCTGTCTCAGTTTTTTTCCTGTTTCCTCATGTAATCACAGACGGACTCAATGATGGTGAGATCAGATCTCTGTGTGGATCATACCGGCTGTTGTCAGACTCCTTGCGCATACAATAATTTCACTGGATTATTACAATTAATGACAAAATAAATGTTTGGAAATGTAAACTGATATTTCCTACTGACACACTACTGCATAAGATACATATAACTGGCTTAAAACCATTTTTTGGGGGGTGATACTAACGTGCCTAAGACTTTTGCACAGTACTGTATATACACACTGCCGTTCAAAAGTTTGGGAACGTAAGTTTTTAATGTTTTTAAAAGAAGTCTCTAATGCTCACCAAGGCTCTATTCATTTGATTAAAATAAATAAATAAATAAAAATTATTTCTGAAATAGAAATATTTTGTAACATTATGAACAACCATTCAAAAGTTTGGGGTAAGTATGTTTTTTTATTTTATTTTATTTTTTAAAGAAATTAATGTTTATTCAGCAAGGATGCATTAAATTGATCAAAAGTGACAGTAAAGACATTTATAATGTTACAAAAGATTCTATTTCAAATAAACTTTCTATTCATCAAAGAATCCTGAAAAAAATCAATTGTATAACAACTGTTTTCAACTGATAATAATCAGAAATGTTTCTTGAGCAGCAAACCAGCGTATTAGAATGATTTCCGAAGGATCATGTGACACTGAAGACTGGAGTAATGATGCTGCAAATTCAGCTTTGCATCACAGGAAAAATTTACATTGTAAAATTTATTACAATTTAAAAAGTGTTTTCTATTTTAATATTATTTCACTATATTACAGATTTTACTGTATTTTGTATCAAATAAATGCAGCCTTGGAGCATAGAGACTAAATGCACGCAGCATAAGAGACTTCTTTTAAAAACATTTAAAAAAATCTTACGATCCCAAACTTTTGACCGGCAGTGTGTGTGTGTGTGTGTAATATATATATATATATATATGTGTGTGTGCGTGAGTGCTTTAAAAGTGTGCCAGCAAACCTTTAAAGCAAATTATTTTAAATTTCTTCAAACTTAACTGCAAAAACAGCAAACAATCCGAAACATGATCAGAAGTATTTACATGTCTGAGATAAACCATTTCTCTAAACATCGCTGTATGGCATTTTGGGGTAATAAAAGAAAAGAAAAAATATAAAATATTCTATATAATAATTTAAATATATATATTATGTATAAAAATAAACAAATTTAAAGACTTGACAGCTAACTTTAAAAGCAAATGATTTTAGATTTTTAAAAAACAACAACAGTAACATTAGCTCTGAAACTTTAGCAACAGCAAAAAAAACAATCAGATATGTTTTGTGTGTGTGTGTGTGTCAGTCTTGCCAGTTAAAAGCAAAAAAAAAAAAAAAAGTACTGTGAAAATTATCTCAGGCATTGAACTATTTCAATGGCTGAGATAAACAATGTTATTAGTGTTGTATTTTGGGGTAAATAAATAAAAAATTTACAAAACTATAAATGTACACAAAGTAGACACAAAGAACAAAAAGAAATACACAATTTAAAACGGCATTGCTGACTTACTTGTGCGCATACTTGCTCCGGACAACGGCGAGTTTGCTGTCCGGTGGGCTGCTGAGCATGTCGTGGAGTTTTCTGACCACGGGTGCCAGATCCTCCACACTGTATCCAGAGTGGAACTGCAAACACTGTGTCTGGAAACAGAAGTGGAGCATCAGTGCAAGTGTTATTGTGAAGTATAGCCAGATATCTTTGAATCTCTGAGGTGTCTAATGAGCATTACATAAGGGATGTGTGACTAAGACGCTTGCCAAATATTTCATGATGTGAGAAATAAATGCCCTTAAGCTGTCAATAAATTGAAGATAAGACGGAAACGACATCCGGTGAGAATGTAAATGAATTTATGAACGTTTGTGTGTGTGTGTGTGTGTGTGTGTGTGTGTGTGTGTGTGTGTGTGTGTGTGTGTGTGTGTGTGTGTGTGTGTGTGTGTGTGTGTGTGTGTGTGTGTGTGCGTGTGTGTGTGCGTGTGTGTGTGCGTGTGTGTGTGGGTGCGTGTGTGTGTGTGTGTGGTTGTTTCAAGGTAATTTAACTTCTTCATCTCTGACTTCTCTGTAGAGCCACTTAGGACATAAAGCAATTACTCAAATGTTAGTAAACAGTCCAGCTTCACTCTCATTAACCAAAATACCTGTGTCATCAACCCACAACTTAGTTTGAGTGTGAATGTGTGTGTGAGAGAACAGAAATTAGCATCCATAATGAGCAGTCACTGGCCTATCACAGAGCTGTCTCAGCTTAAGCTCATTTAGTGCTATCAGAAGAGCACAGAATTTCCAAATCACAGCACACAAGGACACTGAATTCACTGTGAAAGTGCATGTATGTGTGTATCGCCAAGGAACAGTGGCATTTTGTGAAAATAAATGGTATAATTCATGAGCTCTGTGCTTGCGCAAATGCGCATACATTATTAAAGCATAAAGGTAAACACGTACCCATCCTCCCAGATCCTTAGTAACTAGAGCGATGAGCAGACAGGCAGAGGCGAGCAAAGACGCTCTTACGGGCACAAACTCCATCTCCAACAAACTCAGCTCACAAATAAAGCGTGCCATAGTCAGTGTGTCCATACCTGCATTCACACACTGCCGGGAGACGAGAGACGGTAAATCATCACACACACAAGCCAGAATAAGTATCCATACAATGACAAACTGCAGAGAGAAGTAAAGTTTTTATCCGTTTACAAAACGCACACACACACTGAATCTGTAGCAGTGCCAGTACCTTCGGGCCCTGCAGAAAGATTACACACAGCTCATCCAACCCGCCAAGATTCTGAAGGTTACATTCTTGGCAAATTCAGCACACAATTACTAAAGGACGTGCTCCGGTGAGCCATAAAAGAAAAGCATTTCAATGTAAACATTTATTTCCTTGATTCTTGAACGCTCTATTCTTTAAAGGAATAGTTAAATCAAAACTTTGTTATTATTTCCTTATCCCCATGTTTTTCTAAACCTGTGTGTGCGTTTATTTTTTTCTGTGGTGCACAGAACAATTTTTGAAGAATCTTCACATGGCGAAAAAAAGACAAATTAATTAATTAATAAACAAACAGAAAAAGAACTAAATGTTGTCATATGATTATTCTAAGATTCTGAAAACGTTCTTTTAACATACATTACGGTAAGATTTTTTTAAACTCTCTTATGTTTACCAAGGCTGCATTAATTTAATCAAAAATACCGGAAACCATTAATATTGTGAAATATTAGAATTTAAAATAACTGTTTTCTAATGTATTTCTGAATATTTTATAATACAATTTATTTATGTGGTGCACAGTTGAATTTTCAGTATCATTACTTCAGTCTTCAGTGTCACATGATCATTCAGAAATCATTAAGAAAAGTTTTTTTTGCTGAAGAAACCTTTCTTATTATAATCTATATTTTTGACCCCAAAGGTTTGGGGAACAACAATGAGGGTGAGAAAGTAAACCATCCCTATTTTTGAAAGCATTTTACTAATGTATCAGAAACCACATTCAAGCAAAGGGGTAGTTAGTCTAGCAAGTCTATTGGCATACTATAAGTGATCTGTTGTGTGCATGCATGCTTTTCTTCAGAAAACTAATTGAATATAATGGTATTATTTGATAATGCGCAGTAAAGAAGCTTATTACTTTGTAAAAAGAGCAATTAGTAAATGTAGACATTCTGCCAAATAAAAACAAATAAAGACTATGTTAAATCATGGAGCTTTGACTAAAGCTCAATTAATTCAGCTGTTGAAAATGGGAATGGATCTGACAGCAACCAGTGACAACCGGTCACACACACACACACAAATTCTTCAGAGAATACAGGGGGGAAAAAACAGGCCACACCTGACAAACACAAAGACATCCAAGGAATGCTTCCCTGCATGGTCTGTCTCTCTGACTTTGACAAACACACACACACAATGTTAATCCTAGTGTGTGTCAGGTGACTCCAAAGGAGTTCCACCTGTCTTTTCACTGAGGGGATATGTATGTGTTGTCTCTCACCTTGGCATAACGACGGAGGAAGCGGTATGGAACCGGAATATTGATGTCAAAGTTCAGCGCCTGCAGGATGCTGATCTCCATGGTGATGAGCTGGGAGCGCTTGTAAGCATCGTCACAAATATACAGGAAATCATCCACGCAAGGAGGAGCCCGCTCCTGTAAGGACACACCAGAGACAGGATGGGTAACAACTGACAAATCACAATTTTTTCCAGCATGCAGTATGAATATTGTGCACAGTATGCAAAAATACAGCACACAGTGCAGGTACTGCAACGCACTCATCTTGAGTTGCATTGTTCAGTGAGACAAAGGAAATAGAGAAAAATATCTATCATATTTTTTAATATCGCTTACTTTATTATTATTCAGTCAAACTGGCAAAAGGCATATTACACAAAATTTGATAGAAAAAGAAGTAATTCAAATTATTTCTAAAACTGTATCTGGACAGTTCAATGTGTAAAGGTGATGATACACGGGGCAACTTTTTGAGCAATGTTGCCGTCAATGGGCAACCAGGTGTGAGACACAGGTCCCACGACCGATCTAAAGAATCCAGATAGAAGTTTTTTGCCCATTCTCGATGGGAAAGTGCCAAAGCAACATCGCTCGGCAACATTGCTCAAAAAAGTTGGCCCGTGTAACATCACCTTAACACACTGCAGGGCTTGACACGCTTGTCTAGGACAAGTGGATTCTTTGAAGGGGCAAGTGAAAGAACATGTCACTTGCCTGACCAGATAAGTAGCCTGATTAAAAAGTCAATTACAAAAAAATAACTAGGGAATCACCAAAACGTAAGAATGATTCTGATTTTATGGGCCGTTCACACCAAGAACGATAACTATAACGATAACTTTATTTGCGTCCACACCAACTAACGATAACGGTCTGTTTATTGAACAACGTCATTGAACATGTTTTTGATGTTCTCATTGCACTTTAACAAGCAGATGTCCTCAGCATGCTATGTTTTGAGTGAAGCTAGTGTAATCGATCTAATAATCTAACAGTGAATTTAGCAGACATAGTCAATAGTGGAATAAAAACAACACCTACTCTTTTCCACCGCAACTTAAAAGGAAGCAAGACAATGTTGTCGAAACAAGCGATGGATACCGGAGGTAATACCTCTCCCCATTTATTCAGAGGGTATGAACGATTGTTTTCCATTTCAATTTTTTCAACTTTTGACTTGTCAAACAGTGGTAGATTTTTCTGTACCTCGTCAATTAACTTCTCCACAATGTGCGAGCCCTTTAAATTCGAGTGGATTCTGATTGGCTGTCAGTGTTTTATAGTTCAACAGCTGGAAAAAAATAGTTCTGAAAGTGATCCCAACGATATCGTTCCTCATAAATTTATCGTTATAGTTGTGATGTAAACTCTGCTATTCTTTAATATGGAGAAAGATTTTTAGAACTACATCTTTATCGTCCTTGGTGTGAACGGGCCTTAAGTGGCGATTGATAACATATGACACATTAAAGCAACATCACATGACCAAGAGTGCTGTTTTCCTGAATCATCACGATTGAAAATGTGACACTGATTTCATACAACAGTTCAATAACAAGTAGTTAATATTAATGTCTAGACGCAACAGTTTCATTACTGAATGATTCAGCGTTTTGAACAAATCAGTTGACTCAAAGATTCAATGTCCCATTCATAAACTACTGCCTCATTCTTGAATGAATCAGCCGTTTGAACAAATCATTTTAATGAATGACTCACTGACTCACTCATTTAGACGGTCACTTGCGACGCTCATTTAGACGGTTTCATGTTTAAAACAATCTTTTTTCCCCCAACATTTCTTATTTGTATATTCCACAAATATTTAAAACAATCTTATAACCTTATTTAATGCAGTTGTAATTTTTCAGTGTAAATGATTTAATTTGATTGGTAACAGCCCTATAGTGTCTCAATATTCTAACGGAATTTATTGATCAAATTTAAAAATCTCAAATGAAAAAAGGAGGCATACATTTAATAACATTAGTAAAAAATAAAATAAAATAAAAAGCCCCTTTTAAAGGTAAAAAATGTCCTTGGTGTAAATATCATAAATATGCAGATTTAAATATGTCAAAGCTGATAGAACACTGATGAGAATATTGATTCAGAAGAACTTATATTGCTTGTCTGGGAAAAAAATATTTTTTTTGTGGTGTAAATATTTTTACTCGAACAAGTGAATAACCAATCTACTTGTCCAAAGGACAAGCACTTGACAAGGCTTAATGTCAACCCTTGTACTGTGGTATAAAGTATTTTGTGTACTGTTTCACATACTTTCTTTAAAAAAAAAAAAAGCAGTTTAGACAGAATAATATACAACAGGTGTCATTACAAATATATCCCATATCTGCATGACAGAGTAAAAGAGCAGATAAAATATTTTGGACAAAATATATAAATTTTCTATAAGATTTGGGGGGAAAAAACTGGATTTAGAAATCAAAGGCAGGGTAGGCAATTTGTTCCAGAAACATTCTTTGGTATGCTGGTTGAAAGTCTCTTTACAAGTTATGTGGTCTAAATGTATTATATATATATATATATATACACTCACCGGCCACTTTATTAGGTACACCTGTCCAACTGCTCGTTAACACTTAATTTCTAAGCAGCTAATCACATGGCGGCAACTCAGTGCATTTAGGCATGTAGACATGGTCAAGACAATCTCCTGCAGTTCAAACCGAGCATCAGTATGGGGAAGAAAGGTGATTTGAGTGACTTTGAACGTGGCATGATTGTTGGTGCCAGAAGGGCTGGTCTGAGTATTTCAGAAACTGCTAATCTACTGGGATTTTCACGCACAACCATCTGTAGGGTTTACAGAGAATGGTCCGAAAAAGAAAAAACATCCAGTGAGCGGCAGTTCTGTGGGCGGAAATGCCTTGTTGATGCCAGAGGTCAGAGGAGAATGGCCAGACTGGTTCGAGCTGATAGAAGGGCAACAGTGACTGAAATAACCACTCGTTACAACCGAGGTATGCAGCAAAGCATTTGTGAAGCCACAACACGCACAACCTTGAGGCGGATGGGCTACAACAGCAGAAGACTCCACCGGGTACCACTCATCTCCACTACAAATAGGAAAAAGAGGCTACAATTTGCAAGAGCTCACCAAAATTGAACAGTTGAAGACTGGAAAAATGTTGCCTGGTCTGATGAGTCTCGATTTCTGTTGAGACATTCAGATGTTAGAGTCAGAATTTGGCGTAAACAGAATGAGAACATGGAACCATCATGCCTTGTTACCACTGTGCAGGCTGGTGGTGGTGGTGTAATGGTGTGGGGGATGTTTTCCTGGCACACTTTAGGCCCCTTAGTGCCAATTGGGCATCGTTTAAATGCCACGGCCTACCTGAGCATTGTTTCTGACCATGTCCATCCCTTTATGGCCACCATGTACCCATCCTCTGATGGCTACTTCCACCATGTCACAAAGCTCTAATCATTTCAAATTGGTTTCTTGAACATGACAATGAGTTCACTGTACTAAAATGGCCTCCACAGTCACCAGATCTCAACCCAATAGAGCATCTTTGGGATGTGGTGGAACGGGAGATTCGCATCATGGATGTGCAGCCGACAAATCTGCGGCAACTGTGTGATGCCATCATGTCAATATGGACCAAACTCCCTGAGGAATGCTTCCAGCACCTTGTTGAATCTATGCCACGAAGAATTGAGGCAGTTCTGAAGGCAAAAGGGGGTCCAACCCGTTACTAGCATGGGGTACCTAATAAAGTGGCCGGTGAGTGTATATATATATATCAAATAAAAGCCTAAATTCAATCATATAATGTGATTGTGTCTCTTCAGAAAATTTGGGCTAAACCACTCAATTCATATGGATTAGTTTTACAATCTCTTTATGAACTTTTTGAAGCATCAAAGTGGTAGTTGCGTAGAGTAGACTGTCAATGGATGGACAGAAAGCTCTTAGATTTAATAAAAAAGATATTCATTTGTGTTCCGAAGATGAACGAAAGTCTTACGGGTTTGGAACGACATGAGGGTGAGTAATTAATGACAGAATTTTCATTTTTGGGTGAACTATCCCTTTAATTATTATAAGATAAGATTGAGTCATTGACCTTTCTAATGATATATATATATATCCTGTAATGATTAACTACATTTCTATGAGGTTGTGTAAGTGTGCGTGTGAGATAATGGGAGAATGACTAAGTCCTTGAGTAATTACGACAAAGCCCAGAAAAGTGAGTCTAAATGAATGACTTTCAGCTATCATGAGAGAGCATGTGTCTTACCTCAAATTTAGAAGCAATGAGCATGGCAGTGGAACCAATGAGCTGTAAAGACTCCCGTTTGACCGGGCTCACGGCCAGATAATGATCCGTCACTTTCACAGCCAGGTACAGAGTCTCATGATTCAGCTCAAAATTCTCCTGCAGAATAAAGAGCAAGAATAAAGTCACATGAGTGCTTAAACCACCAAAAGCCAACAATATTCTACCAGACTCATCACATTTGAAACGATGCCTGGAAGCCATCAAACATCAACACTAACCTGGACCTCAACCAGCCAGTCCACCAGAATTGCCCTCATATTGGTGTTTAGAGTTGGTTGATCAGCCATGTAGTCATGCAAGAAAAACTTTTCCTGCAAATAAAAGAAATAAAAAGTTTTAGCTTGCAATTTTCTGTTCCTCTACTTGTAAGATCATTAATAAACACTACTAAACCAACCTCTCTGCTCTTGAGGTAGTCAAAAATATCTTTGGCATACTCTGCTGTATGCGTGGAGTCACTAAGTTGCTCGGAATCAATGTCAAACTCTGGAGGGATCTGAAAGACAACAGATACAAAGATTGTGTTTTTAAATCTGTAAACAACAAGGAAAAAACCTGCCAAATGTTTGTTAACCCCTAAAATATTAAAGAACGTAATAATATGTCCCAGCTATCTGCTAATTCATGCTAATTCTGTCATCGCACCAATGCACCAAACCGGGGTAGGGTTGCACCAGCCGTTCGTAAATTCTTTAAAATGGAGCCCACACTAGAGTCTTAATAACTACTAGCTAGTTTGTAACTCTGTACGTTATTCTGTTGCACCATTTGTTCTTAAGGCAGAACGTAGAGTAGGTTGTAAGCTCTATGTAAAGTAATGCGTAGTCGTATAATATGATGTTTACTCTCAATGATCCAATAGCAGCCTTCAAGTACGTGAGCAGAAGCTGTTGAAATGCCGTGAATTTCAGTTTATCCTTCATTCTAACTTCTTTTGCCTCACGTTACTAACGGTAAAACTACGTTTCCATTGAATACGATACTACTTGATTATGAATAACATAATATGTATTTTATGTAAACAACATTCAGAAACTGTATTTGAAACTAAATTAATATTCATCAATAAATGAATACTAATACAAAAAAAATAAGAAATTACATTTATTGATTATGATTTTATTTGACATGCACAACACAGAGCGATGGGACAGATACACTCAGCGGCGCGCTGTAGGACGGGTTTGTGTTGATGAGCCGCTAACAAAGTAATCTACTCACATAATGTTCTCTCTCTTAAATGCAAGTGAGTGTGAATGTCAGCATTATCATATATGTCTAAAGAATTTAAGTCTGTCAGGTAAGCTCTACCTTTATATTGATGCAGTGCAGTCTGTCTGATATTTTATTCCTACCGTTACTCCTGATCGGAGGCTTCCGTAAATATTTATTTTATACATAGAGTTACGCTTCAACTAATTTTAATGGTGCAATGCAAAAAAATATTTAACTTTGCTAAGTTGTAAATTACGCACAGCTGTTGCAAACCACCCCAGGGCCTTACCTCTGGAGGCAGGAGGTGTGGAGGAATTGATGGTTTCGAAGAGGGCTCTTCCAGTTTCTCAAATGACTCCACATTCTTCAGTTCCTCCAACTTTTCCTCTAGACTAACCACAGATCTGACAGAAGGAAAGATAAGAAATCTGCAAATTCTGGGACAATCATCTCAAAGTACTCTCAAAACATCTCAATGTATGGCAGGTTAAAAGACAAAGATGTAGTAAAATATGACTTACTTTAAATTGACATCATTCTTAGAAAGTACTGAGATCTTCTTCTGCAGCTTCTTAACGGGATCTTTCTTTTTGATGGGATTGCTTAGCTCAATCTTGTGTGCCTTTAATAAAAGTGCATTTTATTTTTAAGAGTAAGCACATTTCTCTTGAATCAAAATTCAGCCTGAATGTCAGCCAAAAACTGTACTTCGGGTTTAATTTGTTAAAATAAGCATGAGTCACCAAATCAATCAACTTGGTTGGATCTGAGACACAGAGAGAATGAATACAAGGTGTTAGACAATAGTGAATAGAGCCATCATTACAATTTGCATACGAGAGCACCTCACACGGAAACCCAGAACCACCAAAGGAGTGCCCATCTGAGCTATTAAAAGTTGAGATCTCCTGCTTTTGTGTGCACTGTAACTTACTGTTTGGGCATGAATGAGATTTCAATGAGGTTATGACTATCAAGCATGCTGATTTGCATCATTCATTTAAACTGCTGGTGTTAGTGGGGTTACAAGCAGCTCAACACTTACTGGTTTGACATCATCAGAATCAAACCGAGGTGCCAAAAAACACTGAGAGACAGCCTAGTCAGGTAACATATGAAAGCAATAAAGATGTGGTGAATGTATACAAAAATATATATTAACACAAATTTGATTTGGCACCCTTACATTGGTAATGTCCACAAAAGCAGTTCTTTTCTTAGGGGCCCCTTGGGGAGAAGAAGATGAGCGCTTGGTCTGGGGGCCATCCTGCTTAAAGACATCAACACAAGATGGATCAGATCAACAACAATCAAACCAGCAAATATCTAATTCATTTTCAGATCTGATCTCATTGTATACCTGGTTCTCCAGTCCTTTGGGGTGAAGTTTGGGGATTTTACTGGTGGTGGGCTTCTTTCCTCTGGAAAACGGCATCTTATTCAGTTGTTCTGATCTTTCAGTTATATCCTGTTTCAAATGTGAGGTAAACAAAGAATGTATGTAACTTAATGAACTTATGTGCATAGTGCACACTTCCATCAGACACACACACATACAGTCTCTCTCTTCTCGTTGTGCTCCACAAGGTTACTAAACATTCAAACAAAGATCCGTAAAGAAATTGTTTTGATCGCAGGAAGCATCAAGTCGGTCGTTAAAGAACAACAACATGCGGGCAATGTATCGTATATTTTTTGTGAGAGATTGCAAATCTTACCTTTTCACGATACGCTGAACAACCTCAATTAAAACAGGTAAATATTTTGAAAGAGAATATGTGCAAACATTCACGAAAAGTACAATGGGAAGCTTTCTAGGCTGAAACAGACACACACCGGACTGCTGTCTGCATGCGTCCAAAACTATACGCAGTGATGCGATTGGCCGAATGCACTTCGCTCTAGGCCAATGAGCGTCGAGCTAGGATGCCGTTGTTAAGGGGCGGGACAATCGAATTTTCAAAAACACCTTAGCAACCAATAGGAAGCGAGCTCGCGTTTTAAGACTTGTTTTGAGTAAGTGGAGCGTGGACGTAGGAGAGAATGTGTTTGGGATTGATACCAACAGAGCTTCTATTTATTATATAAAATATTTAAATAATGTTAAGTAATTAGCTTCGCTTATTTTGAATGTTACTGATATTATTGACTTTACAATGAAGCCACACCCAGCCACCCACCCACACAGACACAATAAATGTCTTTCACACAGGAAATCAGCATTCTGCCGAGTGCAAACTGCCTGTGGCCCCATCACATTCTCAAGTCAAGCCGAACTTGTTTGACTGATATCCTTCAACAAGGTAAAGAAAACATATATTTTCCCCAATGTTTGAAGGGGTGATTCGATGTATTTAGTTAATTATAAATCACATATTATTATTATTATTAAGGTATTTTTTTGCAGAACTCATTTTACCCATTTGTTTTGGCTGAAATTATATTTCCTTTTTGTTTTACTACTTTACTTTAAAAGTTGGTCCTCCTGCTGTGCTCTCACATTTTCCTTCAGCAACATAAAATTATAACATGCAAGATAAATTCAATTGTATCTTAGAAGTATAAAGCTTGGGGATGAAAATCACAATATAACCAATATAAACTTTTAAGCCATGTTACGTGACATTTGATACATAGGGTTACACCTGATTGCTTGTAATATGTCTTTTATTCTATGTATAAGCAGCAATCTCTGTATCTAAAGTGCAATCTCTCTCCAGCTTTGTTCTATAGCCAAGTGTTTTTACATGTGCATTTACTTCTCAATATCTTTTTAGCAATACCATGAAATTAAATTTAACTGTGCATCCCACCCTCTAAAACTTTCACTTGTTTAATGGGGCATCTGATGTCAAATAGCATTGCATTTCCTTAGACCAGTAAGTTACAATTACACACATATTTTATTACTCCTTAGAAAATCTCCATCATATCAGAGCATCTCCTTTGAGTGTTTCACATCTCCATTAAAAACACCAAAGTATCTTGAAAACCAAATACTTTTCAAGGTTACGTCCTCCACGGCACTGCCCAGGAGATCTTTTATTTCCAATTCAATTTAAATGTACTCATAATCTAACTTGAACTGACTGCAGCTAACAGGTTAAGTGTGTGTTTAAGCATTTTTAGGCAGGTTAAGCATTTATTGCCAAATTAAATAAATATGTGGGCGCTGACACAAAGTGTTAGGCTGAGCTGATGTTTATCAAAGCTTTAACCAATGTTCCTCACAAGCTTCTTCTTCATTACATACATTGTGTTGGGTAAAGGTTGCCCCATGATCTAGAATCATGTCTTGCCCATTATCACTGCCTTAATTATTAAATCAAATTCTGCAGGAAAATGTAAATGGATTTTTTTTCAGCACCTATCAACATGCATCATCTTTTCCTGTCAGCCATGTGACTTAGTTCCTGTAACAGCAACTCATCTGGTGATCACTTGTGGTTTTCTTTTTCTGCTCATTTGAGACCTGTTTTTCTTTAGTTGTTCTTGGATTAATTTAGTTGGTCATGTATCTTGTTTTGATTTTAAATGTATTTTCCTTTGCTTGTTTTCATTCCTGACTTCACCATTATCAAAATTTCAGCACTCGGGATGTACTAGGCAAACACTTTACAAGCTAAAACATGAAAACTGATAGCCCGAATCAGTGGAAAAAATAAGGTGTTTATGGGGTGAGGCGGATGCCAGTCCAACCACCACACATTGTATTTTATGGCTTCTTTTGTCCTCAGCAGTAACTGAAGAATATTATGTACCCCAAGGGGATTGCTTAATTATGCTCTTGAAGATCTACCTCCAAAAAATCACGGCCTTCAAGTTCACTTGAATATCATTTGCAGGTGTGATAGAAAAGAGTTGAAACAAAATTATGCAGGTTGTTATATGCATTAGGCAACCCTGCACTAGAATATCAATGTACTTCTATCAGCCTGTTGTCCTGAGGTACAAAGTAAACTTTATCATGCCTCAGAAATGATATTTTAAGGATGCAAAATGCAATTATATAAAAATTATGGCTAATAGTGATAAGGCAATAATTATGGCCGATAAGAGATAAATAAAATTATATTATATTTTGTCTAGATGCATTAAAAATAAATCATTTAGTGATTTAAATACTTTAAAGCTAAAAGTAGCCATCACAAAATTCTAACTAATGTACAGTATGAAAATTTGATATTCATTATGAGATAATTTTCTAAAGATTACATTTAACAGTGTTATTAAATTTACTTTAAGTGAACATTAGATTACAACAAAGTTTATTTAAATGCTAAAATAGCTATGTATTGTAATTATAAGCATACGAGATTGATATCAACCATACAGATCAATTAAAAAAATCTGATAACCAATATGGTAACATTGTATCTTGCTCCATCTCTTTTTCAGATGATTAATGAAGAGTGGCTTTGCAGCTCGTTTAGACTGTGTGATCTAGCCACCGCCTCAGAATCGGGTCACTCTGATGTAAGTACAGAAATGTTAGTATCCTATTCAGTATAATATAAGTATATTAAAAGTCTGTAAATAAATAAGACTTTTCATTCTCTTATAAATTTGGTTTGCAAATTTTTAACAATCTTTATACAGAAAAAGTAGCTGTTAAAAAGTATGTTCACTGTATAAAGTGCAACATTATCCGATGAAAGTCAAGTCTTCATTTTTCTGCTATGACCTTTTTCAGGACTCTACGCAGATAGTAATCAACGGTGATTCATACCCACGACCCGCATACAACCCGTCATCAATCGAACACACCATGGAAACATACAGCCGTTTACTGGATGGAACATTAGAACAGAACATAGAGCCCATTCAAATCTTTGCGCATATGACAGCCAAAGCTATTCTAGATTCATCTGTGGGGATCAGAGGCCCAAGTGAATCTGTCAAGGTGAGACAGGGTGAAGTTGAGATGCTAGCTGAAGAGTTAACTGTAAAAGTCTGTTGCAAAGCACTAGAAGAGATGGAGAGGCAACATCACTCTGATGATCCTTCCAAAAATATAAATGATAAAGGGGTTAAGGAGGGGACTAATGAAAATGCATCGGTCCTGTGCTCCTCAGGCTACAACTGTGATAAATACGCATTTGAAATAGAAACAGACAAGATGGAGGAATATGATGACACACTGACCACAGTATATGCCAATTCCTTGAAGAGCATGTGCAGTCTGGGGTCTCTCGACTACCCTGATGCTCCTCCAAGCACCCCTTTACTTCCAGAGATGATGAGGAGTCGAGCCAGTTTCACAAGGAAGCTAAAGGGAGGACTTGCTAAAGAGTTTCTTCCTTCACCCCCTCCTCCGACCCCCAAAGACCACATGCAACCCTTATTGGAGAACCAAATGACTGACACGTCCGCTGACTTCATGGTGAGGCTGATGCGCTCGCTTTCACTCGAGTGTTGTCGAAACGGAGGTCTAGAAGAAGTCAAAGACAGAGAAGCTGATGATGGCGGACTCCAAAATGACATTCCCAGGCTGACTGACTATGCAGCTCAAATATCTGCAGATATCCTTCATTCTCTCACCACAAACGACATAAAAGTAAAGGATGAGGGTTGTGTGAAACGCATGTTGGCTATTTCTGATCGACTAGCGAGTGAAATTGTCACAACGTCTCTAGCAGAGGTGATGGCGAGAGGGGAAAGGAAGGTTTTGAAGGAAGAAACAACATCATACTCAATGCCTCCAGACAAAAGATCTAGCATGCAGTTCTCTGCAACTGACGAGGTGAAAATTTTAGCTAATGAGCTAATCCTTGACGCTTTGGTTCATGCTTTAGCTAAGCTAAGACAGGGCGTGTTTGAACATGGAACCCAGCCACATCTTTCGGGCCAAGCAGCAGCACCACAGCCATGGGAAGAAGAAAGATGTGCAAACACACTGTGTAGAGTCTCAATCAACTCCCTCAAAGCCAAAAGATGCTGTAACGATAAATCAGAACTGAACCCCATTACAGTTGACGCCAATGTGACATCATCGGTACACACATTTTCCAACGACTTTGCAGAAGACGTGCTTCAACATTCTGTATGTGATGCTTCCAGATTCCTGTTTAACTGTAAGCAATCTGAGGGAGCAGAATTTGGCTCACAGAAAGACATTAAACCACAGGTGATTAAGATACATGCTGAAGAAAGTCGTCATGTCCAGGAACTGCAATGTGCTCTACTCTGGGCCGCGGCCTCACAGAACGGGACTTCAGCACTTCAGTTTGATCTACCAGACACAAGCCTTCAGCAACAGGTACAGAATATTACAGTTTTCACAGACTGAATTTGCCTATTGGATGGATGTAATATTTTTTGCTTTAATGTCTAAAGGCCCCGTTCACACCAAGGACAATAACTATAAAGTTCCGTTACAATTCCATGAGAATAGGGAAGCCTATACTATAACAGACGTCCCTATTCTCATGGAATTAGAACCATTATTACAACTTTAAAGCAATCATTATTGTGATCATGTTTGGTGTGAGCGGGCTTTAACTCAGTATTTTCGATGTAAGGTGGGGAAGGTTGCCTAAGACATAGACATCATGTCTTTTTAATTTTTGCACATGCATTTACTGGAATCAAACTTTTAGGCTACTTGTTCAATATCATTATTATTCCAACTTCCAATCAATTTTTATTTTAATTAAAAAAGTTAAGAAGGTAATATTTTATCCTAAAACAAATTTTTGAATACATACATAAAACAATTAAAAATTGTTTGGATTGTCGTTTCAGTAGAAGCAAATATGGCAAATTGAATTTGAACCCAGAATTGATTTTTCTTCCTGAAAAGGTTTTGTCTTATAAATCCTTTTTTTTAATTTATTTTTATACGTGGTTAAACTGACAGTTTTACTACAATCCCAGTCTAGTAGCTTGGAGTTTATGGACATCAGTTTTAGTTTTGCACATGCATTTATACTTAGTCTGAAAATATCATTTTATACCAACCCCTAATCTATCATTTTAATTCAAAAAGTTAATAAAAAAAAGAGACATAAAGCATTGCATTGTGGTTCCAGAATTAAATGAGAAATGTTATCACAATTCAAGTGAATTTAATTGATTTTTCTTTCTGATAAGGTTTATTATTAAAAAAAAAAGTTACAACTTACTGCATTTTACAACAATCCTATAGTCACCATCTAATACAATAGCTTTGAGTTTATAGAGATATGAATTGAATCTTTACAAATTATAAGGAAGCACTATAATTATTGGATGGTATCATTGAACTATCATACTTGCTTTGAAAGAGCCAATCAGTTTAATTACAAATGCTCACACTAAAGTCTATCATTTTCATTATAAAATAATTGTATTGCTTTTTATTTGACTAACATGTTCCCTTAGCTTTGCAGACTCTCTCGGAGCGCCCGTCTGAATGGCTGGACAGTGGGCGCTTTAATGGCCTCTCTCGAAGAGTTTTGTGACATGCAGCGAGCGACCAGCAGAGGACGCTATAAGAGCTCCGATTCTCTCCTGGAGCATCTGCAGCACCTGATCGACAATTCACATTTAAACTGATCTGGGACCAGCTTCGCCCTTGCAGAACAGGTCATTGATCCGTACGACACCCCCTGATATGAAGACAGAAAACAGCAGACATTAATCTTCATCCACACAATCTTTCACATCCCAAACATTAATACAAGAAGACAGAGTCATAAAGTATAGGCAATTATAATCAATTTCATTCTCACCCATTGAAAATGAGCCATTAAAGACAAAACAGCTGTATGCACGCTGTCTGTTTAAACCGATATCTGCTCTCCCAATCCAAGCCAATTTTAGAAGTTACCATCGTCCAAAACACACTGACACATTCTTGACCAAAGATTCTGTACATTATTTTTCAACAATATGTCAGTACCAATAATAAAGTGTGTCTGAATAATGATAAACAGTGAATGCTGTATTGTTGGAGCTGATTGCTGTAAAGGGGTGCGCAGGGCTTTGCGGGGTGTGTAAAAAGCAGGACTATTTTACTGCATCCCATTAATACTCCCAAAGCAGTGATACCTAACATGGCAGGAATGCGCTTTAGCGAAAACCTGCATCTCACTCACTCCCACTCTTGGCGACCACAGCTTGAAAAATCAGGGACACACACAAACACACACACTCATTCTTTGACCCTATGTCTCGCTCTATCAGTCTCCCCTCCCAGACATGCTCTTTCTTTCACTTTCTCTCTCTCTCCCGCACACACACACACATTCTCATACACAAGGGGGGCTGACTTCACAGCTGCGGTGTCAGTGAAGACACAATGGCTTTCAGTCCAGCCCCGTTAGACGCATCTGGAGAAGCGTTTGTTCCAATGTCTGACCCATCGCTGCCAAAAATGAGAGACGGCGAAAAAAACGTGCATAAGGAAAAAAGATAGCAGGAAAGGGGAGTGGGGAAGAGAGAGAAGGGAAGAAGTGATTGCAACAGAGTTGACACATATAGAGTCAAATGGATCATGGGGGCTCTGGAAAATCTCCCAACATCCCCCACCCACCCTTCTCCCCAAACTATGATGCATCGATTTATTCTCTACAATAAGAGCCAGACGCATGTGAAGGAATTCCTTACATTAAACAGGCCTCATAGACTTAATGTACTCATATATTTTCTTTTCGTATCACTCATGCTTAGCAAAGCACTGAAGCGCCGCGACTTCAACAGGGATGGCCAGCAATCCTTTGTATTCATGTGATCAAACGAGCCATAAAGTAGCCAGCGGAGAAAGGAAACTGTATAAAAGATTAAATAAATTCAAATGAGTACAATACGTTCAACATGTTTGCTCTGGAGAATTGGGATGTGTGTTTAAGGTTATGGAGTTTTCAGGTTTGGGCTCTTTGTAGCCCCTATCTACCTTGAAGATAAGGTCAATGTGTGTAAAACATGACGTTTTCTCTGTGATATGAGGTGCGTAATGTGATCCAATGTGTGTCACACTATATTAAAGGGAAAGTTCACTCAAAAACATAATTTACTCACCCTCATGTCGTTTCAAACCTGTTTGACTTTCTTTCTGCAAAAACACACACACACACAAAGATCTTTTGAAAATTGTCTCAAAAGTGTCCAAAGTTAAGGGGGTCGAAAACAACCACATAGGGCAAAAAAATACTTTTGCGACAGTTTTCACAATATCATCTTTTGTGTTCCACTGAAGAAATTAAGTACAGGCTTGGAAAAACATGAGGGCAAGTAAATGGTGTGTATGTGTGTGTGTGCGCTATCCCTTTAAAGGCAAAACAATACAGGCAAAACCTATGTTTTTTTCATTTGATGGTCAATTTTGAAATTTTGGGGTATATTGCTTCCATAACATGTCTTCTTTCTCACTAGTGGAAAGAAAACATCCAAAACACATTTGAGTGTTTTATTTTATTACGCTTTATCTATTTGCCAATGTAAATTTCAATTACAATAAAGGCTGTTTTCTTAAAATTATTTATTCTCATGCTGAGCCAGAAAATCTCCAGTTCAGTAGCACTTATACACCAAACTTTACAGTTTTATTCCCATCTATATTCTGAGGATTTTAAACATGGGAAACATGTTCATATATCCTTTCCCTAACATTTTATTCTTAAAAATATGGCACAAATATTTTTCTGAATTTATTTTCTAAATGTAAAAAAAAAAAAAATCTGACTTTAATATTTTAACTAAATTAAACACAAGTTTTGAAACTGTCTTATCCAATGTTGAGATTTCTGTTCTGGGAAGGTATGCGAATTAGTACATAATTAATTAGATACTTCCACATTTGCATACGTATAACATCTCAGAAAACGTTGTAATAGTCAGTCAAGTCAAGTCATCTTCATTTATATAGCGCTTTTAACAATGGATTGTTTCAAAGCAGCTTTACAGAGATAAACATATAATTTAAGGTAACAGATTGTTTTGGCGTTATAGCGGTTCTTGAATAATGTTACTTCCAGCTAAAGTTAACTTTGATTGATTCACCTCCGTCGAAATGATCAGACTTTAAATGCGAACCTGTGATTAACGCAGACGGCGTTCACATGCTCATTCAGAATTCTATAGTTATGTGCTTTTTAAAATATGTGCGCAGGTTTGTAATTCATCCAACCCAGCCTAAACAAACTACTTTTCTTGCCTATAAATTTTGATACAGAATTTTGTTTTATTTTATCACTTCGGGGTACGCGAGCCGGAATTCACAACGCTTTATCTGTAGAGTGGGAAAGGGATCCTCCATAGGGAGAGGATAGTGGATACTTCAGCACTGCATTGTCATCGGGTCCAGGCAAAGCTCCCTCGTCAGATCTGGACACTGCCTGGATCCGGCAGGCTGCGGGAAAACCTCGGGATAAACAAAGACACTAATATTAGCGTAGATGCCATTCTTCTTATGATGTAGCGAGTACATCATAATCTAAGGGAAGTGTTCCCAGTTCCGGCTGACCTAATCTATGCAGCCTAACATTGAATTTATAGAAGTCTATAATGTATTATGTGTATGCTAGGTCAAAGAGATGTGTTTTTAGTCTAGCTTTGAACTGACAGAGTGTGTCTGCTTCCCGGACAATGGTAGGAAGACTGTTCCAAAGTTTTGGTGCTAAATAGGAAAAGGATCTACCGCCTGCAGTCGATTTAGATATTGTAGGTATTATCAACTGGCCGGAATTTTGAGATCGCAATAGACGTGAAGGACTATAATGCGTTAAGAGCTCGCTCAAGGACTGCGGAGCTAAACCATTTAGTGCTTTGTAGGTAATCAACAATATTTTAAAATTTATACGATGTTTAATAGGGAGCCAATGCAGTGTTGACAGAACCGGGCTAATATGGTCATATTTCCTGGTTCTGGTAAGAACTCGAGCTGCGGTGTTTTGAACTAGCTGTAGTTTGTTTATTAAGCGTGCAGGGCAACCACCCAGTAGAGCATTACAATAATCTAGCCTTGAGGTCATGAACGCATGGACTAATTGTTCCGCATTTCCCGATGAGAGCATATGGCGTATTTTAGATATATTTTTAAGATGGAAAAATGCAGTTTTACAGATACTAGACACGTGGCTTTCAAAAGAAAGGTTGGTATCAAAGAGCACACCCAGGTTCCTAACCGACGACGAAGACTTGACAGAGCAGCCATTAAGTGTTAGACAGTATTCTGGGTTATTACGTGTGGAAGTTTTTTGTCCAATAATTAGAATCTCTGTCTTTTCAGAATTTAGTAGTAGGAAATTACTAGTCATCCAATTTTTTATATCAGCTATGCATTCCGTTAATTTTGTGAATTGGTAAGTTTCGTTGGGTTTTGACGAAATATACAGCTGAGTATCATCGGCATAACAGTGAAAGCTAACTCCATGTTTCCTAATGATATCTCCTAATGGTAGCATGTACAGAGTGAACAGCAGCGGTCCTAGTACTGAGCCTTGTGGTACGCCATACTGAACTTGTGATCGATAAGACATCTCTTCATTTACTGCTACAAACTGATAACGGTCAGTTAAGTATGATTTAAACCATGCTAATGCAATTCCACTAATGCCAACATAGTTTTCTAGTCTATTTAAAAGAATGTTGTGGTCAATGGTGTCAAATGCAGCACTAAGATCGAGTAACACTAATAGAGAGATACAACCACGATCGGATGATAAGAGCAAATCATTTGTGACTCTAATGAGAGCGGTCTCAGTGCTATGGTACGGTCTAAATCTGGACTGAAAATCCTCGCAGATATCATTTCTTTCTAGAAAGGAACATAGTTGTGAAGATACTGCTTTTTCTAATATCTTTGACAGAAAAGGCAGATTCGAGATTGGCCTGTAATTGACTAATTCTGTAGGATCAAGTTGTGGTTTTTTGACAAGCGGTTTTATCATAGCCAGTTTAAAGGTTTTTGGTACGTATCCTAGAGACAAAGATGAATTAATGATATTAAGAAGAGGATATATGACCTCTGGAAACATCTCTTTCAGTAGCTTAGTCGGTATAGGATCTAACATACAAGTTGTCGGTTTAGATGAATTAACGAGTTTGCAGATTTCTTCCTCTCCTATAGCAACAAATAAATAAAAAAATTCCTCAGGGAGACTACAATGCACTTCCTGATGCGATACTGTGTTAATACTGTGACAATGTTAATACAAAACATTGTCTTACTCTAGTGCGATTTCATATAGCTGTTCTCCCTGTTGACAGCATTATTACCAATACTAAATTATTTGATAGACAAATCAGTAGCAGACCATGAGTTGTTGTCTCATATGTTCACCCGTTTTAGTGCACTTCCATCGTAGAGACCAGCGAGGATCCGTGGTTGAGGTGTGAGCATTGGTCTTGGTTTCTCCAGCTGATTTGAGAAACCGGATGGCCGAGACATCTGTCTTCCATCTCCACTAGTATAGACAAACATATGCAACGGCTCACACACGATGCTCATCTCCTGCTGTTTATGGCTGAAACAGACAGAAAGACTGCAGATATATTTACAGTGTGTGGAGAGGAATGAAGTTTCGTGTCCCTTCAGTTTTACTGTGGACCGTTTATCTCAAGACGACTGGACTTTTCAAGACAGCTGAAGAGTACAAGTGATAAACGTAATTTATTAGACATACTCATAGCCTTTCATCTTCAGTTGTTTTAGTCAGATGTACACAGATAATTTAGGTCATCTTTCTGCCTTAATATTTATTTTACCTCTACACAAATAAGGCTCTGTGAAGTAAGGGCCATCAAACCAGATCCTCTGCATTTGTTATCTCGTCCGTCTCAGTCACACAAACAGCCCAAAAACCCTCCAGCAATTCAATTTAGTGTTTTCGTTATTATCCAATAACTTACATGGCTGCATGTTTTAAGCGAGTCTTTGCAAGAACCACCATACAACACCAAAGATCTTAAAGGGATAGTTCACCCAAAAATGAAAATTCTGTCATCATTTACGCACCCTCAAGTTGTTGCAAACCTGTATGAGATATTTTGATATTTGAAGAACGATTGGAACCAAACAGTTGTGGGGCACCATTGACTTCCATAGTAGAAAAAAAAAAAATACTATGGAAGTCAATGGTGTCCCACAACTGTTTGGTTCCAATCGTTCTTCAAAATATCTTCCTTTGTGTTCAGCAGAAGAAAGAAACTCATACAGGTTTGCAACAACTTGAGGGTGAGTAAATGATGACAGAATTTTCATTTTTGGGTGAACTATCCCTTTAAGAAAATAAATATGTTTTTAAGAAAATATCTAAAAACTTTTTAAGAATTTTCAAAGAATTGCACTTAATAACATTCTTACAAATTCATAAGATATTACGTAACATTTCTTAAGATTTCGTAGATCTGACCCCAGATGTATCTTTAACATTATTTTTTTAAAGGACTAGGCCTATATAAATAATAAATAAAAAAGATCTATATAAATATAAAGCTTTTACATACCTTTCTGCTAAATAAAATCTTAAATCAGCCTTATGTGGTTTGCTGGTCTTAACTGGTCCCCAAACCTGGTCAAACTGGTCTGTTTGGAGGTTTTAGAGGGGTTTTAGACACTTTAACTGGACATCTAAAACTTGCTAAACCAGCTGGTTTAAACCAGTGGTTCTCAACCAGGGGCCCAGGGTCCACTAGGGGGCCCCAGAAAACTTCCAAAGGGGCCAAAGATTATTTTAAATTATTTAAAGTAAAAGACAAAACAAGCATAAAATAATCTAAAACAACTACAAACGAGATACTTCTATAATCACTCCCTCAGCAACTGTTTTATTTTTTCTTTGAAGGACCTGGATTCCCATGATCTTGAACTTGGCCACATTATGTGTGATTTATAGTCCAGGAAATGTCATGCAATCTTATAACAAATATGTTATAAATCGGGATAAAAACATTTATTTATTTTATTGGTTTAAAAAAAATCTATTATTTAATCCTTATTCAGTAAATCATAAACAACTTGAAAAGTCATGGAGGCTTCAAATATTGTAGTGGATAATATGGAGCATTATTGGAGTCAAAAAGAATCCAACCACCGGTTAAAATGGGATTTAACTCTTGCTGGTTCTCCAGCATGAAATAGACCATCCTGGGCTTTTCTGTAATATCAAAAGTTGGGAGAGTGAGACAAATCAATGTCATTTATGATGTCACAGTAACAATTTGAAGTAATATACAAAATAAGACATTGATTTATTAACGATATTTTCCGAATATGTATTTATGCATATTGCAGGATATCTTGTATGAGGAAAAGGGTTAAGGAAATCATGAGGAATTGCGGTAATGTATCTCGAGAAACTGTTGAGGCTCAACCCCTCAGCGTCTCATACACACAGACACACTCACACACTAGTCCTGCAACATTAGTGAGTGGCTGACTGCATGCGAGTGTGTGGGACAGACTCTATACCCTCCCACGGCCGCTCTGCGCCAACAAGAAGGAGTTTATTCAACGTCCCGCTGCTGATTTCTATTTGTTTGTCACTAACTTCGTATCTACTCACGTCTTAGGAATGCCATGGCTACTCAGAATAACCAGGATTACTTCAGGTCGGTCAGCAGCGAGTCCACCACATACATGATGGTTCCGGCGAACAGCCGTGGTCGAGACTCGCCGTCAAAGTTATGGATCGCAATGGTCGTGATCGTGGTGGTCGTGCTGCAAATAGCCTCGACCACCGGACTCTTTGTCTACTTAAACATGTCTTTAACGCAGGTAAGCGTTTTTTTTAAGTTGCACTGATTATTTTCTTGTCGATATCAGATGAACAGGCCGTGTCTTAAAACTTTGTGAGTTTTTTTGGGCATCACAGGCGCGTTCGAGGCGAAACCTACTAGTGCACTGACTAGACAGCATGTTTACTCGTGTTACTGTGCCATGACTCCCCAAAATGCTGTCAAGGTAGGCAGCTCACAAAGACTGCAACAGAGGAGAACTTTTATTAAGTTGCAGATCGGTGATGTATCAGTTAATATTCCGAGATACAAAGAAAATAATGCTACTATGATAAAAGGCATTAACATAGTCAAAGGAAGCAAAGCACTAAATTGTGATGGGAAAATTGTTAATTTAATTTGATCACTTGAGGCTTTGAATTCACAAATAATCAACACCATAATTCAGATCAAACTGATTTCAGATGAATCAAATCACATTTAATGTGTGCTCTCGGGTAGTAATAAAAAAACATACAAATAAAAACAATTATTATTAAGTATTATTATCATCATAATAAAAATCCAAATATCTAAACAAAAAAATCTGCACATGAACAACAAAAACATGGTTACCCAATCAAAATACTGAGACAAGGAAGTTGTGTACTTGTTTTGCAACATTGTATTGTGTTGAAAACACTACACAAGTTCCCATTCTTTACTGCCTAGCCTGGATGTCAGCACAATAAATAGACAGTGTTAAGGAAATACACACAACATTCTATGGGTTGCACTTTATTTTACCATCCTGCTTCGCATGAACATACTATGTACTTATTGGACATACTAGGTACTAACCCTGAACCTAAATGTTGATACCTTACATTACCCAGTATTTTCGTGGGTAAGTACACTGAAAGTCCATGTACTGTAAAATAAAGGCCAACCATTCTATGAATCAGAATCACATTGTTGAGATTATTGGATAAGTGTCATTTTGACAACAAGTGTACTCAACAATATGAAGTGCATATCTCTCATGCTCTGCCTTTTTGTGATGCGTTTAGTCATACTCTGACCCAAAACCCAGGTTGAGGTAGGATTCTGTAAGCCCTGTTGAATATTAATAAACTTTGAACCCATAATAGGGTTATTTCAAAGTCAAATATGACAAAAATATCTGTAGTTACCTAGGCTGTAATACTCTCAATATAAAACTACCCTTCGGTCAGCAAAGCCGGTAAAACGATAGCGCTCGGTGAGATAAGACTGATTGTTTCAAATAAACGCTCTACCTCTGCGGGGGAAAAGAAAGTGAGGTTAATTCACGGTCACACTGCGAGACGGTAAACACAACAGAGAGGATAGAGGCAGAAGCTCCCACGCAAGTCATCACCGTTAAAATTGCAAAGAGTTCCGGGTGACCTATTTATAAATAACTACGATTCACACAATCAGCTTAGATTAGGTGTGGGACTGAGCTGGAAGGTAGTGCAGGGGCATGGTACTGTCTGGTGCCTGCAGTTTCTACCAGCCTCAATCTCCTTCTCCCTCAACTGACACGATACATGTAGTTCTAGACTGGCCCCTCAGCAACAATAACAGAAATTCATTGTAAAGCAATACCCTGCAAGCAAATGTTTGTCTCCTCTCAGGCTCCCCATGGTAAACCTCCTGTGACATTTTCCATTGCCAAGATCCACAACGTCTCACTCTCTCACCCTCTTGTTTCCCCTCTCCTTTACATTTGGTCTTTATTCTTATTCAATTTTCCTCTGTCTTTCCCTTTCGTTCTTACTGTAATAGCATGCTTTTTATGGAGAACATATAATTACATCTAATTGTGGCTGCTTTTCTCTGATAATTCTTTGCGGATTCAAGTTACGTTATGTTTGCCAGGCCCGAAGAAGGCATGGATAGATTCCAGTCTTACACACTCTGGTTCAGCCTCAAATACAAAACTGACACAAGGACAAAGCTCTGTATAAATGTCACCGATATAAAGCAACTTTGAGCTATAAATTTGATAAATGTATAAATTTCGTCCTGCATCTAAATTCATTAGGTAGCACAGAGTAGCTACTTTTATTTTTCATCTTTGCTAAGTAAATTAAACTAGGCCAAGCAATGATTCACTTCTCGGTATAAATCTTGTGTAACGCACAAGTCGCGGGCTTTTCTAATAAATCTGAGAAAAGGTTTGAAATATCTCCCGGCCTATTTCAAGGGCCCCGAGTTATGATGAAGTTTCAGTCGTACATGAACAAAAAGCCTTAGGAAAATATTTTCAAGGATTAAACATCAACGTGGTGTTAGTGAAGGATTAAAGATTTTTTCCCCCATATTGACGGTCATCAATTCAACACAACGACAAGCTGAAAAGGAAAGAAAAAAGAACTGAGGTATTGAGTGAGAATGTGCTGAAAAAAAAGAAAACACATATGCACACGCTCTCTCTCTCTCTCTCTCTCTCTCTCTCTCTCTCTCTCTCTCTCTCTCTCTCTCTCTCTCTCTCTCTCTCTCTCTCTCTCTCTCTCTCTCTCTCTCTCTCTCTCTCTCTCTCACACACACACACACAGCTGTTGCCTAATGAACATTCTTTAGCACTAACATAAATATCCTGTGCTCATCTTGGTGCACTGGCCAGATGGGATGCTCACAGTGTTGTCCTAAAAGACGAGTAAACACCTCCATTTTACCAAATTATCAGAGCCTGCAAGGACAAATAAAGCCCCGGTTTACACCAACAGGACGGCTAATAAACAATGCTACTCCCTCATTTAGCGCCATTAGCACAGTAATGAAAACTCTGCGGACTGAATGTTCCAAAGACATTTAGGGGCATTTTATCTGTCTTTATTTGACAATAATCAAATGTAACGGTCTTTTCTGGTGTGATTAGCCCCAAAAGGATGCTAAAACGTATTCAGTCCAGTAACTTGAGTTAAACTAAGTTCATAATTACTCCAATCTGTTCCTGTCATGTTTAATTTCTGTATTAATTATGTGCAGAGAAAAAAAAACAAATCCTGCTTCTCAGAAGTGCTTAGATATTCTAGCAGGACGAAACGACTGGGGCCCCATTTGGTTCGGGAAAAGAAACCGGGGTCCACTGACAGGCACGTAGTTGGTATTCTAGAAGTGTAACATTCAGTCAGACAGAGCAGAACGGGACAGCGATGGCCCGAGACTTCATAGAACACCCAGAGGGCTTTAAAAACGCATCACAATGGACTCTTAATAAGGCCTGTCTTCATTGGCCATTTACCAAAGATTTATGAGCCAATGAGAGGAGCCAAGACAAAGGTGATTATGAGAAAAAAGAATAGTTGCCCTTGGCAACTGGGGCTTTTGCCACACACAATGGCACGGGTCATTGTAAAGTTGAATGTTTGTATGTACAGGTGTGTGCTAGAGGGCCGATGGCATGCTGAGAATGCCCTCTATCACTAACTTTAACTCATTGTTTGTGTCACATGCGCTAATTTTAGAGAAACTCGTCATTGAGAGGAAAGCACCTACTGAACTTGTTTGCATACTTTTCATTGTGTGAGTCTAAATAAAACTCAAACTTTTATCAAAATGGGGGTTCCCTTCTTATCGTGACATGATTTGTTGCTTTTAGAGACTAGTCGACCCAAAGCCACAGCATTGCTTTCTATTGACTAGACAGGTTTTGACTTCTGTGTGGTCTTCTAGAGAAAGAGAACAATCTCCTCTGAGTTTGTTCTTTGCCAAATGCACAAATTGAATATTTGGCTGAAGTTTCCTTTGAAGACCTGCTTAGACAAACCTGTTGTCCTCGGGGAATTCATCCGAAGTTGCAGAGCTTCAGCCCTCGCAGATCATTTAGATCACTACCAACTTTCTGCCTGCTTTCCTTTCTTTGAGACCGCAGGGGGGAACTAGAAAAAACATACACATGGATCAGGGATAGACGAAAAAGAGAGAAGCGAGAGGAAGGGTTAGACGTTATAGTGAGATGCAGAGACAGAGAGCCCCTGGCATGGATTTAAGTTACACGCCTGGTTTCTTTATTTAATCCTTTCCCAAAAAAGCAATGGATGTGGAGTGAAGCAGAAAGTTCAGTGGTGGCTTCTTTTCCCCAGCTACAGAAACCAGGGCTAACACTGAAGCATTGTTCCCCACTTCCTGCTGCCCTCACTGGGATCAGAAACCCTCCTGAGCGCCACTAGTCTCACTACCAATGACTCAATACCAACTTCTATGTTGATTTTACCGCGACAGAGCTACATGGTTTTTGTGAGTAGGCCCATCTGTGAACGATTACGTATAGCAATACTGTTGGAGTTTACATGTATCAGGGTGTAGCAGCATTGACCCAGAGTTGTTTAATCTATTTGGTGTAACTCACAATGACAAATGATCAATTGCTGGCTCACACTTATCCACACCCTGGGCAGTACTTCAGATTCCAGGTCATTTGTGACTGACCCATTTCTATGAGAGAAGTAGCAGGAAGAAGGAACTTACAAGACAAGTAGTTGTTTACAGTTATTAAGGCTTTGAACATGTACACGCAAGCACATGTTATGACACATCAGATAAACTGGGTTTCGTGATAAAAACCGTTTCTGTTTTCCAGGTAAAAGTAGATCAGATGGCAATAGCTCAGGTGGTAAATATAGCTTATTAGAGTACAAAGCAACCCCTAATTAGAACACTTTTACAGTAAGGCTCAATATTTGAGTATCATGATCTACAAATGAACAGTACTTTTACAGCATTTATTCATTTTAACATATATTCAGGGCTCACTAATTCGATTTTTTTTCTGCTGGTCTCACCATAAACGAATGATCCACCTTCAGTTTTTGCAAAACTTGTTTGAACTACCGTTCAAAAGTTTGGGGTTAGAAAGATGTTTAAAGAACAAAGAAAGAAAGAAAGAAAGAAAGAAAGAAAGAAAGAAAGAAAGAAAGAAAGAAAGAAAGAAAGAAAGGAAATGAATGCTTTTATTCAGCAAGACTGATGAATTAAATAGATTTTTTTAAATTAACAGTAAAGACTTTTTACAATGTTTTTAAAAAAATCTATTTCAAATAAATGCTGTTCTTTTTGGACTTTATATTCATTCATTCCACAAAAACATTAGGCACAATTGTTTTTAACTGTGATAATAAAGGCAAATTTATACTTGTGCGTCGGACCTATGCCGTAGCCTCTACGCTGTAGGCTACGCATCGGTTTTCATTTATACTTCTGCGTCGTTGTTCGCGTTGACGTGCAATTACACATGCAGAGGAAGTGTGTGAAACCCGAGGAATGGGTTTCTAAAAGACCAATCACAGTGCTTGCGGTCCGCGTAGAATTGACGCGTTGTTACATGTTTGGAGAGGTGCACGTCAGGGAACGGCTAGAATTCGACGCAGAAGTATATTTTGGGCTTAAGCATCAAAGCTTGAACTTCAAATCAGCAAATGATTTCTGAAGGATCATGAAACGGTAATGGAGTAAGGGCTGCTGAAAATTCTGCTTCGCTATCACAGGAGTAAACATTTTAAAGTATTCAAATATATAGCCTAAGTTATTTAAAATTGAAATAAAATGTCACAAAATTAAAAATTTTACAAAATTTTTAATCGAATAAATGCAGCCTTGGTAAGAAGATCTTACCGAACTAAAAAAAATTTGTTACGTTTTTTAGTAACATTTGACTCACTAAACATTTTTTTTCTGTACAAAAAAGCAAATATGCAACATGAATCCAACACAATGCAAAACATTACTGATAATTTTTTTAGTTTTTAACTCATTCTGATGCTTTCAAAACTACTCGACAAAACCTCATCTACTGAATGTTAGCCAGATAAAATGATCTTGGTCACAAATCAGAAGAATTATCAAAAGCCATGTTGAATACATAACAGAAAACCAAATGTTTAAGTTCGCAAAAACAGATGCACAAGATAAATAAAAGTTAAAACTCAAAGCCCAAAACTATTTTCGTTGCATCTTTATTGTTGACCCCTGATATATAGTCAGTAATGTTTACAAATTGAACCATATAGTACACCAAACTTCTTAATGTACTTTTCTGCTTACGCTGAAGTCATTTTAATATGCTGATCCAGGACCAGCTCAAGCTTACCCATGAGACAAAACCGCGAACGGGTTGTCGATCAACACATATGTACAAGTCTGGCCTCAGTCCTGTAAGTGCTTCCAGGACTAGGCTCGTTTGTGCAGTTACACAAGAAATAGCAAAACTGATCTCAGATCAGTCTTGAGGTCTTCCTGTGAGCGCAGCCCATGCTCAACATGGGGGACCCTCATTACCTGTCTGACTCCCTTTGAAAACCGTAACGCGGCGAGAGTTAACGAAACACACCTTCTGCTGCCACGCTCCGCCGGCGACTGGAGAGTCATTAGGAGCTTTGGCGGACCGTGACTCAAGGCTTCGAAATTGCGCACAGAGATCCTTAACTGGAAACATATATTTCTTGGAGCGGCTCCGAGTTTCTGAAAAGGGACAGAAAGAGAGAGAAAGAGAGTGAAAGTAAGAGCAAGGGTTTCAGTGCAAGGTCATTTGAAGTACCTCATTATGTAGGACATACCTCTCCAGCTGGCTCAAGGTCTTTGAGCTGAACTTGTTGCCCATTGGCTTTCCATAGCAAGCCCCGTTGCAGATGTCCTCATCTACTTTCCAGGAAAGGGTCAAGAGGGATACTTGCCCTTGTTTTGATCTTCAGCCTACGCTTCGGCCTTGAGCAGATTGTTTCCTCATTGAGCATGCCTTCAGCCCCCTGTTTCCCAATTTGCTTCCTAAACCAAAGTGCTGTTCTCATCATTTCTTGGGATGACGTGGCATTCAAACCACATTTTATTTTACAGATTAAGGGGTTGTGATTTGGACTTGTGTTCTAATTTTCATTCTTTTGGCAGGTTAAGAGTCAGGGGGTTACAGAAGAGCTGCGGTGCCTTGGCTTGCTTAACGCCCTGGATAAAGACCGGGACATTCCCGAAGACCTGGCCCAACTGTTTGGAGAGCCTTGCATCAAATTAGCTGAGGGTATCAAGGCCTATATTTCCAAGGTGAGTTTAAGTCTCAGTTTGATTTTACTTGTTGCACAACATTCTGCCTTCATTTGTCATGATATCTGTCGAGGCAAGCCATGTCTTAATAACAGCTATTAAAAACATCATCTGCCTTTATAATGCATCGGCACAACAGTTGCAAGTGAAGTTCCTCACTGCGTGAAGCAACTTGCCATTACCATAAATGTGTCCTGGCAAGTGATTACAATCTCCTAAGGGAAGAAAAGTGGATGGTTGAGTCATGGGAGAGTTTTTCAGGCATTTATGCTTGTATATGCAGCATTGTAGAGGGTGACTCACCCCCTTGTCCTGATCATGAACCAGTCTAGCAGTCAGAGCTCGGATTTGTAGGAAATGTCTTGGTTTTCCCCTGGCGTGGCTGGTTATCCCTCCAGCGTCCAGCTTTTTCCCTTCACAGCCTTCCAGTGGTTTTGACATTAATAAAACTGACATTTTTGATAGCCTAGGGCTTTGTTCTAAAAAAAGTCTCGCTCTAAAGGTGTGATTGAAATTGCAAAGCATCAAGTAAAGTCAAACACTTATTTACATTAAACACACTACCATTCAAAAGTTTAGGTCAGTAAGATTTTTTTTATGTTTTTGAAAAAAGTATTTAATGCTCACCAAGGCTGCATTTATTTGATCAGAAATACAGTAAAAGTATTACAATTTAAAATAACTATTAATGTAATTTATTCCTGTGATGGTAAAGCTGAATTTTTTTGCATCATTACTCCAGTCTTCAGTGTCACAATATGCTGATTTGGTGCTCAAGAAATATTTCTCATTATGATCAATGTTGAAAACAGTTGTGCTGCTTAATAATTGTGTGTTCTTTGATGAATACAGAGTTCAAAAGATCAGCATTTATTTGAAAAATGTAAAATTATTTACTGTCTCTTTTGGTAAATTTATTAATTTAATTGATCAAATATTAATTTATTTAATAAAAAAAATCTAACTGACCCTAAACCTTTGAACGCTAGTATTATATGTTAAGGTAGATAACCAATAAATGGACAATATTAAAATGTCATACTATTTTGTCTAAATAAATTACATTTTAAACATGCACAATTATATATTCATTATCCACCAATACAATAAATGTAATAATTTTACATTTTTTATTTTAAATAAATTGTGCATCCCTACTTGATTTTATCCACCAGAGACTGAATAAATAGCTATTTGGCTATTGGTGAACATTATTCAATAGCCCACATAGAATAAGTGCGATCAGCAGAAAAGTAAAAGTTGTTGCAGAAGAGAAAGAATTGTTTTCTTTGGAACAACCCACACCAATGAATCAGTAACAACTAAACCAGGAAACATTTGTTTAGAAAGAAAATAGGGTTAATTTTCACTTCACTTTAGGCATTTTGCATTATGGTGTCGGAACTTCTAAATGCCATGTTTTTTTATTTATTAATTTTCTGTGCCACCCATTTGTTTACCCAAGTCTCTCAGCTCCGGGAATATGTTATCAGATTTTATGGAGCATGTCTACCCTGTCCTACACCCCCCACCCCCCACTCCTGCCGCTATGCGCAACAGCCCGTGCGTACCGTCAAATCTTTCACTACTAATTGAGTGAGGCTGCAAACAATTTATTGGCACTCAGAGACAGAGGCATTTGCCTCTTAATTAAAAACATATGCGCCACTTCTGAGAGACCCAATTATGGTGCGCTAAAGAATTCCCTGATCATGCTAAGGGATCGGTCAGTGGAAAAAGTAAACAAATAATGTAGAGTTTTGCCAGAGCATATGGGGCAGATTGTATGCGAGTCCCAAAGTACATAAAGAGATCAAAAATAAAGTCTATGTGCATGTGTCATGCGTGTTCACGCGTCAATATGAATAAGAGAGTGAGATTCAGATTTACATGAAGAAAGAAGACATTTACACAAAGACAAAGAAACAGGCCGAACAAGCACACGCCAAGGCTTCGGGCTCTTTTCCAGCTTCATGTCAGCACAGAGGTAAAGCACACAGAAAAAGAATGAGAGGATAAGGAGGATCGAGAGAGTGTTCGCAGCGAAGGCAGGGAATGAGTGAGCGAGGAGAGATGAAGGAAATGCATGTTTCTGAAGCGAAGACCTTCAGAATCCAGAGAATGCCAGAACACCTGGTAGTTATTATGGAGGACTCAAAAAAAAAAAAGCAAATAAAAAAAGTCATACATCCTCCAGATTCTCGACTTTAGCCGGACTCAGCACACAAGCGGCGTACAGACGTGAAGGATATGCAAACCACTGACCATTGTTGCTCCTTGACTTTCCATAGCCCTTGTTGGGCTTTGATAATACAGAACAACTGCACGGCTAACAAGAGTGGAACGCTGCAAGAGTTCGGTTCATTCACCAAACAGATGGCTGCGTCCACAGAGAATCACGCAGGCTCACGTGCAGAAACCCTAACGTGAGTCAACAAATCAAAAGACACTACAACATCTCGGCCAGAATGGATACGATCCAGCCCAGAAATGATATCAGCATTCCAAGGAATATTATATCCTCAAACTACACCTGAACAGGAACCCCGCAGCAGCCACTTGAGTCCTCTCAATATCCCTAAATCCCTCCTCAGTTTCCCGCAAAGCTAAATGGGACGTTTTGTCCCCGTTCCCCGCTGGTCTCAGATTCTCCTAATGACTCATTAGATGAGGAAGCATCTCGTCTTCGGGGCTGAGGCAGCGCTGCATCACCACCGGCGTCTCAAACAGATTTACGATGAAAGCAGTGATCATACTCGGGGCATTCCGCCAGCCTCAAAGTTTTCCGCCAGCCTCAGAACAAACACAAAGGCCATCTCTGTCTGCCCTCTAACCTTTATCTTCTGCATGATCATAGCTCAAGGACTGTTTTCGATGATGTGGTCGGTTTTACTACATGCGGTTTTTCTGGAAGAATGTATTGTTTGTTTCGTAAAACTACGGGAAACTACTAACTTGTGGACACGGAGTGGGTTTGGTAACAAGTGAACCCGAGATTTGCTAGGGTGGAAAGAAAGGAAAAGAGAAAGAAGTTAATAAAGTAATAAAGGCCGGTCCAGTTGGTGTTCTCATGTTGCTCTGCATGGAGTACACGATGGCTCGCCTCCTGCCAAAAATGTGCTGAGCTCTCAAAGCTGGTATTACTTAGAGTCGAATTTCAACGAGTGCTCCACAGCGACCTTCCATCTAAAAGAGAGAGAGAAAACGAAAGAGAGATTAAGTCGGGTTTAAAGCCTCGGAAGTCTTCAAGCCCATTCTCCACACCAAAAGAGAGACTGAAGACAGCCTGTCACATCTTTAACACCTCATTAAGTGTCACTGTGGCAGAGATCCCTGACGAGAGAGAGAGACAGGAAGACACGGGCACAAACAGAACTAACCCCGACTGCTGTTTTTAAAAAGCAGGGTAGGGTTGCACCAGCTATTTGTAAGACTTAAGACCTAAATGCAGACATAAAGTTCACACAAATCAAGCTCTCACTGATGTAATCCAGTCTGTCATATTACTGGCAGACCAATCGCATTACATACTCCCGGTCGGAAGATTTCATAAATATTTAGTTTAAACAAAGGGTTGCATTTGATTTAAGTGCAAGAGTCCAATGATCACATTTTCAGTGGTCGTAGCATAGTTCTCATTTATGCTAAGCTGTACCTTACGCACAGCTGGAGCAAACCGGCCCCAGGTGAATAGATACAGACTTCTACAGAGGGGGCGGGAAAAAGAAAAAGAGAGATTAATTCTCACAGGGCTTAAGGTCAGATCCAGGAGACTGTTGTGCTCTAGTGGAACGGTAGGTCTCTGGTGAAGGGGGCCGGGGGACAGAGGAATGGGGCCGACCTCAGACGGCAGCCAAAAATGGCAGGAAACAACTTGTAAGCATATACACACACCCCATTCATTCAAAGGCCCATAACAGGCGTGCACTGATTTTATCCAGCAGAGAGTGTGTGTACAGTATGTGTTTGTGTCTCAGTTCTGTGGGTTATTAGCCCTTTACCTGAGTCACGCTCTGGGATTTACTGTTTGCCATGCTCTACGCCTCAAAGAAAGCAACAGTTATTTATTAATAATCCTCCTGGAGGAGGGGAACTCGCTGTGCTTCAGTATCTCAACGGCAGAGTAATCTCTGGCACTGGTGGCCACATAAAAGTATTGGATTGTCGTCTCCACTAAACTCAGCTGGAGAGAACGCTAATGGCTTACTTCGCACGCTGTGTGCATGCACTCACCCGCTTCCTGCTATGAATGGAGGAAAAATCTTCCTCGGCTGTACGCCTTTTCTGGCACACGGGTGTAGGGGCCAAAGGTTTAACTCTGGGTGTGTTTATTGTTATTGTTGAGGGCTTTGTATGGGTCTCCACCTTCTGAACTCTGTTGTGTTTTCCAGAAAACAGATTGCGTGCACACTTTAACTAGGCCTTACTGATAAATGCTTGTGTGAAGGATTCTTACTGGAATATCTGTCATAAATGAGAACCATTCCAAAAGGAACAAAATGGGATCAACTAACAATTCCATAAGATCTTCCTGGATAAACCAGGAGTTTTCAATTCTTAATTGATTCTTACAGTCTTATATTATATTGTCTACAACCTGACTTGACAATCCTTTCTGTCTGTCTGTCTATCTATCTATCTATCTATCTATCTATCTATCTATCTATCTATCTATCTATCTATCTATCTGTCTATCTGTCTGTCTGTCTGTCTGTCTGTCTGTCTGTCTGTCTGTCTGTCTGTCTGTCTGTCTGTCTGTCTGTCTGTCTGTCTGTCTATCTATCTATCTATTTATATATATATATATATATATATATATATATTCTTATCTATCCATCTATATATACTTCCATCCATCTATATCCATCTATCCATCCATCCATCCACCTAGCTATCATGTCCTAGCAACCACCCAGAACACCCTAGCAAATGCATAGCAACCACCCAGATCACCCTAGCAACTGCATAGCAACACCCTAGTAACCACCCAGAAATTTCTAGCATTCATCCATCTTTCTTCAATATCCGAGCATCCACCCCAAACACCATAGTAACCATCTTGCAGTATCCTAGCAACAGTCCAGAACAACATCATAGCAACCCTCTAGCAACCACCCAGAACACCCTACCAATTGCATAGCCTATCCATTTATCCATCTATCTATCTATCTATCTATCTAAAAATAAATTTAAATAAAAGCAGGAAAGAGGATTATGAAGACAATTGAAATGATTTCTATGAATCCATCTTTTTCTCTTTTTCCTTCTCTCTCTCTCTGACATGCAGCATGTACACAAACATGCCAAAACAGCCTTTATCTGCTGCAAGATGTGGAATTGATTTCAGGACCATTTACTGCACCAGAAATTAAAGTGAAAAAGGGAAAGCTTTGGTCAGAAATCCATCTCTGCTGTGGTCTGGGTGAGATTATGTCACGTTATAAAGCCTGCAGGCGCTCGGCTGTCTGATGAATGGAGAGGAGAAGAGAGAGAGAGAGAGAGCCAAGAACAACAGAGACTCCATCACACACTCACGCTTGAGTTGATGATGCCAGACAGAGAGGGACTGGGGAGGAGAGAGAGAAAGAGAAGGGAGGAGAGGGAATAAATTATTATTCCTTAAGAAAAAAAAACATCTTGTTTTATCAAACTCAGTCATTTCGAAAAGCTTAAATTAAAGTGTTTGTTTAAAGAGCCATTCATATTTTAGCATAGACAGTACACAGCAACCGAACACAACATAACGTACTGCGAAACACGGAAAGGCAAAACACTATAAATTTTATAGACTAAAATAGATTGTAAAACTTACATGCCAAACTTTATATTTATCTTAACTCTGGCATTTAACCTTTATCCAAGAAGGATTCAAGAAAGTGGAAAGAAAATGTTGAGTTGGGTTAATGTTTGGCTTGTTACTTAGTAACTTTTTTAAAATCTGAACAGCTTTATGGCTAATATGGAATTGAATTTTTTTTTCACCACTTCCTTGATGAGGTTTTTTTTTTTTTTTTTGCTGAATGATATTAATACAGTGATTCAAACACTGACTACATTTTTAACAAGTCATCAAGAGTTTTCAATTCGTTTAATTTAGTTCAATTAGGTGAGCTGAGGCTGGCCCGAGGCAGTGGAAATGAGCCAGTAATCAGAGTGTTTTCAGTTCAAGACCTAGTCGGTGGAACTAATGATCTGGATACTGGGGTTTGACTGGTTGAAATATGGCTGTCACAGACTACTGAAAAACTGCCCTTTAAAAAGGTGACCTCAAAAACTATTCTTAGTCGTCTCATACACCGGCTGACTCTCCAGCTCAACACAAAGTGAACATTTCTGTCCTTAGAAACTGCCGACTTCAAAGGCTGAAAGATAAATAGGACATTTTACAACAGAAATGTTTCTGTTTTGTAACTTGAGGTAAATTTGATCTGCCTGTGAGACAAGAAACCAAAAGGAGGAAAGACAAGATTATAAAACTGAATCATCCAGTTTCACATTCCTGTTGACAATGTAGAATTTGTGAAGTCATCATATGTCGCTCAGTTCCCTGTACTAATGGAAGTTGTTGTTTGTTTCTGTCACAGGTTACAGACAGCATCATCTCCAAACAGGCTTTACATGGTGAGTATATTATCAGTCATCATTTCTTAACAATTGATACGGAGGAATAATGACACAAAAATAGACAATAACAAAACGCAATGCAGTTCAAAGAACAGGTTAAAATCTCTTGCACAACACCGATATTCATATTTTATGATGTATTTGAATGTGCTGACTGTCTACTGTCTGTCTCTTTCTCAGAAGCAAGAGCCATGCCCCATTCATATAATACATCAGGGTCAAAGTTCATGACCACAGTGACACAGAGGCCATCAGCCCACCTGACCCTCAGCAGCCTACCAGGTGAGTTTATATATAAACAATAAATAATACTACATTTAAATATTACATTTAGTCTATAAAACTAATTTAATTTAACCATAAAGCTTTAGGTCAAAAAGTCTATAGGGTATCACATTTTATGTTTGTTGTGTTCAGAACAGCTTGAAAGTCTGTTAGTGTGTGATCCGCAGTCGTTTAGTGCATGATTTGCAAAGTTGAAAAATGTCTTTAAACAAAAAGATCTGTTCAGATGTTAAAAGTCATGTAGTATATGTCCCTTCATGCACATGACCCATCCGTCCCTATGAAAAGCCTGGCAAACAGCTGCAAAGGAGAAATTGATTATACAACAGCCTGAAATTGTTTAGTTATTTATAATAATATCACTAAATATCCCAAAATCTTGTCTGTTCCTTTGAAGTTCATGCTACTCGGATCAAAGTCCTATTTACTGCATGCATGCCAGGAAAAAAAAGAGATTTATTCAGTCACGCATCTCAGAAGGAAATGAAACCGAGACAAACCAGCTTTGTTTTTGGAGCACGAGTCATGAGTCTGATCATTAAACTGCAAGGACTTTTTTTTTCTTTCTTTTTTTTTACACGTGCATGCATTATTCACAAACCTGTCTGCATAGTGCTTGATGATGGATCACGTACACGCACTACGAAAATTGCACATGCCGTTATCTTCAAAAAGCCGAAATTGTTAAATCCTTGAGAACATCTATATTAACCGCCGTAGTGGGCTTTCCTGCACATCTGTACTTCATATGTGTTTTTCTTTATCACTTTTGTCAGAAGAACGGCCCTTTAAAAACTTGTCGAAGCAGTAAATCAAAGAGCAGGTCTAGCGTTATTGATCTTCTTTGAGGAATGTGGCTCATTGTGTTTGAGGAACACGCCGCCTGCTCCTCCATGTCCTCTATACCTCCCTTCCTCCCCAGCCTCTTTCTCTCTGTTCTTCGATTTTTCACTCTGTCCGTGACTTCCTCTCCTGTGCAGCCATACCTTCCTGTTCGGATCTCTTCTGTACTCTTAAGACAATCCACCAATCTTTCATTCCTCCCTTTTACCTTCTGAATTATGTGCCTTGCCTTAATCAGAACCTGCTCCTTGTTTTGGAACATTTATTCTTATTTTTTTATTCTTATTCATTCTTATTTTACTACTGAATTTTTGGGGGGTTTTAATTATTTGCTTTTCCACATGATTTATAGTATATTTAATTGTGCGTGCTTATTTCCCCTATTTTAACATTGAGATTAACTTTATGTGAGTTTTAAGTGACGCCAAACGTAATCTTTATAAAAAATAATATTTCCTCGCCATTGACAGAATTTTCTGTCATTCATGAGACAGTGCTTCCTCGCCATTGACAGAATTTGTCGTAGTTTGTAAGAAAAGCAATAAAAGCATTGCTTTTGCACATTTTCTTAGCTTTTAGTTCAAAATGTTGCTTTTTTATGAGACTTACCCACATTCAAGTGTTAATAAAAAAAGAAAGCATAAAGCTAGAATAAAATGTTTTTGTTTTGTTGTTTTTTTAAAGCAGAGGCTATGTTCTTTTTTATATATTGCATGTTCAGATATTCATACAACAAAATATTCTGGAGGCCATGAAAATTGTTGAGAAAATTATAAAAAATCCTTTTTTTTTTTTTTTTTATGCTGGTAGGAAAGAGTTAAATTTAATCTTTAGTGAATCTCATAACGAATATCCATTTTTCATACTGTACATTTATAATGCAATGCCGGAAACAATTGATTTTAGTTTTTTTTTGGTGATTTATTTTTAATTTATTTAACCAAAACTAAATTATTTAAATTACCTAAACAAAATTTTAATATCAAGAATTTATCAGTTATCAGCCATAACAAGAAAATAATTAGCAGCTTTATTTAATATCCGTGCTTCCCCACATAACACACATTCATGGTTTTTTATTTAATTTATTTGTATAGCTATTTTCATAATACATATCATTTCAAAACAGCTTTACAGAAAATGCATGTGTCGACATTACAATCTAGAGTGATCTGCTATCAGAGGAGACTGTGTCCAAGTTATGGATTTCAGCAATGCACATATACAAATCACACAGTTAGCTAACAATGTATTCATTTAAACAATGTATTAATTTAAGGAGCAGAAGGAATGAGCTCATTGAAGTAATGAATACATTTTCATTTCAAAACATTTCATTTTGCATGATTCATCATCAGTAAGTTATTCCAAAATGAAAAGGTTGGCCTTTAATGTTAGCTAACTATTAAAGTAATAAAGATTATGTCAATAGTAGCAAGTAATGTCATTTTAGTTTGTAATGATCACTTTTCACAATCCAATCACTTCCCTACGGATGAAAGATCTGCCATACCTTTTTGTTTCGTTCAGTGTTACTTTAGTATTATCTCTATACTATTATAGTATTTATATTTTGAATTAGCTTTAAATTTTAGTCCAAGTTTATGTGCTTGTTATGAACATCAAAAAGTTTCACTCAAAAATACATCACTTATATATAAATACATTAGTAATAAAACAGTTTGCGAATGCCGTTTCGTGCTAACCAACATGAGTCAAACTCCAACCAGCTCCAAAAGTTGGTTTCTAGTGATCCTGAAGACCTTGATTAGCTGGTTCTTGCATGTTTAATTAGGGTTGGAGCTAAAGTTCGACGGTTTGACTCCCCTGTGCTAACCGAAAGTCCGTCTCCTGCCTTTTTTTCAGCTGGTGCTCAGTACTCCACCCCTCAAGCAGACCTGCACCAGTCCTGCCGCCATCCTGTACGTTCCTGGGCCAACCAGAGCTTCGGCGCTCATCTACACAACATGACACTGGCCAACGGGCGCCTTCGCGTACCCCAGGATGGCCGCTACTACCTGTACTCCCAAGTGTACTTCCGCTACCCCTCTCCCAGCGAGGGGGATCAAAACAGCGTGAGCCACCAGCTGGTCCAGTGCATCTATAAGAAAACCTCCTACCTGAGGCCGATTCAGCTTCTGAAAGGAGTGGGGACCAAATGTTGGGCTCCAGACGCAGAATACGCCCTTCACTCAGTGTACCAGGGCGGCCTGTTTGAGTTGCGAGCGGGAGACGAGGTCTTCGTGTCAGTCTCGTCTCCTACGATGGTGTACGGCGAGGACTCTTCTAGCTATTTCGGAGCTTTCCGTCTGGATCTGTAAGAGCACGTCAGAGGAACTGGATCGGGACTACATTACCCACCGGGTGGAGCGTTTTGGAGCTGCGACCCAAAGAGAAAAGACTCATTTTAATCGTTCAAATTTCCTTTCTTTAAGACTTTGAATATGTGAAGGATGCATGAATGAGAGACATTTCGGACAAGGTTATTTCTTTTATAGACAGAGGAATGTATGTATATTTCTACAAATCACATCAAAGATGTGAATCTTTGAAACGGTAGCAAAACAATGAACAGGAGAGACAAAAACTCACACAAAGTGAATCTGTGCCAACGGTGTGTAAACGGTTTGATGTGTGAACTCCACTCGCTCTCGTCCGCTGGAGGGGAATATTTTTGTGTACGGCGGATCTAAAACATTTTTAAAAACAGAGATATGAGAAGAGAATGATGACAGCGGGAATGTGGAGGAAAGAAAGATGAGAAGGGGAAGTATGTAGCTCTACCAGCCTCAAAGGAGCATCCTGGCAGGTTGCAGTAGTGTGGAATTCTCCCCGTCCTGTCGGACCAGCGGAGCAGCATGCCCGGACAAGAAAAGGACCTAAAAAAAGTTCACACGCACACATACACAGAGGAATTCAGCTTGTTGTATAGACTGCATTTGAAAACACTCATACTCCTCTGAGTATTTATGGCTTCCAAACATGCAAAACACAGCGATAAGATAAATACACATTCGTTCAGTCTCAGACACAAATCACTTTTACAGGTCTCCCTCTGCTGTCTGGTCCGGGGTGCAGGAGGAAGTACTGTCAGGGAAAGACACGTGCTCCCCAGCTCACGTGGTCCCGGCCACACGAAAGGTTAAATAAACACTACGATACACGGTTTGTTGAAATGTCGCGCCCATATAATGCTTTGTTGTTTTTTTCTAGTGCTGCACACACATAAAAAAACACACACTTTTCTGATAAGTGGCGCTTCATACTTGTACATCCATCTCTTTCTTTATGTGGTTGGTTGGTTCAACCTGTGTATATATTGTATTTAATTCAGAATCATGAGGTTTGGAATTGAATGTATGAGCGCTGTGATGTCGCATGAGAATCCCACAAAATGAGCCCCCGTTACGTTTACGTTTTAAACGTAAAAGCCGTGGCGCTCTCAAAATGAAACGGCGCTGTGAATCTTGATACGAGCCTGTTTTTTCGGAGGAAAAAGTGTGTTGTTTTTTTTGAAGGAGGAGTGGGTGGGGGTGATTACTTTCCACTGTAAATGATCAAGTGCTGTCACAATGGTGTTTCTGAGAGCAAGCACAAACACTCGCTTGGGTTTCATTGTAAACCACAAGTGCGTTTTCTTCTCTCTGGACTTTCCCCCCAGTTTTTACTGATAAAGTGAGTGAGGAAAAGGGCCCCTGCCAAGACAGTGCCTTAAATCACATTATACAGCGAGAGCGATCGAGCCAAGACTCTTTGTGGCATTTAGCTACGGACATAATGCTAGTTATACTACACATTACAAAACTTTACTGACTCTTATCAGCAATTTGTCTGGATAAAGAAACTCGGACTTTGATTTAATCCAAAGATGGAGAACAAATTGTTCTTCGGCAGGTTTAGTCCATTTCTTTTGACTGGTATAATGGTATAAATATCCCCATACAGGGTGCCTTTTTAGGTCTAGGCAATGTGACGTCAGATACCACTAGGTTTTGTATGTGTAAAAGTGCCTTTAGGTTGTCGTTATGCACTGATCTGAGAACACTTTCAATCTAAACACTAACTTCTATCATGTTAAGGGAGGTTCAAAGCGTTTTAGATCAGTGTTGAAGTCATACATGACCTCATCAATGCTTAGAACCACATCATCTCACAGCCCAGTGAGACCTAATGAAAAATTGTCATCATTTACTCTCATGTCCTCCCAAACCAATATGACGAAGATGATTTTTTTTTTTTAATTGTATGTTTGTTTGATTTTTGTCCATACAATGAAAGTCAGTAGGATAACGAACAACATCCGACTGCCTTGACTTTCATTGTTTAGAAAAAAAGCATTCTTTAAAATGTCTTTTGTGTTCTGCAGAAGAAAGGAAGTCATACAGGTTTGGAACAAATTGAAGGGAAAGTAAATGAAAGAATTTTCAGTTTTGGGTGAACTTTCCCCAATGGAACCTGGATAATCCCACTAATTCGCACTAACTGAGCTTATTATCCCAGTCGATCTGCTCCGGCCCGTCCAGGGTCTCGTGTGAGTGTGCACATGTGTAAACAAGTCGAAATATGTACCTATCTGTACAACATGGAGGTCGTAGTGGGGTGAGGGGTGGCCAAGAAAAAGAAATATGGCTGAATTCCATCGGATCTAGACGGATTACTGCAGGACTTGCCCTCTGAACCACGAAGAACCACAATGTGAACACAGAAGACAAATGTATGTTAGGTGCGTACATACGTGAGTGTGTTTTTTAATGAATTGCTTGACTGGTTTCTAAAACAGTGGATATGATGGTTTGCATACTATAAATCTCACGGAGTTCTGCGGAGACTTTATGGGACTGCTGTGAAAAACTTAAGGGGGGCAGAACACCATGAAATCCAGTGAGCAACGTGAACTGTCAGTTAAAAACAAAAAGACTATTGTGTTTCCTTTTCCAGCGAGAGTTTTTTTTTTCTTGGGATTGTTAAATTCTCTGACCACCGATCTGTGGGACTGTTTTCCATTTAAAGAAAGACGTTATGCACTGTTTACCAATGTCGCGTCTCCATCTTGGTAAGAATGTACTGATATCTCTCACACTCTCCATCTTTATTGTATAATTTTACAATGTCTGATCTGTGTTGTAAAAACAGAAGTTCAATGTGTCATTTTCAACAATTAAAGTGCCTTTTTGAATCATGAGTCATAGTTTGATAATCTCTTTAGGTTGTGCATTTTTTCCCATACTGATGACTTCCAGCAGGAATTCTACACCATTTGTTTTCTTTTTCTTTTGCCAAACTTGCACACAATACCACAACCTACCCACCCACACACCAGGACACACATGGTTCTCTCACACAAAAGAAGATTTCACACACACAATGTTTGTTTTTCTATCATGGTGGGGACTTCCCATTGACTCCTATTGTTTTACACTCTTTAAATCTTTTTTTATTGCTTTATACTCTTTTTGCAATTTTTTTAAATTAAAATCTGGGAAGATTTTAATCAGATTTTAATTTTATTAAGAAATGAATGCTATTCTATTTATTCAAGCAGGACAACTGTTTTCAACATTGATGATAATGATAAGAAATGTTTCTTGAGCACCAAATCAGCATATAAGAATATAATTGTTTTATATATATATATATATATATACAGTATATACTGACCACAAACTTTTGAACAGTATATATATAAAAAATATATACAATTATATTTGAATATGAAGATTTGCTGCTCAAGAAACATTTGCTTTAATATGCTTTACATTTTAATGCCAAATAAAAACAATTATTTAAAAAATATATATTTATTTATTTTACTTATGAACAGGGCATAGGAAAGATCTGAAAAGTTGTGGGGCACATTACAAACCTTACCAGAACAAGAATATATCAAGAATATTAATTATATGACATAACCCTCACCAATAATTCATAACTAATTAGCTGAAAATCAGAGTGGGTGCTAACTATTTTAGGATCTCCACTAATTGATTATACATTAGTTTGATTTACCTTTTGGAAACGGCAGAGGTTTCTGTCATTTTAATGATAATGCCATATCTATATAATGACTGCTGGTCCTGCTTATGAAGCATTTTAACCTTTGATGACATTCCTAAAGGGATGTTTTGTCAGACAAAAAACCCACATAAGTGTATAGTCTACACTTAAAGCCAAGTTTAAGATCACTCCCCAGCTCTCTGTTCTCATAAGTCTTCCAGACAACCAGCTATGAGTCACCGTCATTCTCACTTCACACACAATCTCAAATACAAAACACACTCAGAGGCCACACACACTTACACACCATTTGACTAACCCAGTGTTGACCACACACCAGTCTATTCAGTTTTAGATGTGGCCACACACACGCTGTCCGAAACACACACACTCGTTAAGACAACCTGCCCTGAGCACCCAGACTGCCCTTGTTCCTGCCTGCACAAATATACCCTCACTTCATCACACATTCCCCTTGCCAGCGCTCCCTAGCAATCCGTCACTCATATGTGTCATCGTTAAAGCTTTTCTGCCATTCATTAAGACCACCAGGCATTCCTATTCACACACCTAAGTTTGTCCTCCCCAATTCCTAGAATCCACCAGAACACTCCGGAATGTCACAGGAATCGCATCCAGGCACTGACCGAATCATTCAACATCTCAGCACACACACACAGGCCTCACTTATCTCATTCATTCGTGCAGAGCCTGGAAAGAGTAAACACAAATAAACAAATGGGACAGTTGGCATGAGGGGAGCAACGGCTGGGCTGGAGATTAGCTGGATCATCTCCCTCCGGTGAGACCAAGAATCTCCGCCATCATCCCTCAGGTCGACATTAGTCTCCTCTCCTGTCTGAGGCACAGAAATTAGGCCAGTTTGTGATCACTTACTGTGACGACTATTCTTGCCGATTCTTGATCATGGGGATGTAGTGTACCAGCGTGCTCCCTCTTATATTCTTGCCTCCCTAGATGCTGTGTATCATGGTGCCTTAAGATTTATTACGAATTGCACATTTTCCACACATCATTGTCCATTATACAATACAGTTTCTTGGTCTTCTCTTGCTGTACGAAGGAAAATGCACTGGTACTCATTGATATACAAAGCAATTTTGGGGGTTTTACCATCTTATCTTTGTTGTATGCTTAAGCAAAAAGTAGCATTCACTGCGTTCACAGTTTTATTACAATCTGCATGTACCTCGAGTTAGAACTAATTTAGGTAAAACTGCTTTTAATTATGCTGCACCTTCAGAATGGAACTCTCTACAAATGACATTGAGGCTGAATCATCTGGTGTCTTTCAGCAATTTTAGAACACTTATATGCGCTAGAGAAAGATTTAATGATTTGCAAATGCTTCTGAGGTTGTATTTTTAATACTAATTTATTGTGTGTTGTATTGTTTTATTGTTATATGTGTGTTTGAACCTATTGGGCCGCCTATCTTGGCCAGGACACTCCTGTAAAAGAGATTTTAATCTCAGTGAGGTTCTCTCCTGGTTAAATAAAGGTAAAAAAAAAAAACCTTGCTACACTCAAAAAAATGGTTTTGTGGCACTGTTCTTTTTACCCAAATATGTTTTGTTAAAGTAACACATATATTTATTTTACCACCAAAACACTATTGTATTGCGTTTAATTAACTTAACCTGTATAATTTTCAACTATACTTAATTATCATTCGTTAAACTAATGTAGAGAGTTTAATTTCGCGATTCAAAAAACCCTGGATGTGACTATTTCCAACGTATTGGATGAAGATCCCGTGTGAAGAAAGTGGAAAGTTGCATGGCCTCAGAGAAAATATAAAGTTAATCTAAAGGCAAAGTCTTTCATTTCTGTGAGTATTTCGGAAAGTCTGTCCTGGAATGCTTTAAATATATTGCAATGAAAAAAAAATATTTTGGCTGCTTGTTCAAATTGCTTCAAATGAGCTTAAGCAACACAATTGCTAAATTTTGTCCAAACTTAATTTGATTGTGTTCAATCTGCTTAAATATGTAAAATTAAAGTTTACTTAATCCGTTTGTGTTGGATTACATGAATGATTTGTGTTGCATTAACTTAAACTGGGCGGTGCTTGTTAGTGCCCAGCATGCTTTGCATATAGCTGAATTAAGAGAGAATAAATGTTGAAATTAAGTGTTATTTTATGTGTTTTCGAGAAAATGAGGAAAGGGGAAGACTTTATAGTGTGTGATTGTGTTTAATGTTCAATTACATTGCAATTATTAGAACCATTTAAATTACAGTGGGTCACCATTGTGGAGAAGAGTGGAGCATTTGGTTAGGATGTGGACTTATTACTAAACTATAACTTTTGTTGCTGAAAGAGCATATACATCTTAGCATTTCATATGTTAATAAGTGCTATTATATGCTAATAGCAAGCTATAGTATAGAATTTCAATTGAGAAATTATGTAAATCCTACATACTTTTATTTGTCAGTGAAGATTTAAATAAACTAAAGCATGTTCACTAAACTTAGCCGGTTTAAGTTACAGGGAAGCAATTCCATTGATTTGTTTGGACTCATTCAGTTGTGTTGTCACAACACAAGGAGCTTACATAGATTCAAAAAATCCCATTAATGTTAATAAAACGCAATTTGCTTGTGTGGAACCACTGTCCATAATTAAATTAAGTAAGTTTAAAGAGTAATTTTTTTTGAGTGTAGATCTAGATCTCTAGACATGAGAATGAACCTCATTGGTTCTTGCAGAAGCTCAAACGTGCTGCGTAACACGAGAATGAACCTCATTGGTTCTTGCAGAAGCTCAAACGTGCTGCGTAACACGAGAATGAACCTCATTGGTTCTTGCAGAAGCTCAAACGTGCTGCGTAACACGAGAATGAACCTCATTGGTTCTTGCAGAAGCTCAAACGTGCTGCGTAACACGAGAATGAACCTCATTGGTTCTTGCAGAAGCTCAAACGTGCTGCGTAACACGAGAATGAACCTCATTGGTTCTTGAGGAAGCTCAAACGTGCTGCGTAACACGAGAATGAACCTCATTGGTTCTTGCAGAAGCTCAAACGTGCTGCGTAACACGAGAATGAACCTCATTGATTCTCGCACGTCAAGTGAACATGCTTGAGCTTCCGTTTACCACAACTGATGTTTGAGTTGATTAATTTTTATATGTGAATAAAAGCCTAAATTTAATTAGTTCATCATATAAAGCGTTTGGGGCATATAAAGTCTCTTCAGAGAATTTTGGACTAAACTGCTCAATTCATATTGGATTAGTTTTACAATCTCTTTATGAACTTTTTGAACTGTCAAAGTGTCAGTTGTGTGGCAGTCAATGGAGGGACAGAAAGCTCTCAGATTTCCTCAAAAAAGATCTTCATCTGTGTTCGGGTTTGGAACGATATGAGGGTGAGTAATGACAGAATCTCTAACAATTTAAATCACAAATCACTGGTCAGGAAATTTTCAAAAATTGCACAAATACTGTAGATAAAATAACATACCTTTCCATCGCTTTTTACAGGAGGAAGAGTCAGTGTTGTTCCTCGGTCCTCACAATGTTGATGGCTTCAAATAGTTCATGAGTAGTTGAAAAACGTCTCCCAGTTAGTTTAGGTTTAAAGTGAGACCAAATATTCACTATATCAAATCTGGACTCTGATCAGGCCAAAACATGAGCCTGATGGACTTGTTCTCAAGGCACTTCTTTGTTGTCTTTGCAATTTGGGCAGGATCATTATCTTGTTGAAAAACAACATCTGATCATTCCTCTTTAGATAACAACTTTTTATAGGAAGCAAGCCATTCTGCAATATTCTTCTGTACTCCAAAGCATTAAATGCCTTTTCACAGTGAAGTAGCTCACCAATACCAGCAGCAAAAAGACTCCCCACACATGACAGCTCTTCCTCCATGCTTCACTGTAGTAGAGATGCATTTATTGTTATATTTCTCAGCAGATTTTCGAAGATACCGCTCTGGAGCTTCAACAAGCAACTCGTTTTTCATTGCTACTCATCACTCCACACACAGCTTCCCATATTCTGCCAAAAACTTCATTCTGTCTGAGGTTTTTCTGAGACAGCAATGGCTTTTTAAGTAGAGCATTTCCTTAAATTTAGCTAATTTCCTGACCAATAATTTGTGGTTAAGCCATTTTGGACTCTGCCCTTTTTCTTTCTTTTTGCCCTGGAGTGTAATCAGTGTATTTGCAGAGACACATTTTTGCCCATACAAAACTCATTCCCACAATGCCATGGTGTTGTTATATGGTTGCGAAGATGTCCTCAGTGTTTTCAGTGTGGTTGTCATGTGTTTGCTAAGATGTTCTGGGTGGTTACTAGTTAGATGATCACTTGCCCAAGCCAAAAGAACAGTTATTTTGAAGGGAAGATAGTTACTATGGAAGAGTGTTATTTTAGTATCAGTTATAATACTATTATATCATTTATTCATATTTTTAATTCACTTTTATTTTTGTTTTCCTTTTCATTTTAAGTTTTAGTCATTTTAGTAGTCACAATTACGAGATAAAAAGTCACATTGTGAAATTTTGGTCTTACATTATGAGATATAAAGCTGTAATTGTGCGATATAAAGTCAGTTACCTTTTTATTTATTTTATTCAGATGTGGAAACATGCTTCCATACATTACTCAAAGCATGGCATAAGTAATGTGCTGAAGTTTAATACTTAAAACTTCTAACGTCAAGTATATAAGTGATATTCGTCTAAGCAAACACTATCAATAAAGGAAAATTAACCTAAAATGAAGATTTATAAGGGTGTGTTTCATTCAAAGATCCATGTAAAATTATCCTCCAAATCATCTGAACACAAAAAGTTGCCCTGGACGGATCATTTCAGATTGTTGCTACTTCAAGAAGCATTTGTCCTTTTTCAAAAGAAAATACTCCTTATAATAAAGCTACAAAATAATAGTTATTAAAATGTTGGCCTTCAAAAGATGTGAGAAAGTCAGAATTCAGTAGAATCAAATAAGACTCGCCCCAAAATCCTGTGGTGTTTTAAGAGACCCTCAGCAATTTCCTTGAAATACCACATTTAACATGAACCAGTGTGAGCCACCAGAGCGATTTAGGATTTTAGGGAATAAAAATGCTCATATTTCTGGAATTTTAATGTCTTGGAGTCTTTGATTATGTAAGATAACCCCCCCAAATATATATATATTGAGGCCACAAGCGAGTCTTTACATAGCTGAAGCATAAACACATGCTCTTTGACCTCCAGAATGAATGCAGTCTGCATGGTATGCATCATTCAGATTTATTCAAATGGACAAAAGTTCATTTAACAATATGATATAATCAACGTCACATACAAATACTGCAATCGAATTTTTGTTGTGGAAAATAAATACATATTAAAGTTAACATGTCGTCAATAAAAAGACAAATACATCATCTCGGAGGAGTGCTTTGGAATAAATCATGCATAATTCTTTTGCTTCCAAACAATTTGGTAATAACCGTATTGCCTTTTTGGCGAGAAAAATCGCAGGTTTCTTCGGATCTACATCGTAAACATGCTCACTGACGCCTGTAAAAGCAGTTTACTCAGGTTTAGCATTTGTCCTCGGCCCTAAACTGGCTATTTGCGTAGAAAAAGGCAGACACGTTCTCAAGTAGACGCAAGCTAAACAGCTGTTTACTTGCTGCTTGTTTGCCTTCCTGACTTAGTTAAAGCCCACGTTCTGTAGATAAGAACATAGGAGGTCCTGTTTTACATTAGAACATTTCATTTGGTCCCGGTCCTGGCCCGGCTCCATTTGCACCAATTGAGTGTTGGGTTACAGCGCAAAGAGGCTCAGCACCCACCCGGATTGCAGGAATGAGTGGAAGTCCTTCGTGCCAAGTCTCTCCAATAACCCCTCGTGTGACACAGAGGGGACCTTTGTGAAACAATCCTTGCACTGACCAGTGAACACTGTTTAATTAACCTTTTCTCCTCTCCCTCCTCCCATATTCCCATGTTTTCCTAGGGAGGCAAAAAAGAAAGCCATAATCTCTCCTTCCAACACCCCTACGGCCCCCCACACAAATACACACACACCTTTTCTTTCAGTAATCAGAGCGCAAGAATTTCTTTTTCCCTCCCGCTCTATTATAACATTGCAGAATCGCCCGTTGTTTAAAGACTGGACCGGAAATTGTCTTTCTAAGAGTGGAAGGCGGTCAGGGCTGCGTGGCGGTGCTTGAGGGAAGCGGTCGGGGACATCCTGGCGACCGGGAGCCCAGACGAGCAGGAGCGAATGGGAACAATAGCCCTCCCCGACCTCCACGGCCCGAATCAAACTCCCGGGAATTACGGCTTGCAGGGAAAGAGAGCGTTTAGAGCAGGCATGAAAATAGTCGAATACCTTTAATAGGCCATAAAAACTCAAATACCAATGCAGGGGGGAAAAAACATGGAGGGTGGAGGTTTTCAAATGCACCGAGACGAAAGCCGAGCGAGTATGCCAAGGAAGAGGACTATAGTATGAGTTTAGCCCTTTCGTGACAGGGAGGATCTCGTTATGTCATGATCAGATCCTCACAGCCAAACAAGGGAGGTGCCGAGAGATGCTTTGCTGAGGTTGTCTGAGGACGACAGCGTGGATACATGGGAAAGAAAGTGAGGATAACGGACGGAGGAGTGGATTCACATCTCCAAAGACTGTATGTAAGGGTCCAGGTGCTCAATATGAGCATAAAGATGTTGGGGGAATGTAGAGTCCCGAAGGTAATGACATGAGAGAATGCCGCAACACACCCAGTGAGTGAACCGGGCCAACAGTCAATCAGATGGTACACAATATCCAGAAGGAACAAGCTGTGAGATTGTGAGTGCCTCCTGGTGGTGCCGAGAGGGAATTGCAGCTTGGTTCATTTGGGAAGCTGAGTGGAAATTGGCAGCCACTACAAACTTTTTTGGAAAACTTAAGCCAATGGTAAGGCTGAATAGCTTGTCGGGAGTAAGAAAGAGCTGAGAGTGAGAGAGACTGAAACAGAAAGACGGAGGGAGAATCAGGGCACTTCAACCCAATGTGAAGTATTGAAAGCATAGTTGACTCAAAAATGAGAATTCTCATCATTTACTCACCCTTGTGTTGTTCCAAATCTGTACCACTTACTTTCTTCTGTGGGCCACAAAAGAAGATATTTTGAAGAATGTTGGTGAAGTTGAAGAGTTTTTGTTGCCATTGACTCTGATTGTATGATGTAATGTCTTATGTTCCACAGAAGAGAGTCATACAGGTATAGAATGTCACAAGGTTGAGTAAATTATGACAGAAGTTTTACATTTTTGGGTGAACCATCCCTTTAGACACCTTATGTCGTAAAATCAACTAGTTTCTCTCCAGTTGTAGTTGAATGTACATTTAAACTTAAAAGAGTGGTACGTGATCTTCAAAACTTGTCTCAAAGTCTTCAGAGTGACTAATGGAGGAAGTTGAACGGCACTACTGTGGGCATTTTGTTAGTATGTATAAGTGAGAAAGAATAAGTGTGGCTTTTTCAACATGATACACCAAATCTCACTGCATTTCTACAAAAGACGGCACATCTTCCCACAGGGATCATTCGACGCACGCAGGTTCAGACAAGACAACCTCAACGCACGTTTCACAGATCATTTCAGGAATGTTCTCACCCTTCTGAAGTTCCTTTCGAGGTCAGACGTCACTCCAGGGAATGAAAACCCTGCTAAAAAATAGCTTAAACTACTGGTCTTGGCTGGTTAAGGTCTCGACTGTTGGTCTGGTAAATGTAAAAAAAAAAAAAAAAATTAAAACCCGCAGCCTGAGACTAACAACCATCTTAAGCTAGTTTAAGCTGATTTTTTAGTAGAGTAAAGCACCATAAATGAATTAAAAGCTCGAAAAGAAGTCGCCCCAAATTTGAAAAAACGTGTTGGCAGGAAAAGCATTTGGTCCACATACCGAAAGTCCTAATGGCAACCATTCAGATCAGGACTGAAATGAGTTTCACAGGTGTGAGAGAACAGCATTTGTCACATTAATGTCTCTGTAGCCTCCGGACAGGCTAAAGGACAGCTCCTGTCTGAACATGTCCAGTTCTGGAGCAGCAAAAAGCTGCCTTAGGCCAATCTCATACCACTCTAGAATAGCAGTACCTCAGTGACACACACAGTCCAACCACCACCATTATCATCATCATCCATCACCATCCTCACAGGATGATTCAGTGTGCATGTGGGTGTGTGCAGGAGTGTGTCCTGAGAGTCTTCAGTTGAAGAGGATAGAATCCGGGTCTCTGTTGGCCATCTGCGCCATGTGTTTAAGAACATCTTTTTTAGTGATGATTCCCAGCATACGCCTAAAAGGGCGACAGAAAAAAAGAGTCAGAAAAAAGGATTCTTGTTTTTAGTTAATACAAATCACTGATCTGTCAAGTCAGAAAATTATTGAACAGATGGTCCTAGTTAGCATATGCATGAGAGAGACTATGTTTGCATAAAATTTCAAGGCCATGTGTACTAAGTGTGTGCATGTGCGTTTCAAGTCTACTTTCTTTTTATATGATGTCATTTCCTTTTATTGTTCTAGATAGACTTGAAGGGTGGATCATAGGGACCGAGAAAGACCAACAGCCACGTCGATCTACTCAACATCGGGAGCTGATTAACACACGCACACACACACACACACTTTAAAAGGCAAAACAACTGCAACTAGAATCAGCTTCAGCTGTTTTGAACAAATATGGCAGGAAGCGCTCTTATAAGAAAGGACCTATGTGGAAACAAAAGAACAGACACTCAATATGGCCTTTTATAAGAACATAAAAAACATACGGATGAAAATGTCCCATCTCAGAGGTGCTGAGATCATTTTATTCAATCAGTGCTAAACTGGATATTTGCAGTGTATTTCTTGGTTCAATTTAATTGTATTGCGCTATTCACAATGCATATCGTTTCCAAGCAGTTAGTGAGCGAAAGTGGTGAGGAAAAACTCCCCAAGATGTTTATGTAGTAGTGAATGCAAAAGAAATCTTGGGAGGAACAAAGACTCAGCAGGGGAAGCCCTCTTGCTTGTGTTGGCATATATTTAAACAAAGTATATTTTAATAAACAGTCTAAACTGCAACGTGGAGACAACAGATCTGTTCCCAAACCTAGTGAGCTAACTTTTGACACTGCAAAACACAGCAAGGCAGCATTCAAACTGAGGCAAAACCTAATAAATGACTGATGTGAAATGCTCAACACCTCACTCTATTGGAATCAATAGTGAGTCAACTCTCCCATATTTGTATGATACATGTTGCTAAGATTACCTATTTAAGCTAATCTAACCTATTTCCTATTATGACAAAGCTGCTCAAAAACTTATTTACAGAAACCAGGAGTATAATATATATTAAATATATATTAATAATATATTAAAATAATAACAATAGAAGTAATAATACAAATAATAGGCTAATAATTCCATAATTTTCAGAGTTTACACTTTTTATTACCACTTAATTCAAATGACTTTTCTAGTCATTTGTGATAGTTTTTTCCTCGCAGCAATTTCTCCGATATTTCTACCCAAACGCTTGATATAACTATGAAAATGTACATTCATTCATTATGCAAATTTCCATTATTATAAGATTTTAAGTCCATGACTTTTCCAGGTCTATAAATCACAATTCTTTCATATATCCAGGTTTTCCAAAACCATAGGGTTTTAAAAATGAGTTGTTGAGAGAACAAAAAAAAAAAAAAACGTATTAACCCTGGTTGAGAACCACAGACCTATATACTTTTTTCAGTATGTAATACAATTTAACATTATCAACATTTCTCTCAACTCTTGTCCAGCATTTTGAGGCATTCTAGGGTTGCCTTATCTGACTGTGATGCTCAGAGTTTGGCCAAATGTTAAATGTATCTTAGAATATTGCACAGTGTTGCTGCCACAGATGTTGCCTTTAATGTTAGGTAGCTCAAGCTCACTAGATTTTGGAACAGAGCTAATGTGTGACTTTTAGGGTGAGATTAACATATTTCAATCTGACTTCTAAAGTTGTAAATGAGACATTAACACTAAAATGCAGTTTATTTCAACTTGGTTCAGTTGAATCTAGCTTGAGATGCCACAAAAATAATTATACCCTCATTCTGCTTCTCATGGGAGAAAACAAATATCTGCTACACGCATATCTCATCCACTTCTTTAAACGGATCACACAGCTGTACACGTCACCCATTCCCACAGACTCACCCGTTCTGAGTGACGAGGCACTGCCGCAGGCCTAGCTTGCGGAAGATGTCCACCACGATTTCCATGGGTGTGTGCACAGTGACCGTGAAGGGGCTAAGATCCAAGATGCTGTGCAGTTTGACAGCAGGAGGAGTGTTGGGTGACGCGGGCAGATCACATTCACTGAACAGGACGGCAGACACGCTGACCACACCTTCCTGATGCCGACGTGCATTTTCTGAGATGATTGAGTGAAAGTTATGCAGGAAAAATATGAAAAACAGGAAAATTAGCAGTATAAACGCAACACTAATACATCAGTTACAACTTACAACAAGGGTTAATTAGCAAAACATCCCACGGACAATCATATTGCACACAAGAACTGGCTGAAATCACTGCTTCCAATCTAATTGGCTGGCTGCTCTAAACATGTCTTGGAATAAGGATACAAAGGTTTATAATTAGTCAGACAAGAAACAAAGTCGCGCTTACAAGGCGCCAGGCTGACAAAATCTTGTGCTATCAACTCTTTGACAGAGATTCAAGAGTTTGGTTTGGGACACTTAGTAGCAAGAAAATCAGATATCCTCAGGCTCAACTTGATCTCCCAAAATTTCAGAAAAATATACAAAAACTGCTTTCAGACTGTGGTTGGTTGCGTCAGTCGGCTGGTTTGCAAGACTCCTAACAGTCAAACTGATGTCATATATTTGTTTAATCTACCGTTCAAAAGTTCGGGGTCAATTTTGTTATATTTTTGAAAAGAAGTTTCTCTTTATGCTCAGCAAGGCTGCATTTATTTGATTAAAAATTACAGTAAAAACAGCAATATTGTTAAATATCATTACAATTTAAAATGACAAAGGGATAATTCACCCAAAAATTTAAATTCTGTAATTAATTACTCACCCTCATGTCGTTCCAAACCCATAAGTCTTTTATTCATCTTCAGAAAATAAATGAAGATCTTTTTGAGGAAATCTGAGAGCTTTCTCCATTGACAGTTACGCAACTACCACTTTGATGCTTTAAAAAGAGATTATAAAACTAATCCATGTGAATTGAGCGGTTTAGTCCACATTTTCTGAAGAGATCGCTTTATATGATGAACAGATTAAATTTAGGCTTTTATTCACATTTAAACATTGATCAGCGAACATAAACAGAAGTCTAACCTTGATATGCGAGAACAAACCTCATTGGTTCTTGCGGAAGCTCAAACGTGCTGCGTAACCAGTGTTGGGAGTAATGTGTTACAAAAGTAATGCATTACAGTAACATATTACTTTTAGCTGTAATGGAGAAGTGTAAGGCATTACTAATCACTTTTCAGTAATATTTTACTCGGTACATGTTCAGTAACGCTTGCGTTACAACACACTTTTAGCCCAAAATTTAATTGTTAAAAAAAGAAAAAAAAAGAAAAAAAAAGAAGAAAAAAACCAGCAAGATCGCGAGACATTAACGAATGCAAAATGCAAGTACGATATTACCTGTTCGTGGTCAGTCAATAGCCGCGTGTGGGGTTCAAGTTTGTAAATAAAGACTAAATGACAGCTTCTGATATATTTGTATAGCGATTAATTTCATTCATCTCCCTCTTGCTGGTGTACCTTTGTATTGTGTGACATAGTCCAGTGAAGGTTTAGGGCAGGTTTTACAGGAGTGTTGCGAGGCATGATTTCGTCCTCTGTGCTCGCGCTGGCCAGTGGAAAAGTGGCTAATGTATGAAGATAGCAGAAGACGACTGTCCATTCGCGAGATGGACGTATGCGCATTACTTCGAGTTTGTCAGAGATAAGGACAAGAAGAACGTAATAGTCAAATGCAAACTTTGTCTAAAACCGAAAGAACTGGGAGCACTTCGACTCGGCGCAGTAATATCATCACTCGTGAAAAGTCCTCTCCCCCCTCTCCCTCTCCGGAGTGATGATATTACTGCGCCGAGTCCATAGATATATATGCGCCAAGTCGAAGTGCTCCCAAGCACTTGCTATGGTATTCCACCATACATTATAGTTATCCATTTTACACGCTTAGAAAGTGCAACGTTTTATTTTGTGTCACCATTCTTGGTCGAGTTACACTACTCGTGTAACTGTATTTAAATAGGGAAAACATGGAGGTGTTTGGTCGCTTCTCTGCTTGGATCCTAATGAATGAACTGGGCTAAGCTAAGTGCTATCAAAGTTTCACCGCAAGACAGAGCGATTGAGTGCACGCACTGAGACGAGAGAGGTATGTATCAACTCGTCTTAGTTAAGGGAATAACATAGTTTAATATGAAAAAAACGGTGGAGTATCCCTTTAAAGAGGCCGCTAACTCTTGTGGGTCGCCACCACTCACCATACTCATCCTTAGTGCTGCTATCTCTGACTCACTCACTGGACCGTCGTCAACCTGACAAAAAACTGCATACATATGCGGAGCTCGCCTAAGGCGGGGCTAAAGATTATGTGTCCCTAAAGAACCCGCGTATCTAACAGTAGTTCCGCATTACATTAATTAATTTGAACGCGAGTTTAATTATTTTTATACCGTGTATTCTCCGTGTAAATTCATGCACCGAACCGCGACGCCAGTACCATTTCGGTTCAATACGAATACATGTACCGTTCCACCCCTAAAATACATGTATATATACATTAACAGCATAAATATGTGGAGCACTGATAAAAATAAATACTCACCTAAAGATATTACCAGATCCCTCCTCAACACAAAGCCCACCAATCTCTGAGACTGGTGTGAGATCACTACAGGAAAGCCACTGTAGGTGGTGTCTCCGATGAGTCTCTCCACCTCCTCTACAGTCATTCCGCTCTGCGTCAGCACAGACAGCGGTGGGCCGCTCCGCCGTGGTCGCATCACATCCGTGGCAAGAGTCTTGTGGCGGAATTCCTCTTTGGCTTCCAGGAAGGGGTAACCGTTGAGACGGATGTGGGCCTCGTAGATGCCCTCACGACCCAGAGCGTCTGCGACCCATTTGCTGGTCATGGCAGCAGCCATGAGAGGCACAATGTACTCTAAACCTCCAGTCAGCTCAAACATAATGACCACCAGAGAGACTGTCATACGGGTCACACCACCTAGAATGGGAAATTAGAAGGGAAAAAAATACAGATATAAACCACTAACCACAAATATGAACAACAATAATAGTGAAGATCGCCTTGGCAAGCACCAATAATTAGGGTGTATAAAGGAAATAGCTCATTAAAAGTGCGACAAAGTCGATGACTAAGCAAGGTCAAGCCATGTTCCTGAAAGCCAACATTAAATGCTTCTGCATGGAAGACTGCACAAGGCAATTTGGTTGTAACTGCAAAGTAAAAAATAAATCATCTGGAAAACGAATCTTCAGTAAATTTTTCACAGAGATGGAGCTAAATCCCCCCTCACCCAGACAGGCTGCTGCGCCCACCATGGCGTACAAGCCCGGCGTGATGCAGTACGCCCCAGGAGAGCACCAGCCTCGGAAAACATTCCAGTCATGGTGGTAGATGGCCAGCTGCTCCATGCCCACACCAAGAAGCCTGCCTGCTATAGCTCCCACCGCCATACTGGGGATGAACAGACCGGATGGCACCTAGAGAGGAACAAAGAGCAAGACAAAATAAATAGATAAAGATGGCAGAACTTACATGTTATGCAAGCAGTGATTTGTCAAATTCTTAAGAAGGTTTGATTGTGACTAGGGTTGAATCGATTTTGGCTTCGTTATTCGTTTGTTACCCTAGGTAACAAATCGCCTCAGGTGATTAATTTATATAGGCAATGTAACCAAGGAAAACTAAATAATGTGTAATTGTTGAGTCCAAATTTATTTGGATGACATTTGAAATGAAATAAAATATTTTTTTTACTCTCATTAAAATGCTGACATTTCTGACATAACAATTACTATTATTCTGTGAAAAAAATGCCAGCCAAACTAACTCGTAGTCATGTGACGAGAAAAACAAAAAATTTTATGGTTTTCTACTTCTAAATTTCCAAAATTATACTGTAACTGTACCATGGTAATTTTGTGGTGCTTAAGTGTTTGGCTATTATTATATTGTATAGACAATTTGGCTCTTTTTGGCCCCGATTTGGCGGTTGAGGAATAAAACTGCAATTTACTCATGGAGGAACATTTTTGTAAAATTTTAACCCTTGTGCATCCTTGAGGCCATTTTTGTCTTTTTTTTTTTTAAATGTATTATTACTTATATATATATATATATATATATATATATATATATACATTTTGCCAACTGCATACATTTTGGCACAAGTGTGTATTTATATTGGAATTTTACCATTTATCATTTACTTTAATGAATCTATTTTACACTATAGGTACACAAAATAGTTAGACTTAAGACCTCATTAAGATGTTGTGTGGGTGCAGTACAAAACTTTTTCCATTAGATCCCAAGTACACACACACACACAATTTTTTAGTACATCCATAGCACACTCTGACAATCATACCATCACACCCACACAATTATAGCTCCATAATTTATCCAACTGGCTCTAAAATTCGCTAAAGCAGATAACAGGGATAAAGACAAAGACTATAATTTTAAATGTTCCTGGGATTAAAAATTGCAGTTTCAATGGGGACATTTTTGAAAGCTCTTCTTTTTTTTTTAGATATCAACCTCAAGTTTGAAACAACTTTTTTGTTACTTTTTTTTTCACAACTTTGATATTCTAGCAGTTTTTGAATTCAACATGTTTTATTAAATATATATAAAAAAATGTGTATATATATATGGGGAAAGGTGCATCTCCCCCCGTGCAGTCAAAACACATCTAGGTCTGTTACCTTCATGCCAAATGTAGCCACAGTGATGAACATCTTAAAGATCAGTGCAAGAGCAAGCAGCAACATAGCCGTATAGAGCTTTGGCCCCTCCGGACGATCCGCCAGACCGTTAGTGACAGTAACATTAGCACTTCCTGTTCTGCTTCCACTGTAGTCGCAGATTCTCGACGAGTCCAGCAGACTACAGTCGTTGAACAGCTCGGAGATCAGTTGGCTGCCACTCATCCGAGTGTACTCATTCGGGAACGCTAGCAACGCTGTGATCAGGGTGACCAACAGAACCTCGAGGACAGGGTAGTGCCCAAGGCAGGTGTTCTTTCGGAGACGGCACCAGGCGATGTTAGCACGAATGAAGAAAGCCCCCCAAAGGCCACCAAAGATGCCCAGAAATATGAAAGGTATGAGTTCTAGAAAATGCCAGGGAGTGTGGAACTCCACGTAGAAAAGGACCAGACGGCTGTTGCCGAAGGGGTTAATGGAGCGAAGGGTGAATGCAGCAACCAGAGCAGCGAAGAACGAACGCCACAGAGTCTTCAGAGGGAAGTAGTAGCTGACCTGAAAAAGACAATGTGAGAGACATTTGTCACTGTCAGGTGTTAGAATAACATTCAGCAGATGTTTTCAACGTAGATAATAATAAACCACTTGGGAGCAGACACCACAGCTATTTGTAGCTGCGTGCGCATTGTGGTGGCAGAAAACAGTGGTAACAAGTGGAGGAAAACAAGCAAAATCCAAGGAATAAGAGAAAATGTCTTCTTGTGCCTCTGGATGTCAGAATCGGAATGCAAGTAAAGATGGCTTTCTTTATTTTTTAAAATACTGTCGTCAAAGACGCCCTTTGAGGCCGAACGCAGACATTTATGGTTGCAAGCCATTAAACAGACAGACTCGACTGATGAAACCTGCGATCTACTATTAAAGCATTAATTTGATGTAAATAATAGGTATATATAATATTCATATATGCAGTTCATCGGGGACATTAGCCCTACAGTTACAGCATAAAATAACATTCAAACCAATAACATTTTTATCTCACATTTCTGACTTTTTTCTTGCAAGTTTAAATCCCAAAGATTTTTCTTTTCAGAACTGAGATATAAACTCTAAATTACTTTTTTTTTTCTTTTTTTTTTACCCATTATTCTTTTATATTAACCTGTCATTTTCTGCCACCAGGTGGGCTCCACCCACAAAACACATCATCGCTGTGGTCTAATATCAGATATTTGTGTCAATAGCGTGACTTGTTTTTTTCTTTTTCTTTCAAGAATGCATTAAAAACGTAATACATTCAGAGAGTCAAATGACAAGAATACATTTAAGATATGTCTATGTTTTAAATTACCTGAAACTTTAACTTTTTCTTCTCACAAAAAATATTTTATTTTAACCATATTTTATAGTATTATTAATTTCTGAAAATGTTTTGTTGGCCAAATAAAATGATACCACAATGATATATATGAAAACTGAATCACAGAGATTTATTTTCAGTTTATTTGGCTTCCAAAAGGGATAAAACGCATCAGAAACAGTACTATAAAAATAAATGAATCTCTTTGTTTATGGCAGGACTGCAGAAATATAAAGCGCTCACCTCCTCAAGACTGAAAAGCACCCCTCCAATAGGAGCACCGAACGCTACGGACACTCCCACTGCAGATGCTGCAGACAACACCTGATACACACACACACACACACACACACACACAATGAATATTTACTTAATTTACAATCCATTCCATTTCTATTCCCTAACTAAAATGCACAATAAAGAGCATATTCAACCTCATAAATATATGAACAATGAATTATACAATTCAATTATATAATCCTGATCACGTGATTCAGGAGGACAGCCTAGAAAAAGCCTCGTCTGTTCACGATTTCTATTACCAATTTGGCACTGGCAACTTCCATCAGTTAACAGAGACCAAGCCAAGAGGTTTATATCAATGTATTACATTACAAGTTTTGGTCCAAGACACAAAATACTTTTCTGTTACTTTTCTGTCAGTCTATCCCACACTCCCCTCTCCCTTATCACTTCATCATTCAATTCCTCCTCTCCTCATCTCGCTCCCCAGTTCCTCTCACCTCTCGTCTCTTGGCCTCATTTCGACGGTATTTGGTGAATAAATGGCATAGGATGTTTGCGCAGCAGCAGGCTACATGAACCAGTGGACCCTCTTTCCCCAGACTGAGGCCGGAAGAGACGGCCAGCACCAGCGTGATGGTCTTTATGATCAAAGTCCACTTTCCCAGGTACCCACGGATTATGAAGCCACTCAGGATGGTTTTAATCTGCAAGAATTAGGGATAGGTTATAAAGGATTCAAAATTATTCCCAAAAACTGGCCATTTTCCAGACCAATGGTTGAGGAGCAAATATAATTCACTTAAGCAGTTTTTCTTGGCATATGAACATGTCTTAATGGATCGTTTTAAAAACGGTCCTTAAATCTCCACTGACAACTCCTCCACATGAATTTAAATCAGTATTACAACTGCAATCATCTAACATGGGTTTTTTTCAGACAGACAGTGTGACTTATGTCAGAAAGCCCTGCATTGTTCTCTCTGCCAAGGTTAGAGTGCAGAAACAATTGTGGTTGAACATCTGAAAACATTTTAAACATCTGAAAACTGCAGAAAACTGTAGAAAAATTGTTTGTCTCTGTTCACTCTCTCGCTTTACTCACAGTTTGACATATAAAACTGAAAAAAGGTGTTTTTAGTCTCATTTAAAGTGAAGCTTAAGTATGTAATTTCTGCACCACTAGAATTGCAAAAGTAACTAAATTTTGACCATTTCTGAAGAAATTGTGATTGTACGGCTAAAGGAAAATTGTATTGTAGGTGGAAAGAACTTGAATTTGTGAAAAGATACATGGCTCATCATATGCGAGCATCTGAGGAGCTTCTCACCTCTGGTATTCCTGAACCGCAAGCATAAGGGGCGAAGGCTCTCACCAGAGTCACTGCCAGGAAGGCGAAGAGAAGAGCCCAGCTCACATACATGAAATAACTCACCACATACGCACTGGCCCCCTGCAGGACACACACAGGACACAGCTGAAATCAAGGGGGCTTATACACCGTCACCCCCTACAGGACAGTTAGAGGCCACACTTATTCTTACATGCTATTTACTCACATTCTGAAGTTGATAATCATGAAATGAATAATGAGGCATTTAGGAGAATGAGACCTCCTAATTGAGACTTGAAACTCCCTCCCTAATAATATGTATATCTTTATTCTAGATTTACATGAAATGTTGGTTTAAAGGTCTTTAAAAGAATTCCTCCAATTCTCAATAGACTGGATACTGAAAAATTGAAATTACTGCAATTCAGTATTTGTGAATAAAATAAATAAATTTTAAAAAATGAATCCGAGATGAAGATGTTTTACTGTAAATTATTAAACTTTCTACATTGTAGCTTTGTCTTCATACCACAAGGGGGTGATATATTACCATTCAGAAATCTGGGGTTAATAAGATTTTTTTTTTAAAGATACTAATACTTTTATTCAGCAAGGATGCATTAAAGTGACAGTAAAGATATTTATAAAATAAAAAATAAAAATCTATTTAAAATAAATGCTGCTCATTTGAATTTTCGGTTCATCAAAAAAAGAATCCTTAAAAAAAAAGTAATATTAATATTACTGTTTTCAACGTCGTTGATAAGAAAAACTTCGAAGAAGAACTTGAGCAGCAAATCAGCATATTAGAATGATGTTACACTTGTGGTGTTCCCGGTCAAAAATGACCGGTCTACAAAAGATAACTTGTGTAATACTTAAATAGTTTGTGTGTTTTAACGTGTGTGTGTGTGTGTGTGTGTTGGGTAGCGTGTGTATGCATGTATCCACACATGCACAGGTCCAAGGGCTCGACGTTTGCAAGCACACATGCACATATGTGTACATGAACATAATGAACATGCTCCTGAAAACTAAATATTTATCTTATTTTCAGTCTCTCCCATTCACTTTCAATGGCCGGCTATTTTTGACCGGGAACACCACAAGTATAACTTTGTGCCATTTTGTACAAATAAAAGTTTTTCAAAACAAACTTCCTTGTGAAACATTAAAGTAGACTAGTGTGATTAACAGTGCAATTTTTTCATATTTTATTTAATATTTCCAAAATTATACATAAATAATGCATTTTTTACTCAAAAATTTAGATGCCTACTCTCAGATAAATGAAGCCTACGATTAATCAGAAATATAAAACCAGTCCTAATTGAAAGAGAACAAGTTGACAAAAAGATTGAATCCAATATTGGGTGATAATATAGCATAACAAGATTTATAAGCAATTTTTTGTAGGCTGGTAATTTTTTACCAGGAAGGATTAGTTTTAACTTTCTGCTCTGATTTAAGACCTTTTAAGGCCTCATTTTTGTAAGGGTAAATTTACACTTTTTAAGACCTGCAGAAACCCTGATATTAACAGATTTCTTTTATTTAAAAGCAGCACCATGAGCTGCAACATGGGTGTAAATTTAGTGAATGTGAACTCTTCTTTACCAATGGTGCAGACGGAGTTAAATTTCCCGTTCAGCTCTGCCAACTGAGTGGAACCAAAAATTGAACCCGATCCGGAATTCTTAGCCACACACTTGTCCCAGCATTTCTTGTGCTTGGCACTCTCCTGGTGTTTAATCAAGCTCTCACGCTTAAAATGTGTGGATTCAGTGGTGAATGCAGCATTACCTGCAACCTCTGTCCCACGGACTTTACAGTAAACGCAATGCATGGAGCCATTTACATAGCGGAGCATAGCGAAGTCTTTTACATAGCCATTAACAAAGCAAAGTCTTTCAGTCACTCTCTCCAAAAACTGTAAACCTTCTCTTCCGCTGGTGAATCCACATTCACCACATAATCGCGTTTACCAACTCCAGGAGTTACATTATCTTTAACTTTATGCAGCTTGCAAAAGAAAGCTCTGTTCTTTTCATCTTCTCTCTTCAGCTCTTTACATTTTGTGCGCTAGTTAGCTCCCTGTCACGTGACAACAGAGCGCAGTGAAAGGGGTGACTGATGGCTACTATTAACCAATCTAAAATCTGCCATTAAGTTAAGAATGTAAAGAGGATGTTTCATTGGTTGTGTAACGTTGGATGGAACGGTGGACCGGTCCCTCTATCAGCTCACAGCAGGCAGCAGGCACATACTCTGTGCAGTAATTAGCAAACGTTTTGTAGAGAAATGAAAACAGGTCGCACCACAACAATTATTTGCACTCGCACAAATGCTCCCAAATATTTTTGAGGTTAAATTTCGGAAGCATATGTGACCAAAATGGTTGCAATTTCGAGCCTTTGATTACATATGTAATATGGTGCAATGGTAACATGGATCTCTGTCACGCAATGCTTCCGTGCGGGTTGAATATGGAACCCACCTCATTGACTCCAACCATGAGCTCTGCCCAGCTTTTCCACTGAGGACACCTGTCTCTTTCCTTGAAAGTGGTTTCATTGGATGTCCAGCAACAGTCCTCATGATTAAACCAGAACCCGTTTAGGCACACGCCCTCTTTAAGGTCTGTCATCCAATGGGCGGCAATGTCTATACCTCCAGCCAAGGCCCCTGGTGAGGGAAGAGATGGGACACAAAAGACATTCAAGTCACACATCATACGAATGCATTTTCACACAATAAAGAATTATCGATACTTTTTACGTTTTCTAAATAGAATACGAGTGGTTTTTGCCCATGAAACCTAGCCATCATGATGCTAGGATATTGTGGGAGGTTGCCAAAGTATTCCTTTAGGGTTGCAAAGGGTGTTTTAAGCATTTTTAGCTAGGTGTTTGCTTACAGGCCCAAGGCAAACTACCCCATCCTCAAGTCCCTATGACACTCTGGTCCTTTCTTCAATGCAATTGTATGGGATATGTCAATTGATTTGTTGCCTTTTTGTTAATAAAATCATAGGTTTGAAAGCGAAACAAAAAGTAATAGCACACCTCTTATCAACTTTTGTTTTGATAAGTATAATCCTTAGGGCTATGGGATTTTAAAATCACGCTTTGGTAAACAATAATTACTGAAGTGATAATTATGACATACCAAGTCATAAATGTGTCATAATTTGTATTTTATCTCATAATTGTACTTTTTTGTTATAGTTATGATTTACGACAAAAGATTAATTTCTTATAATGGTGGAATGGGTTTCTATACTATAAAAGCCCACTTCCGACACATAAGCAAAAACAATTATAATGATGAAAGTCATAATTATGAGATACCAAGTAAACAAAATTGTGTCATAATGATGACTTTATCTTATTATTTTGACTTCTCATAATGACACATTTTTTATTATATATATTTTTTATTATATATTTGTATTATATATATTTTCTAATATGCCAGAAATGAGCTTCTATACCTTTATGATTCAATACAGTACAGTACTGAAAGTATGCAGGTCTACTTAGAAAGTATGCAGGTAAAAATCGTCATTGTACTTTGTGCATTTAAGGTCAGGAAACAAATAGAAAGATATTAAACAATCAAGACAGCAACAAAGGCCAAAAAAAAAGATCAGTAGGGGCTCCTGACCGTAAATTTAGGTAGGACAGATTCTGGGTCTTAGTGCTAGTTTATGATAAACTATTTGTAAGCTTTATATTGTAATTGCTGAACACAGGTAGAACACTTTTGACAGAGGTTGCGTTATTCAGCCTGAGGGTGGCACTCTAATGTTGATTGATAGTATTCTATGTGTGTGTCAGGTGTACTTAAAGTCTATCTAAGAATTGTCTTAAAGAAATTTTAATTAGCCCATGATTTACTCACCCTCAAGTCATCCTCCTAGGTGTATATGACATTCTTCTTTCAGACAATGTATATATTTAGTAATGCTGATATTTACGCTACGCCATGACGCACTATGCTACTTCCAATGTCACAAGTTGCGTAAGTTGTGCTTTAGGTGCAAGTAGACTGCGTATGGTCGTTTGGCCGAAAGCTAGAATTTTACTTTGTAACGTGTTAAAATATGAATATTTTTCTTACACAAACGCATTGCTTCGCTTCAGAAGGCCTTTATTAACCCCCCAGAGCTGTCTGGAACACTTTTATGATGGATAGATGCACTTTTATGATGGATAGATGCACTTTTATGATGGATAGATGCACTTTTATAGACTTCAAAACAGAAACAGCCATTCACTGCCATTATAAAGCTTGTAAGAGCCAGGACATTTTTTAATATAACTCCGATTGTATTCGTCTGGAAGAAGAATGTCATAAACACCTAGGATGACTTGAGGATGAGTAAAAAATACTAAAAACAGAGCTGAAAAACGGGTCTGGTCACCCTACATAAAGACAGACAAGCCAACTAGTTACTGACCTGATGCAGACTAATATACACATAGTTGAAGCGGATCGATCAATTAGAGCAGGGGTTCCCAAACTTTTCAATTCCAGGACCCACCTAGACAAGAATAATCTATCTCAAGACCCATCAAAATTTTTTAAAGCATGAATGTGGGGTGGGGTGGGAGGCGTTAGTTCTCTTTTTTCCTTGTCATAGTATGAATGACATATAAGTTTAATTGCAATACAAACTTATGGCACATTATAAAAAAATTCAAGAATTAAAATAGCAGCCTAATAGCTGTTTAAATAATGTGAAGAATACTGAGTAGTTTTTGTCTGCTGTCTCAACTGATTTACCCAGACATGGCAGAACAAATTTAAAGAAATGAAAAAGATTAAGTAAGCTTAATCTTAACTGAAGGTTTGATATGACAAAAAATCTGAATATTAAAAAAAAATAGACTAATAATTTTATTTGGTAGGTAGCAAAATGCATACGAGGGAATGCAAACAACGCACTCTTACGACGACCATATCTCTGAAAGACAACAGCACTGTGTTGAACAGACGACAGAGATTAATGCGTTTCCCAAAAGCATTGTATGCCTAAGTAGATCGTAGAACCATTGCCACCGATGGTCTCTACAATCAACCTAGCTCACGCTGCTTTTGGGAAACGCAGCCCAGACCTGAATGAGCCTTTCGTGACATTTGAATTCTCCGGTGTAATGCGATCTCATGCAGAATGCAGAGCAGTGATTGGAGTAAACGAGTTTCTTTTACTCGTTGTTAATAATCTTTAACTGTCACCCCCCTTTTTCGCAAAGACATGAAAATCACTATCCAAACTTAAATGGTTGTAATTAAAGAATGCTTTGGAATAAAGACCTTGTTTTAAAATAATACATTTGCCCGATTATTGTAGACGTGAAATAAATTATGAAAGTGAAACAGAAAAAAAGTTATACAAGTTTGTGTTTATGAAAATGTACAATGTAAAAATAGAATTATTTATATTTTATATAAAATATATATATTACAAAATATATTTTACTCTAAAACTGCAAGAAAATGAAAGCCAAAAATTTGAACAAGTTGTGTTCCAAATTTAAGGTTGATCTAAAAAAAAAAAGAGCTTTCAGTAAGAGTTTATTTGGGCGCAGTACCAAACTTTTTCACTAGATGGACAGTCAAGCTTCCTTACTAGTATAGTAAGCTTCCGTATAAAGGCGCCTCTATTTTCATATATGTCGTAAACTCGCGCTGGGGTGCGTTTCCCTTAGCCAACTATGGTCGCAAGTTGGTCGCAAATCCCATTGAACTCTATTGGTAACGACGGAACTTGCGACCATAGTTGGCTAACGATGCTTTCAGGAAACGCACCCCTGATCGGCCCAAAATCTGGCATCCGACCAGCACGAAAGGTCAATGTTTTAAATGATCTGAACCATGTATTTCCATAATTTTCATACAATTTATGAAGCAGACATCCTATTCAGAAGTATTATGGGTGGTTGTATTTGATTTGAATTCAACCTCTAATAAACGCAGAAAAAAGAGCACATATGTGCATTATAGCTCGCAGCAGCATCACAAATCGAGAATCCATAATATTTTTCTTTATATTTAAAACTTTTTTCTCGTAAAATTGAATTGGTGTTATCTTTTGAACTCTTGGCATGAAAACAAACTGAGGTTTCTACCAATCTTTCATGATTTTTCATATTTATTGCCATTTCAAAATAAAGGCCTAAACACGCATGAATATGAAATATTCTTGTTGCAAATTGATAAATTACTGCTTCTCTGTAATTTATAAAAAAAAAAAAAAAAAAAAAAAACAGCCACCAAATATGGAAACTAGAGATTGTAAGCTTTCAAATGATATATAGTTAATATTACTTTAGGTTTTTACTAAGATTTTATTGTGAAAATTGTTATCACAAGAAGTCACACGCGTGTGCTTCATGAAACACAATGCTGACATATTTATCTAATTAAAATCGCACTAAGCACTATAGCGATTTCTATTTAACGTTGGTACATCGTGCAACCTGTTTGTATGTGTGTCATTCATGAAACGGAAATTTTGCTGCAGCCAATAGTGACTGCGTGACCCACATCTTCCCAATCTGCGACCCACAGTTTGAAAAACCCCTGAATTAGAGTGTGGAAATAAACAGGAAGTGGGCAAGACGTGGGCTGACCTGACATGAGTCCAATGAGGAGCATAAGAAGCCAGCCAGAAAAGGCATCACTGATGCTGATGAGCAAGGCTAGTGTAGACTGCTTACTCTTATTGGTGATCTGAAAGAAACACAAGGTGTTAGAGCAGGAAATGTGGGTGGAGTTTCAAAAGCAGGTGGAAACCCCGCTCACCTCTCTATGTCGATCTCTGTCTTTAGACTTCTCCCTAACCCAGTCGATGGTGTTGAAGTCCTCATAGGTGCCAATGCCAGGAATGGTGTCATCCAGTAGATCCAACAGCTTAGGACTGTTGTATACTCTCCAATCTGCTTTACAGCGGCCTACGTCTACAGGAACAAAACACAACATAAATACTCATGGGAAACCTGCAGACACTCTGTATTTTGCGTGCAGGATTGCATGCCTATGCTGTTTTTCTATTGTGAAAGCAGAATGCAAATAAAATGCCAATTAACGATGGACAATTCCCATTGTGGCCTGAGAGGAATTACAGATAACCAGTTCACCATTACATTGTCAATCAGAGCCGTTAGCGTGTGATATCGCTGGCAGGGCAAAGCCTAACGCACTGTGAATGACCCAGACAGACTTAACAAAAAGAAAAGGACTGATGTTGACCTCAAATGCTGACCATAAAATAACAGTGGATGAAGTCAAGTCAAAATACAAGCCAGTTAGGACAGGATACAAATCACTGTTACATATGTTTACACAGTACATAAAGCACTTTTATTTTACTTTTAGTGTGTTTACTTCAAAAACAATGACTACCCTCCAGAGCACAAAATTCTTTCATGCTTCTTTAGTAAATTATCTTATTCCAAGAACTAGGAGACATGTAATGGAACGCCACATTAGAGTCAATACTGTGAACTCACTTTTGTACAGATTAGACAGCAGTTAACTGGACAAGGCTGCGTTTCTTAAAACCAGATTGTAGAAGCATTAGCACCAATGGTCTCTATGCTTTTGAAAAACGGAGCCCAGGTCATTTTGGCTACCATCTAACTAACGTCCGTATGCAAATAAGTCAAATGACAATGAACTGAACAAATGTTTCAGATCAAACTAGTTTAGCTGGTTTAACAGATGTAGAGCGAGAGACACCAGGCCTTCACACTGGTTTTAAACCAATGTGTGACACAAATTGAAAAAAAGATTCAGGTTCAACTTGAAACAAAAGGCGTCTGACAGCAACATCTGACACATAGGACAGTAATGCTGCTGGCTATAAGGCCGCATTTCATGCTTAATAATAGGACCAGTTTGTGAAGTCAGAATCTTTGTCTGAGCAAAATAAAAAAATAAATAAAAGGAATAGCTCATTGCAAACTTGAATGATGTGTTGCTCCAGAGACACACCAGTGAAAATATTTCGAAGAATGTCTAAACTGTTCTCTTCCATACAATGCAAGGGAATGGAGACTTTGGCTCCAAAAAATACAAAGCTATCATTTTTTGTCATAATTTTTTGGTTTGTTCCTCCTGCCAAACAAAAATAACGTTATATTGTTACACATTAAAATCTATTTCAAACCTTTCTTTTCAATCAAAGAATACTGAAATATATCCGTTTACACAAAAATATTAAGCAGTAAAAAATGTCCATTGATAATAATAAGAAATGTTTCTTGAGCATCAAATCAGCATATTATGATTTCTGAAGGATCATGTGACACTGAAGATGGGAGTAATGGTGCTCTGCCTTTAAAATAATAAATTACATTTTAAATTATATTGAAATAGAAGTTTTTTTCAATCTTATCAACCCAAAAATTTTGACAAAAAATAATGACAGTGCAGACTAAACTCTTATTAAATGACTACTGACTACAGATGTTTTTGTTTCTCCTCAAAAAGAAGAAAAAGATCAACAGTGGAACTCGGTGCGAACTAAAGTTTACAGGAAAATAAAGTTAAAGGAGAAGTGTTGACTGTAATTTGAGTCTTGGTGGAAAAGAGGTGGAGGTTTAAGAGGAACCAGCAGCTCTGTAAAATGAGTCCGTGTGTGTTCTCATTTAACTGTGATCTCACATGCTGTCATGAACAACAGCAGCTCAAACTAAAATAAACTCTCAATCTACTTTCTTTTAGTTTCCTCTTTAGCTTAATTCCCTGGTGACTCCCTCGATCCAAATCGTTCAAGCAATGAAATTATGCGAATGCTGCTGATGTCTTTAACAATCCCACTGAATATGAATATGACAGCATCAGTTCTCAACGAGTGGTAAAATGCATACGATGGCTGTAACTACACTTCCTTCCTGTCACAGTGAGTCATGACTGCCAAATCATACAAACAGAAAACCTCAGACAGAATTGTGCTGACCTGGTTTGATTCTGTGTCCATGAGCTGCTAAACTATCTAAAATACTTGTATCTTCAATATCGTTGATCTCTGCACTTTATCTCTCAGTGCACCACTGAAAACTAAGCTGAAACACACACAGTGCATAATGTTGGCTTAGGCTCACACAAGTCTCCTCCATTAGTGTTTTGCCATTGTTTTCTCAATGATTAAAAAATCATTGAAACCTTCAAGATAAAAGCCTTCACGCTAAACTTAAATTAGTCTGAACAACCACACAAAACATTCATACCAAAGAAAATTACACTAATATAATAGTACCACAAACATATGGGGGAAAAAATCTCTAACTGTAATTTTTCTGATAAAAGTTGTGATTATGATTTAAAATGCGACTTTTTAAGAGAGTTTCAGCAACAACAAAAAATTGCTTGCTTGTAGGGCTGCGCAACTTGGACAGAATTTTAATTTTATGTCTATGAAATAATATTATTACTACTACTAAGTAATAAAATAAAAATGACTAAATAAAAGCTAAATAAGAAATATGATTACTGTAATTTCACTGTAAAATAAAAAAATGAAAAAAAAAATTTACATTACAGCTGTAAAATTAGAATCCTAATATTTATGGCTGTTTTAATTTCTTCATTTTCAAATTTTAAACTAAACAAAATAATTCAATTTAATAATATAAATAAATTTAAAAAATAGATTAAAATTAAATAATACATTTAACAGTTCATAACTATAGAGTAGAAAAATACAATAATGTGACTAAATAGAAACTCATTTAAAATATACATTTTTCAGTGTTTCAATTGGGTGTTTATAAAAGGTATATGCATTTTAAATTTTAGGATGAGGGTCACACACAAGGATGATCATATTTGGGGTCGGTGGCATCTATAAGAGTGAAAAAAACCTTGCTTTAGGGTCCTGGGGCCGTTTGCAACAGCTGTGCTTAAGTTGCAACTTAGCCTAGTTTTGACGTAAATGGGCACTAAGATACAACTTATGCACTACTAAATATTTCTGCATTGCACCATTACACTTAGTTGAAGCGTAACTCTACGTATAAACTAAATATTTACGGAAGCCTCCAATCAGGAGTAACGGTTACTAAAATATCAGACAGACTGCGCTGCATCAATAAGCATTTTACCTGACAGACTTTAATTCTTTAGACATATATGATAATGCTGACATTTACACTCGCTTACATTTTAAGAAAGATAACATTATGTGAGTAGATTACTTTGTTAGCGGCTCATCAACACGAACCCGTCCTACAGCGCGCCGCTGAGTGCATCTGTCCCATCGCTCTGTGTTGTGCATGTCAAATAAAATGTTTTTTTGTATCATCACTTGTTTATCCTTATTCAATTTGTTTCAAATACAGTTTCTGAATGTTATTTACATATAAAAACAGTTATGTTATTCATGATTAAGTGCTTTACTTTACAGAGAGTTTACGACCTACTCTACGTTCTGCCTTACGAACAAATGGTCCAACGGAATAAAGTACAGAGTTAGTTACAAACTAGCTAGTAGTTACTAAGCCTCTAATGTGGGCTTTACGTTCCAATTTAAGAAAGAACTTACGAACGGCTGGTGCAACCCTACTGTCTTTGCTTCAAAGACAAAATAATATAGAATTAAATTGTTTTTCAGGTTGTACCTTTTCAAGCAAACAATATAAAACAGTTCAACATAACAGTAAGAGTATAAGACAGGAAGGCAGTGAAATGGGGAAGAAAGAATAGATTGTGAAATGCACACATCAAAAGAGGAAGTTCCTGGTCTGAAAAAAAGGAGTCTGTTTGTGACATCACGCACGGCATCATCTGTATCTGTGCAGACAGAGAACAGAGTGATCTGGTCCCACCACAATGACGTGACTAAAAGATTAAACCTACATGTTTTACAAAACAAGTACATGATCATGGCCATACTGACCATTGAGGTATTTATATTAGCCTACCGTTACGCTTGACAGAGGCCGAGTCTCAATTCTATCACAACACTTCACTTTTTAACAGTCAAAAAGTGAGATGTAGGATGCAAGTAGCAAAACGTAATATAACTATGTTATGATAGAAATGTTAATATCCAATGATGCATTTTCAGTAGATTATAAGCATGAGATTAACAATGAATATGTACAAATTGTGAATGCATTTAATCAACTTGGTTACACTTTACTGATAGCCTTTCATTTACCGACTCAATTTTAACCCTCAGACCTAAACCAGAATATAGTAAAACGTGTGACTTTGACAAAAGTATTTACAGGATGTGGTCAGGACAGACATTTAGCCAATATAGATTTAATAAAAATAGATCAAATGCATTACTTCACAATGAATTCTAGTTCTTTACGTTTTTTTTCTTTATACGTCTCCTTCTTTATTCCTTTAATTTTTCACAAGACCCCCTTAAATGTCTGCATCCTTAGTATACTGATATGTCCACTGCTGGTCTGACCTCAAACTTTAAAATACATTAGATAATAATTAAAATTCTATTATCATCCTGTTATTATTTACCAATGAAAAGTTTTATTAGAACAGGAAAAAATATATTCATTAAAATGTTCATGACGATTTGTTTACTTTTTTTTTTCACTGACACAAACGAAAATGAAAAAGGTGGACGTGGTTTTAAAGCTAATGTTATCCAATCTTTGCCCTCAAGATTTCTTAAAATGCACAGATGTAGACCAAGGGAATCAAATCCAACCCCAACCCCCCCTTGGACCTTGGTATTTCTAAAACCGAGTGTACGGCCATGTATATGATATGACGTTCAAACTGTAAAAGTATAATCTTTATTTATCAAATGTTTGTAACCAAAGCTTAATATCTAAAAAAACTCGTTAATCTTGCAAAACCATAAAGTTCTTTGATAAAAGCTTATATATGAAATAAAAAAAGTACACTGCATCCAATAAAGGTTCATGTCAACATATGTCGTGCCTGAGTACGCGACCCTACCTGTGCTGTAATCTCGGTCCAGAGGCGGGACATCCTCACTGAAGTCCATCGTAACATCTGAAATGTCCACCAGCTCATCATCACTGCTTAAATTGTGATAATTATCATCGCAAAACCCTCCGTTGTCCATCATCCCCCTGTCAGAGCAGAGAGAACATAAGGTCATAGGAGAGTGAGTGCACAAAAAAAAGTCATTCTTATTGAATTCATCATCCTCAGAAGCCTGTTGCGAAATTATGACGCTGTCTGCAGAGCAGATATGACAAATCAGGAATAAACCAGAAACAGTTCAACCGCTGAATGTCATTGTTAATGAATGCTTAACGTTGATATACTAAAAGGTATTGACTAATACAAGGTGTTCAGAAATCGTTCAGCTGGTCGCACTGTACGTTTCTGATTCACTAAAAAGAACCGGATTATATGAGTTATTTGTTCAGGAAACGGCAGGCTACACTGGTCGCATTGTACAGCTATGGCCAAAAGTTTTGGCTGTGACAAAAATATTGAGTTTTGCAAAGTTTGCAGCTTCAGTATTTGTAGATACCGCCTTCACCATTGCAGAGCTCACTCAATATTGGCAGGTGACACGATTCCATAGCCAACTCCTCATAAGGAGTCCTGGCGCTTGCTGGACACTCTAAGTCTAAGACGTCCTGAAGCATTCTTCAGAGCAGTTGAACCTCTCTCCTAGAAGTTTTTGATGATCCGGTAAATTGTTCTTTGAGATGCATGTGAGGCTATTTTGATGCAACTCGATGATGGCTGCACATCTTTGGAGGTAATCACTGCTAACACCAGAACACAAGGATTTGAAGCACTTCTTCCCTCCTTTTATAACAATCTGTCTGCTCTTATAATGCAGTTCAGAATGAGTGATTTTACCTGACTAGTACTTTTTCACACTCTCACATATGCTGACAAAAAACAGTGATTTTTTTTTTTTGCAATTATTTAAAATGCAAAAAATTTATTGTGTCATGATTTACTCACCCTCACGTTGTTCCAAGACCATATGAATTTCTTTCTTCTGCTGAACACAAAAGAAGAATTTTGAAGAGTGTTGGTAACTAAATAGATGGTGGGCCCAATTGACTTCACATCAACTGTTTGATTACCAATTTTCTTCCAAATATTTTCTTTTGTGTTCAACAGAAGAAAGAAATTCATACAGGTTTAGAGCAACTTGAGGGTGTGTAAGTTAAACGATGACAGAATTTTTGAGTTAATAAAGTTAACCCTTTAAAAAGAACCGGCTGATAACAGTCATTCATTCATTAGTGAATCGCTCTGCACTGTAACGTTAGTAGAGGCAATAGCCGTGTTAGTGTAAGAATGAAGTAGTGCAGAAAACACTGTCAGGCAATTTTAAAAATTAGAGAACTGATTAAATAACTGTTCAAGGAACAGAAAAGAAAAACATGCGGCTATACTATTTTTAATGGAATCGGTTCTGAATAAGAACCGGTTCTCCGTTTCTAATCCTACCGCAATGAAATGATGCATCGGTCTCCCACCTTTCACTGACGGGACTCCTCTGAAATATGATGATAGTGAACCTCAGTCAGGGTTCAAATTTCTCTACCACTTCCTTTCTATTTCTTAGCAAACGCTTTACAAACCAACTGATACAAAGTTACACAATTCCCCAAAATACAGCATCACCGACCGTCTGAGGGCTTTTGAGTAGTCAGTTACTTTTAAACTCTAAGCAAAACAATACCGATTTATTGACCGTGTACCGTGTTGTAAAGTCATCAGATAAGTTGTCAATTATTGTAGAGCTAGAGCAATAAAGTGACCCAGAGTTAGTGAAGTCCTCAGTTCAAGTAGCTGATAAGAGTTTTGCCTCCGAAGTTTTACCTCATCTAAACACAGCTGTCAATTGTCTTCGTAATCTGTCACTTGACTTTTAAATCGACGCTAATTTGTTCTTTTGAATGATTCAATCAGTCTAAATGATTCAGTTGCCTGGATCCGAACAAAAACATTTCTGATACATACCTCTTGGATTTTTAGCGTAGTACTTTAAGGCGCCAAGTCTTGTGATCTGGATTTTAAAGTGCCTCGGTTAAGCAATGCCGACGTAATCTTTCCCAGCTGTCTGCCAGTACCGTCAACTGGTGCGTCACACTTTACCCGGCAAAAGCATCTCACCGCTTCCTCACTCTTCTTCAGTGCAGTCACACAGACCTTTGGCGTGGGATAAAGTTTGAAGTGGAAGGGGTCTGTCCATGTACCGATACATCGCTGAGGGATTTTAGTTCAAGAACTGTCTCCTTCCTCAACAAAGTGAACTGTTTAGGGGTCAATAGCGCCACCCAACGTCTTGGTTCATTTTGTTGTTGTTTTTTATTTTAGAAACAAATTCTTTTGTTCAGCAAGGATGCATTAAATTGATCAAAAGTAACAGTTGAGACTTTTACATTTTGACAAAAAGTATATATTTTTCAAATAAATGCTGTTCTTTTTATCTCTATCCATCTAATAATTCTGTATTCTTTGTTAATAAGAAATGTTTCTTGAGCAGCGAATCGGCTAATTAGAATGATTTCTGAAGGATCATGTGACTGATGATCTGATGATAAGATATTCATTTAAATGTTAATATATATTAAAGCAGAAATCAGTTATTTAAATAGTAATACATTTACAACATTATAGTTAAAAAATCTATCTTTAACAATCTTTAAACAAACTCTTTAACAGTAGTGTATATTAAAAGGATAGTTCACCCAAAAAGGGTTCCAAACCTGTATGCGTTTGTTTCTTCTGTTGAACACAAAATAATATATTCTGAAGAATGTTGGTAATCAAACAGTTGAACAGTTGAATCAACAGAAGTAATCTCATACAGGTTTGGAATAACATGAGGGTGATGAGTAAATTATGACAACATTTTAATTTTTGGGTGAACTATCCCTTTAAACATTCTGTATTGTCACATGTAATACCAACATAAGAATACTTGCAAAAAAGCAGAAACAGCGATTAATTTCTTCATCTTTTATTTATCATTTTGTCTCTCTTCAAGGGTATCAGCAGGACTGTTTGGTGTGCGTTGTCACCCATAATAGGGGCAAACATTCAGAGAGAACAAATACTTTATCACATTGTTAAAGCTGTTAACACAAGTTACAGGTTAGGTTGTCAAATCTATGTAGGGGTGACCAGGAACTAGAGATAAAATCCTACTCCATTATCACTAAACCAGCAATTCATGTCTAGTTTAATTGTCGATTTGTAGTATTGTCTGCTAGCTTCCAGCAAATCCAAAAGCAATGCACAGTACATCCTTGTTACATCTTTGTTTCCTATTCTAAGAATAGAAGTCTATCATAATATATCTGAGTAAATACAGTTCAGGCTCTTGAACGCAGCCTGGCATGTATGGAGAATCACACTCTAGTGCTATATTATAGTTTCACTGGACTCAAAGCAAAGTTTCATACAGGGCCTCATCATTCCTGCAGGTCTTATTTTGTGTGGTGTGAAAAACAGAGTTACAACAGTATATGTGGAAAGAGCTACAGTACAATGCTTCTCCAGGACAAAATTGACAGATCATGACTAAAGTGCTAAAGTGAGGAGCTCTGCGGGTGGAAGAACACATCATGAGCACCAACAGGCCAATGAGAGACAGGCAGAGATTTACACCTAAACATACACAAACAACACTCATATTATGGTTAAGGCAGGTAGTTTCAAGCAGTCAGAGTGCGTGACGGACATGTCCAGCAGGAATTTTACATTGAATATGGTACAATTACAGTCATAAAAGCCCAAACTGCGTATGTAATAACTGCCTGTCGGAAACTAAAACAGCCTAAAATTGTCATTTTGCCACAAAACACAAAAAAGACCACATTAAGGTGGTTTCTCAAATTGTTTCCATAACAGTCACCATCATGCTGTGAAATGTGGCAAAATACAGACAAGTTTTTGCTATGCTTTGACCTCACAGTGTACGTTTGGTTCTCCTGGATGAGGCTGTGCTATTCTGCTGACGTGGATAGACAAATACATCACACCTTTTTATAATACTTCACAGGAAAACTAACATTCTTACACCAACATATGCTGTATTTAAACATGCCACAAAACTAGATGCGCTGACAGCTCGTTGCTGGAGCAGGGATGCAGAGAAATTGTGTGAGGCATTCTGGCTGTCTGACGACAAGATGGAGTAACATCTCGCCTTTATACATCTTCACAATGTTAAATAAATTGAATGTGAGAACAGCTACAACATTGGAAGATTTTGATATTGTGGAAGGACTTAGCGGGGGTCATCTGGGGCTGCGATCTTCTCCAGACTAGGCTCCATGCCCCAGATCTCACGGGCGTACTGGCCGATGGTGCGGTCACTGGAGAATTTGCCACAACCAGCAATGTTGTGGATGACCATCTTGGTCCATTCTTTAGTATTCTGTTTGAGAATTAGGAAGAGGAACAAGCTTCGAGTCAGTTCCAGCATTGTTGTGTTTCTGTTGTGTAAAGCCTTTGAAGAACAATGAATGTTAAGTACTATTTCCATCTATACATTTCAAGTGAATCGTATCACATATTTCCAAATAAACTGATGGAACAGCTATCATGAATGTAAAATGACATGCTAGTATACTCCTAATAAAACAAAATAAAAATGGTAGCACATATACACATTTGAAATTTAGGTAAAATAGACCAAAAGTATTAATCGCTCATCTTGTTCACATACACTACCGTTCAAAAGTTTGTGGGCTGTTTTTGAAAAAAAAAAAAAGTATCTTATGTTAATCAAGGCTGCATTGATCTATCTATCTATCTATCTATCTATATTAAATACACTGAAAACGGTAATATTGTGAAATATTATTACAATTTAAAATAGCTGTTTTCTATTTGATTATACAGTAAAGTGTAATTTATTCCTGTGATCAAAGCTGAATTTTCAGCATCATTGCTCCAGTCTTCAGTCTCACATGATCCATCAGAAATCATTCTAATATTCTGTTTTGCTGCTCAAGAAACATTTCTGTCTTTCATCATGTTTTTCAGGATTTTTTGATGAATAGAAAGTTTAAAAGAACAGCATTTATTTGAAATAGAAATTTTGTAACATTATATGTTTACTGTTACTCTTAATCAATTGAATGCATTCTTACCATTAATATCTATATAAAGGCTGGATATCTCGTCCGCGCGGCTGGCCAATGGAGGTCTACGTCCGCACCTGGCGGCCATCTTGTCACAGGCAGCTCGCTCACTCATAACATTGTGTTTTAATGGTGCATGTACTTTTTAAATAACCATAACTTGCTCAATTTTCTACCGATTTTCAAACGGTTTGGTTTGCTATAAACGTCAGAGATGTAGTTATGACACTGCATACTTATGAATAATAAGTGTATAAATAAATAATCATCCAGAATTATAGCCACGTTAACGTTAGTAAGAAACCAAACCGTTTGTAAATCCGTCAAGATTTCAACGAGATAAGAGTATTTGTGTTCGTGCTGATCACTCATCTTACATCAGATACCACAGAGTCCGGCAGAAAGCCTGCCTGTGACAAGATGGCCGCCGGTGATGACGATAGAGACTCCGCCGTAAGACATCTAGCCTTTATATAGATATCTATGATTCTTACTGAATAAAAGTAAAATATTACTGACTCAACTTCCTGAAAAACACTGAAACATTAGTGGCGTCATACAATATCATATTGTTTTAATACAAACCTTATACAAGGCGCTGACTTTCTCCTGACTTTTAATGTAGTCTTCATAGTCAGCAAACACCTTGAACCTGCAATCACAACCAAAATGTAATTTATATGATCACTATTAAACAGTGACTGTATGCGAAAGAGTGTTAAATTATTATGGTTATTATTAAATCACAACTATGAGTTTTGGTTTTTCTTACCTGTCATGGTGCATCAGCATCTTGACAATGTCTTGAAACTGGTCAGGCTCTGCAGGGCTGAAGAATCCTTTAGAAATCTGATCCATAGCTTGTTTCAGTTCTGGAATGCGGTTATAATACTCCATGGCATCGTATCTGGAAATAAACAAGCTTCAGTTAAGTTAAACAAGACTGTATCTAATACCCTCATGTGTAACCTTTCCTTTAGTACAAAAACTGAACAACTCTTTATCATTTTAATTTCTTCCTTATTTTGCTAATGACTACATCTGTCTATGTGGATGACGTTTTCATAAAATAAATGTCAATGGATACACTTTTTGTAAACATTAATGAATGAATACACTAAAAAATCTAGACTAATGCTACTCAGAAATATTGTTCATTGAAGCTTATGTCGTCACCCTTTCTTATCCAAAGCTTCCACATCCTTCACTCTCATGCCGAAGATGAAGAGGTTCTCCTCTCCCGCCTCTTCAGCCATCTCCACGTTAGCCCCATCCATGGTGCCGATGGTCAGAGCTCCATTCAGCATGAACTTCATGTTGCCTGTTCCAGAAGCTTCTGTTCCTGCTGTGGAGATCTGCTCGGACAGGTCAGCCGCAGGGATGACTGTAAAACGACAGAAAGAAGTAAGCAGAGCGAGAGGTGTGAGTAAATAAATAAGACAAGAAGCTGATCCAATATTAAAATCTGTTAGTAAGTTTGCATGATACCTTTCTCAGCCAGGGTGACCTTGTAGTTCTCAAGGAAGATGACTTTCAGACGATCTCCCACCACACTATCATTATTTACCACTTCTCCAATTGCCGTGATCAGTTTGATGATCATCTTAGCTGTGTGATACCCGGGGGCGGCCTTGAAGATGCATGATTTAACCAATTAGCATTCAGATTTCAGTAGAACAGATCTGACTGGTCAGTGAAGTGATCATTCTCACCTTTCCTCCAATCATAATTGTCCTTGGAGTCCAGGCCTTGTTAGGCTCCTTCTTGATGCCTGATCAGACAAAATAGTCAAGTTAAGTACACTGTAAAACAAAGTTGTAAATAAAGTAAAGATTATTGGAGTACGTTTTACAGGAAAATACTCTTTCGGTCTTTCCACTTCAAAATATCATGTTTAATTTAATGTTACTTGCAGTTTCTTTGTAATTATTTGTGAAATTTATAAGCAATTTCTGAGAGAAAATTGTTTTAAAAAATCCTACACCAAGGCCCAGTTTCACAAACAGCTAGGGCTTGGATTAAGGCAAGATTATGTTATGCAATTAATGTTCCAAACTTTCCAGTAGCATGCTAGAGATATGCATTAGTTTGTTTCGAAACTTGTAAAAAGAGAAATATTTAGCTGTTTCAAGAGAAACTTACGGTTGTAGAGGGTGATGATGTGCAGACAGTTCAACAGCTGCCTTTTGTATTCATGGATCCTCTTCACGTGGACATCAAACATGGAGTTTGGGTTAATCTTCACCTTATATTGTTCCTCTAGAAGCGCTGCAAATTTCATTTTATTCTCCTGAAAACAGCAAGGCAATAGATATGCCATGTAATGTTCATCCTTCTCATACAAATTATGATTATTGCACTAAAGTTCACTTTGAAAGTGGATTCTGTCTCACCTGTTTGACTTTGGCAATGTCTCGAATTAAAGCGTCATCATCCACAAACTTCAAGAGTTTCTTCAGCTGGCATAGGTCACGAATGTAGTCCTCTCCAATTCTCTAGCGATTAACATAAGATAGGGATTTTCGGTCAAATGTATTTCCGAAGGTTATAGTACTTTTTGTATGTTCCTCACTAGTGTTTACACATGTAATGATAGCTTTTTTTTCTTATCAGCAATGTTCCTCACCTCAGCGATAACCTCAGCCAGTCCAGGGTTACACATGACAAGCCAGCGACGAGGTGTGATACCATTGGTCTTGTTCTGAAACTTCTCTGGGTCCACTTCATAGAAGTCCTTAAAACTGTAAACAGAATCAACCCCACCAAATTAGATCCAACTGTTTTTTAGCCGTAAACATCTGTGAGTTATTCACCAGGGCTAATTCTGAGGCAATGTGATTAAGTCATAAAGAGGGACAAAAAATTGTGAAATAAACTATTTGGAATTACATATTGTTGAATTTGCAAGTCTATGAATGTCATTGCACTGAACAATGCTTGTGCTATCTTTCTTTAAAATAAATGCTACTTAGTTTATACACTACCGTACAAAGTTTAGGCTTTATTTGAAAGAAATTAATGCTTTTTTCAGCATGGATGCATTAAATTGATAAAAAGTGACAGTAAAGGCATTTAAAACTTTAAATTACTATTTAAAATAAATGCAGTTATTTTTAACTTTCTATTAATTAAAAAACCCTAAAAAATAGCATGTTTCCACAAAAATATTAAGCAGCACAACTGTATTCATTGATAATAATAAGACATGTTTCCTGAGCAGTAAATCAGCATATTAGAATGATTTCTGAATGTGACACTGGAGTAATGATGCTGAAAATTCAGCTTTGCCATCACAATAATAAATTACAATAAAATATATTAAATAGAAAACAGTTGATTTGAATTGTAATAATATTTCCCAAATAATATTACTGTTTCTATTGTATTTTTTATATAAAAACATTAAAAATGTCATTGATAAAAAATTAAAAACCCAAATTTTTTACAATATTATATATTTTTAAATGTGGCTTAAGTGTCCAGATACTTTTTGGGGCTACTATATATTCTAATATTTAAAAAAAGTTAGAAGACATACACAGTGTCTTTAATAATGTCGGAGTGGATTTGTGCCACGCCATTGACTGCATGAGAGCCAACGATGCAGAGATGAGCCATGTTGATCTTCTTCTGACCTCCCTCCTCAATGAGAGACATGCGTCTCATACGCTCATAATCACCAGGGTAGAGCGCAGAAATCCGCTAAGAAACAGGAAAGAAAATGTAAGGTCAAAACAGAGTGAAATGTACATGGGAAGTTACTTTTCTTCATCTGAGATTTCCTGGATGTTGAGTCATGCAGAGCAGAGGAGGTTGTTTAAATAACCTCACACAGCACAATTTACTCCTTATTTGGAGTCAACACAGTCCTACATTCCCAATGCAGTGAGTTACAGATCTCCCAACCCCTTCAAAAAACATTTATTTTTTTATCTACAATAAAATTAAAATGCAATGTTCCATGAACATAATGTCAGTTCCCAGACCTCCAGGTGACGTCGGTTAATCTCGTAGATGATCTCTAGGTGACGGGGCAGAAGGTTTTGGAACAGGTCAACGGGCCAGCGTTCCAGAGCTTCTGGTAAAACAGTGTGGTTAGTATATGCACAAGTACGCACAGTTATGTCCCATGCCTGAAAAGAAAAAGAGAATGAAAGAAAGTCACAGGAGAGTGAGAGAGAAAGAGAAATTAGAAGAGGTAGAGGTAGAGGAGTACAACATTATGGTGTTGGTCTACATGGGCAAATTTTCATTCTAGAAATCAACAAATTTAAACTTTATGTATGGTAACACTTTAAAATAAGGGGTAATTTGTTAACATTAGTTAACTACATTGGTTAACAAGAACTAATAATGAAATACTTCAACACTCTTTAAAATCAAGGTTCCAAAAGAGGGTTTTCGCAGCAATGCCATAGAAGAACAATTTTTGGTTCCTCAAAAAAATGTTCAGTGAGCAGAAAGAACCATTTTTTCTTCTAAATTACCTTTTTCAATGTTGAAAAACCTTTTGTGCAATGAAAAGGTTACATGGATGTTAGAGGTTCTTCACGGAACCATAAATGGCAATAAAGAACCTTTATTTCTAAGAGTGTACAACATTTATTAATGTTAGTCGATGTTAATTTCAACATTTGCTAATACATTTTTAATCAAAAGTTGTATTTGTTGACATTAATGCACTGTGAACTATTTTTACTATCTACCATTAAGTAAGATTAATAAATGCTTTAAAATATATTTATATATTGCTCAACATTCGTTCATGATAGCTAATGCATTTAGAAATGTTAACAAAAAAAGAAAAAAAACGTATTTATGTCCCTGTATTACCCTTTTATCAATTAACTGAATAGTCCTACAGTTTGACTGCAAATCCTTTTTTAAGCATGTTAAAGGAGAAGATGTGAATTTCTCACTCACCGTGTCCCACATCAGTTTCTCGTCATCCAACAGTATTCTCATCAGTTCAGGGATGGCCATTGCAGGATGAGTGTCATTCAGCTGTATAGCAACCTGAACGACACAGAAAAAGCAAAGAATCTCTGTAGTAGTTTTTAAATGTGAAACCAACTATGTTTATCCCAATGCATTAAGTTTTATTGCTCAGTCTCATTAATATGAATAAATGACACCAGATACAATGTGAATTGTGATGAATGTTCTCTACATCCCAGCATCTTAACATAAAACAAAGTGCTCCAGGGATGTCCCACCTTATCTGGCAGTGTGGTCAGATCCATGCGCACTTCCTCAATTGAGCCAAACTTGGAAGCTTTGAACCTGCGGATGATGTCTTGGAGAGTCGCAGCCACCACAAAATACTCCTGCTTCAGACGCAACTCTTTCCCCTCAAAGAACTGACATACACAAACAGGAGCATTCGTTTACATTTAGGCTCCAAGAGTCATGAGATTTGTTTCTTTATATGAACCACTTGAGTTGCACTCACGTTGTCGTTAGGGTAAAGCACACGAGAGATGTTCTCAGCAAGATTCTTATCCAGAACGGCCTGGATGTAACCACCAACATTAACTGTTCAGGAAGACAGAAAGTCAGTCATAAGATATAAGGCTCAAAGATACAGTATACCCATTCAATAGTTTGGGGTCAGTCAAATTTTGTCGAAATAAATTCATACTTTCATTCAGCAGGGATGCATTAAATTGATCAGAAGTGAAAGTAAAGACATTTATAATGTATTTATATATTTTATAATATATATTTTTTATATATTTATATATTATATAATATATTTTTTAAATAAATGCTGTGCTTTTAGACATCAAAGAATCCTGAAAAAATGTATCACAGTTTCCATAAAAATATTAAGCAACACAACTATCTGTATATTAAAAAAGAAGTGATTATTTTTTATTTGTAAATTTTAATAGTATTTTACAATATTACTGTTTTTGTTGTACCTTTTTTTTTTTTTAAACATGAAAAAATCTTACTGACCACAAACCTTTGAACAGTTGTGTATATGGACACAAATGGAATAGATCAGAGTTGATTTTATAAATAATATTACAAGTTATTTTCATAATAATAAATGAATGATAAAGCTTATGGTTGGTTCAAATGTCTGATGATCATTGATTGAAGAGAACTCACAGTCTTTGAGATGGAATTCACATGGAGCTTTGGCAGACCAGAGCCTCATTGTGTTAACAATGTTGTTTCTGTATCCTGGGACAGGTGTGTCATAAGGGAGAGCAAGGATCACCTGGTGAGACAAACAGGAACAGATTTAATAGGAAAACATGGAGATACATCTGTAAAAATGACACAATTCATCTGAGTCTTGCGTTGCATATTGGCCGTTCTGCTTTAGCTCTACTGAACTTCTTGATGTACACTCTGTTCAAACGTTTGGGGGCTGTAAGATTTTATGCTCACCAACAGCATTTAACATTATGCTTTATATTTTGTAACATTATGTCCTTACTGTCACTTTTAAACCATCTGTCCTTGCTGAATAAAAGCATTAATTTCCTTTAAAAGCAAAACTCTTACTGACTCCAAACTTTTGAATAGTAATGTACTAGAAAAATTGTATTTTACAATATGAAAAATGGCATTTCCATACCAATTAAATGCAGATACATGGTTTCTATGCTCTCACCTGTGTGTCCACCCATTTCACTCCATCAGGGTGGTGCTCCACCCGACCATAGAAATGCACAGGACGCATGTATTCAGGCCGGGCTTTTTCCCAAGGGTTTCCATAGCGCAGCCAATCATCCGCCTCCTCCACCTGTCAGATGATGTCAGTTGTTTACCGAGATCCAAATTAATCAAAGGAAGAGAAATACATTTAATTGAGATATTGTTGCAAGTTTGTTTTACCTGCCAGCCCTTCACGATTTTCTGATTAAAGATTCCAAACTCATAACGGATTCCATATCCATACGCTGCCAGGCCCAAGGTTGCCATGGAGTCCAGGAAGCAAGCTGAAGAGGAATAGAAATTAAAGTGAATCAAAGCACCAACTCGACAGTGCAAGCCTCCATTAATCTTGTGATCAGTGCATTTAAAGAGACTGAGTTCACCTGCCAATCGACCAAGGCCTCCGTTGCCCAGGCCAGCATCCTCCTCCATGTCCTGCAGCTCCTCCATATCCAGACCCAACTGAGAAGAAACAGCACATGAGAGCCAGGCAGGACCAAATCCGGTGTATAACTTCTCAAGAGTACAAAACATGCCCTGTTGCATGGTTTCATCTTTCATCAACATATCTTTATAGTCATTCTCAGCATAGCAGTGCTGATATAGAATGATTTGCCTTTCATATTCTAATGAATAGGATTAAAGGACCAGGGGCAGCTATTCCAAGATGAGCAGTATTACAGTACATACAGCACCAGATCTCTATTTTATATATTTATGATTATACTATCACTGATGATGATAATTACTGTTAATGGCTTCTTTTCTTTATACAAAATGATTTTTTAAAGGTAAAGTATTGAGGTTAATGGAATAATAACAGATAATGGTCCCCAGGTATTATAGATCTCCTCTATTTGGACAAATGAATATAGTCCCACCCCATACACACCACTGGTTGAGCCAATGTTGTTATGTAGAGCCCAGCTGGCCACTCACACAGATTGTCTTTAAAGGTGACATATTTACCTTTCCACAAGATGTAATATAAATCTATGGTGTCCCTAGAATGTGTCTGTGAAATTACAGCTCAAAATACCCCCCCAAGATAATTTATTATAGCTTGTTAAATTTGCCCTTTTTTGGGTGTGAGCAACAACATGCCGTTTTTGTGTGTCCCTTTAAAGGGGTCATCGGATGCAAAATTCACTTTTATATGGTGTTTGCATATAAATGTGTCTTTGCAGTGTGTGGACACAACCACCATACAATGAAAAAAATCCATTCACTCCTATTTTTTTAATCCTCAAAAAGCCTAAACACGCTCAATAATCAAGCAGTTTGGATTTTCTGAGCAATATTGCTCATGCTCCACCCACGACCACTGACGGACTGTCCCGTATTAGCATATTTCCTCCCTCAGCCATTTGTATACTTTCAGCGAGGCAGGTTGCCATGGCAGCACTTTGTGTCTTGTGTCGACATCATAGACAGTAAAAGAAATGGACACAGCGACCCCATAGATTTCAACGGAGAAAACTGAAGCCCTTTAGAAGCACTCACTTCCTGATAGCCAAGCGTACTGCGCATGCTCAAACTGAGCTTGACGACGGAGATGTGACGTGAGCAACCTAGTAGCTGCGCCAGCCGAAATCTGAATCATTCCCTTCCGAATCTCACAGAGCCGGAGATCGTGAGTATTAGCTGTTCATGAGCTCGCAGCAGGAGCAACTTTATGACTCTCCATAAATGGGCCTGTCCCTTGACTTTATGCCTCCACGGCCCCCCGATTGCCCGCGAGCTCATCCTGTCTGTACAGTCATTTCTCTTGTGTGCGCCAGAGAGTCGCAGGGTTATGACGCAGTCGTTAGCCTAAATTTACAAAAACGGCTTCTAAATCGGCCATAACGTAAGATACACAGTAATGGAGCCTTTTATACATTGTCGTGTTTCTTTAGAAATAAATAATGGACAAATGGAGTCTTTGGACATCTCCGATGTAAAGTTATTCGCTGTCAAAGTGACGCCAAAATGAATGGGAGTCAATGGAATGCTAACAGCAGGTGATAGTCAGCTACAATGGCGGCGCCCAGAGAGGCTTCAGTTTCCGGTTGATGGATTACCCCCTTGGTCGACATGCTCCATGGCAGAGAGGGATGGGGTGAGCAGTTGCTCATTATCATTTAAAGAGACATGCACCGAAACGGGTCGCTGTGAACAGAGCTGTTTTTGAGGAGCTAAAAAGGGTGTTGTTTTACACAACCATTGAGGAATTTTACCCAAAGTATGTTACAAACTTTACACGAAGACCCTAAAGAATCATACCAACTTGTGGAAAATGGGCATCCGATGACCCCTTTAAATGCAAATGAGCTGCTGCTCCCCGTCCCCGTTCAGAAGAGAGCAATCCTTTACACGAGCTTCGGATACTCCGGCAATAACAAAACACGTGAATCTCACTCATCCAAAATCTCACAAATAACCAGTAGCGAGTGCAGCCTTACGGAAAGACTCAGGAAGAGGTTGCAACTTTTAGACGCACATGGATGTTTCTGAATGGTTAGTGCATACGTTTATGTATAAATATATACATTTATGTAGTTGTTGTGGAGTTACATTAATTCATCGACTTGCATGTGATGTGATGTTTAACCTTTACACAAGTTGACACAGACAGACAGCTGTGACATTTTTTGGTCAAATAGTCTTCAGTGCTCGTCTGTGCAACCAATGACAGAACAGTTTGCATGCTTTGCTGGAACTTTTGCCATTGTGTTAGAACTGCAAAAAAAAAAAAAAGGTTACACTGTTGTCGCTTGTGAAAACCAAATGGCGCCGCCGTGGGTGGAAACGTGCAGATTGAGGGGCGGTTATATTATAATAAGATCCCCTTCCTAGGACAGAACGGGAGCGAAATCTCCCTGCGAAAATCGGATTTAAAACACAGAGAAAGGCTTACCAAAACAAAGTTACTGGGTTGCCACTTTTCATGTTTTCTGGGTTGGTAGATGCACCGGGGACCCAATATGTCCCCTTTAAAAAGACAACTGCTAATAAGTGGCTAAATGGAATTACAAAGGTTAAGTGTCATCATGTCGAACAGGTAAACTCATCTACACACTAGTCCGTTTCACAGCCTCGTTGTGTTTTAAATTGTGCTCTTTCCAACTCAATCTATCAGAGAAAATGTTTAGCTTCAGGGCTGCCAACTCTCACGCATTCACCGTGAGACTCACGCAATTGAGCCAATTCTCACGCTCTCACGCCACACCCCCGATTTCTCACGCTGAAGTGTCAACCCGGTCGGTCAAATGCCTGAAAGATAAGTTTATCTATAGATCTACCAGTTGAGCCATTCGTGATCGACTAGTTTTACCGCAAATTAGTTAAAATATCCTGTAATCTATAGCGAGCGAGCGTGCATGCGAGACAGATGTGTTGAGCTCTTAACGGCGCGCTCCTAACCGCGCACGACGGCAGAGAGGTGATTAAGCGAGCTTGCGTGTCTTTCGCAACACAACCCAGTGGACAGTTACACTGTATTGAGACAGTTGAGAAATAATAATATTTTTACAGTTTTCAACAATAATTGTCATTGTTGAACCCTTGCTCTTATTAAATTTCTGATTTCTCAGTTTTGTCATTATTTTAGCAAATCATTTATTTTATATGTTTTGTGACAGTTTGTTTTAAGAAGTTTTTAAAGAGTTAGTAAAAGAGTAAAGTAAAAGTTAAAACTTTTTTATTTAAGTAGGCATCTATTTTTTATTAAGTAGGCCTATTTATTTTGTATTAATACATAACCTTACTGTATTCATTCATAATGTATCATTATTGCGTGACATTTGTGTCAATAATCGTCAAGCACAGGGGACTCCGCGTAGTGGGAGGGGGCCCCCAAATCAAATTCTGCTTAGGGCCCCCAAAAGGCTCGGACCGGCTCTGGAGACCAGACAGACAGTGTGAGTTTTTTGTGACAATTGTGAGGGAAATACACAATTTATTCCCATAAACTGTGTAGTCAGCCGTTCTCCCTGCCATCTGCACCGTGTGAATAGTGAACGCAGGCAGGTCAGTGAGTTACAGGGCGCTCCTTGTCTCCATCCAGTTTAGGCTGGTAATAGGCCTGTTATATAGTTTATATAGAATTAAGTTAGCAATAGCAGAGTTGTTTGTTTTGCAGCACTGAGCAGTTATTTTACATAAATTATATTTACATAACTTTATCATAAAAACAGTACAAAAGCATTTCCAGATGACAAATATGGACATAGTAGTTAATGTTAATTATTGTTTTCTAAGAACAGAATGTCAATTAAAATGTTAAATGTAAAATTAAATGTAATGTAAATCTCCCAAGAAATTCTGTACAGATACCAAATACTTTGACAATCAATATATACTTAATACACTTCTGCTAATGCAAGGATTTTGTGTTTGTATTTTTCCCCACACCAAGCCACGCCCCTCAATAAGCCCCTCCCCCCATAACCCAAGCCCCGCCCCCCAAAATCTCACTCTAAGCTGAACTCAAAAGTTGGCAGCCCTGTAGCTTAGAGATGGTGACGTTGAAGTCATGCGACCGTGGTGTAATTCATTTATAGCCTACGTTTAGATTTGTACTTGTATTTAGGCTTCAGAATTCATAAAAGTTCAGAATTTATCTAGAATGCATTAAAGTTGTGTTCATTTGTGAAGATTATCATGATGAACAAAACATGTAAGAATCAAACTTTTGTTAGTCATAGAGCTTATTTTCAGCAATAATCCCAAAAATCCTACTGGGTTTTTGACAAGGGAACTTGCAAGGTGATGCTAACTTCAGGGTTGGCCTACAAAAATATGTCATCTCATCCCAGCAGAACTATTTGCTTTTTGCAGTGTTCAGTTGTACATATCTCCTCTCACCTGATAGATGGCCTCGTCACAAGCATTCTCCAAAGCTAAGTTTACCATGGTGTTTTGAAGGGTCCGACCCATGTAGAATTCCAGAGAAAGATAGTACACACGCTACAAGTCGGGACAAAGAAGAAGAAAGGGAAAAAAAGGTAAAGACAAGATAATTAAAAGTAAAAAATCATGTTTTAATACTTAACACCAACAGCTGAGAGCCATTTAGAGCAACAGTGAAGTAGGAGCCATAAAAGCCCCTGCTGAGCAGACAAATAATAGTGACAAATAATATTGTGACAGGTGCGCAACACAAGCCTAATCTGTATTCCATGTCTTGAGACCTCATTGACCGCCAACGCAAAACATTCAATCGTTGAAGGTTGCCCAATGACACAGCTACCATGGAGGATTTGCTAGTAAACAAAAGCTAGCTTGTAATATTTCAGTCTCTTGGCTATAAATGATAACAAAGGTTAGGAAAGAAGAATGTTTGTGTGCTATGTCTAAAATGCTGCTAAAAATAGCAGCATTAGCTGTCAGCGTTTAAGGTTAAATACTCTGTCAGGATGCCAGCCACCCAGATAAAGATGACACAAATTCCAAATACAACAGTTTCCTACCCTTCAATAATTTTTTTACTTGAAGTATTTTTTATTTTTTTATTTTAGACTATCAATTTTTTTTTGAAAACATAATTTCAATTTCCTGTAGGAATTGGGTAAGCTTCGGTTTTGTGATTACTTATGCGTTCCTTTCCCAGCAAAATTACAGTTTTGGATTTATGAGTAAAATAATGTCTGTGGTAGACATTAGCCAACTAAGTTGCTAATGAGGGCTAAAATGATTGACTAGCCTCCTTGTGACAACCAGCCTTCCCCTTTCAGGTTTTAGGACTGGACGACAGACTGAACGTTGTAAGATAGAAAGGACCAATCACAATTATGTATGCAAATGAGCACAAGAAAGAAAAGAAATCCCAATGAGGTAGGCTATACGCATCAATTATAATGACATTGTGATGACAACAACATTGTATATCGATGGGAGATTTTTAAATTGTAATTTAAACGTGTAAAGTCTAAAATTATGTTTAAAAAAAACCAATAAATAAGGTTTTCGTCTGGAATGAGTAACTTATATTCAGCGGTTCAGCGTTGTAATCTAAAAGATGTTTCGAATAGGCATTACAGAAATTGGGTTTTTAGATTGTTGCTACTTGTTTAAATATATACAAGAATGTGCACATATATACCGTAAATAACTCGCACTCAACGATTCAAAAATAATTAGACCTGTTGATACTTGTCAATGGCACATAGAAAAGCTCTCCATACATTCTGCGAGCATTGAATTGAAGGCGCTCCTGACATCAGTCATGGAGAGAGATTATGTAATTATTAAAAAAAGCCCTACCATCTGCTGAAACATTAGCATTAAACGTCATTTCCTGGTGCAATACAAATACGTCAATATTAAACCTCCAACAGTGATAGAAATGTTTCTTTTTACATTTTGCAATGTTGCTACTCTACTGCGCAACATAATGTCCCCTAATGTGTGATCCGACCCCTCCTCCCTCCTGTCAGTGGTGTACGTGCGGCCCCGATCTGTAGGATGAAACTGCGGCATTCGAGTTTCTTACTTTCGGGTCTTTCTCGTAGTAATGCTGCTGCGTCCGGATCCATCTTCCCACCAAATGGTCGCGCACGGTGTGCGCCAATGCGAAGTAGTAGTCGCGCTTCGTTGCAACATTACGGTCCTTAACCAAAGTAAAGTGCAGATGGCGATTAAAATTGGTCTTGAGGTCCGAGACGTTTTCAACCCCGGCGAGACCTCGCACGGAAATTTGCTTCCTCTTCTCTTGGTCCGTCAATGGCTTGGACATCTTGTAATAGTGGGTTTCGTGCACCAGGAATATTAGTCTACGAGACTACGTGATGCCTGCTGCGTGTGTTGCGACTGTTTTTTTTCTTTACAGTCTATGGTTGTGACGCGCGTCACCGTGATCTCCAGCTGATGCTTCAGGGTCAAGCGCGCTCATTGGCGGCGGGCACACTCTCTCTCTATATAGGCAATATACATGACTACTATATATTTACAGGCTGGGCGGGCCACAATAAATGTAGGCAAGGCAAGTTTATTTATATAGCACATTTCATACACAATGGAAATTTAAAGTACTTTAAATTAAAAAATATTTGTTTAAAGCATAAAATAATCATAACAGGTGTTTAAGAAATAATAAAACACATTTAAATAAAAATAGATTAAAAAAGCAATTACAAACTAAGAAGAAAATCGAATAATAGTTCCCAGAAGACAATTGTGAAATACGAATGACAGATTTACCCGTTGTAAAATGCAAAAGACTTCGTTTCGGACTTCAGAGTGGTTAAAAAAAAAAAAGAAAAAAAAAGAGAGACAGCAACAGGACCCATGCGAAAACAAGGATACATATCGGAAGGGCATTAAATGCAGTCACGCAATGCTGATGTTGAACATTAACAATTTGAGAACAAAGTAATTTGCACGGTTTTGCGTGATATGATACACGATTGTTAGATTTAATCAGCGTGATTTACTGCAATGTCAGAAGCAGAACAAAAGTGGATGTTTCTTACTTGTTCAGATGACATTTTCTGGTGAAAATTCTTGTTGGTCATACTTCCAAAAAGAATAATCTGTGATTGCGAATGCCGGTGACTGACAGCCTCACAGTCTCCTCAAACTTTGTGTGTAACCCGCGCTGTGCCGTGTCGAAGTACAACTCACGTAAAGTTGATAATTCCGCTAATAACTGCAATTGCCGATTTCAAACAGAGATGGCGACAGAGGAAAAACTGCGGACTGCAGCTTTAACAAAACAGATGTGAAAGATTGACACCAACAATTCGACACCATGCCAACTTTTATTTAGTTGAATGCTTCATTACAAAAATATTGAAATACATTTGGTGGAAGGCATTAATGAAAAGTTCTTTTAAATAAAAACAATTTTGGGAGGGGTGGGGGTACAAGGTGAGCACAAAAATTAGGCTATACAGACCACCTAATAGAGTAAGCCAATCATCTACAACATCTTGAAGACATAAATGTCTTTTTATACTATGCAGCAACAAATGCACAGTTGGTTAAGAGTGTAATACACTAGTTGTTTATACACCTGTTGGAATGTTGCTAACTGAATCGTAAGCAGATGTCATTTTTACTTGCTGGAGACGGTTTGAAATGAAACATGAAATAGCAGGCTGGCAGAAACAAAAACCAAACACACATTCCTTGCACAACATCATTTTGAACAAATATTATCCTAACAGTTCAAATACTACAGTTAAAAATCATTAACAATTGAAGCAAATTTACAAATAAATCACACCGTCTCTCACACTCTCTCTAGCTCGATTTTGAAGTTTGAACCGAGACCAATCAATAGAAAAAAATAAACCTTTAGCAACTAATCACATCAAGCTGTTAAATGAACAGAACAAGGTATAGTCCTGTGATGTATCTTTGTATATATTTTAGGCATCACCGCATGGTCACAGGGCCACAGAGACTAAATTGAGCCTTTAACTCTGGGGCGGAGGGGGTGGAGGTGCAGGAGGCATCCCGTACGGTGGCATACCGGGAATCCCCATCATGGTCACAAAGTTAGGGTCCATGGGTGGGGGTGGGGGAGGGGGTGCATACATCATGCCTGCTGAGCCAGGTGGAGGGGGTGGAGGCGGCGGGGGGGCACCAGGAGGAAGTGGGGGTTGGACCCCAGGTGGAGGCGGGACCATAGAAGGGGTACCCATGGGCGGAGGGGGCTGAGCGGCTGAGGTGGCCGTCTGCTGAGGCTGTTGCCAGGGTGGCAGGTTTCCAGTGGCAGAAGTGGATGTGGTGGTTGTATCTGGGAAAGCGGCAAAAAAAAAAAAGTAGTAAATCAGTGACTAAAGGAAAACCTTTATTGATATCAAATGTGTACTACTGTAATACACTTACTCTGTTGCCATGGCAGTGGAGCACTGGTTGCCATGCTGCTGGTGGGTGGTGGGGGAGGGGCCTGCTGTTGCCATGGTGGCAGAGGTCCTGATGGTGGAGGTGGTGGTTGGTTGTTGGGGGGAGGTGGAGGTGGGGGCATCATACTCATGGGTGGCGGCAATAAACCTGATCACCAGGCAAGGGAGTAAAACAATGAGCTTTCTGGAAAACTAAGTATCCAAGTATGAAAGCAAGCATACTTCAATATTACCAAACACAGATGTCAGTTGGGAGTTTTGTGGTCAAATAAGCTTGGATATAAACAGAAGCTTTTGTCCTCTGATAAAGATAATTATATACTTCCATCTTTCCAGGGAAATGTTTTAATACACTTCATTAAGCAAGAATTGCACGACTGAAAGTCTAAACATCACGGGCTATACTCACTCATGTGGTGTCCGGGTGGTGCTGGGCCTTGGCCCATTGGGGGAGGGGGCGGCTGCATCCAGGGTGGTGGCATTCCATTGGGGTTTGGTGGCATAGGAGGGACGCCCATGTTTGGCATTGGTGGAGGGAAGTTATGAGGGCCACTAGGACCCTGGTGCATGCTGTGGAAATTCCTGTTATCGGTAGGGCCTGAATTCATCCAAGGAGGACGATTCTGAAAGGTGTTTGAGAGAGAGAGATATGAGTTTTTGTGAAAAAGTAATAGTTATATTCAGCAAGGATGCATTAAATTGATCAAAAGTAAGAGTAGAGACAACAAACTATTTAAAACAAATCCTTTTCTCTTGAATTTTCAATTCATCAAAGAACCCTGAAAAAAATATATCACCGTTTCCAACAACTGGTTGTTGAGCATTGATATGAAATGTTTCTTGAGCATCAAATCAAGCATATTAGAATGACTTCTGAAGGATCATGTGACAATGAAGACAGGAGTAATGTTGCTGAAAATTCAGCTTTGCAATTACAGGAATAAACTACCTTTTAAAATATATCGAATAATATTGGATTTTTTTTTTACTGTATTTTTGATCAAATCAATGCAGCCCTTGGTGACTATATCTACAATACAAAAAAACTAACATTAGAACAGTAATGTATGTGTGCATATCATGAAGAATTGTCGATGTCTTTGGTCTTACTGGTGGTTGTTGGTTGTTGTTGGGTCCTGATGAACGAGATCCACTAGTGGGAGGATTGTGGCCACCACCGGAAGAAGGGACTGGAGCCTCTCCTAATTCTGCCATGAGAGACAAGTACTCTTTATCCATACGGGCCTTATCCTGAGCAGACTGGGGTGGTTCGCCTGGCCGGGGAGCAAAGGAACTGCAGGGAAGAGAAATAAAATTAACCCTAAGTCTGAACTTTACTTGACATAACCAGAAGGTGCTAAACTTCTTGGAGGGGATTTATTTTTTAATATAATAAATAATTGCTGATCACTGATGGGCTTGCCTGGTAAACTTGCAGTCTGATGAGATGTGACCTGCTCCTCCACACTTTGTACAGACAGTTGTGTTTGTGATGCTGCGAGGCTCTGTGCTCTGCCATGGGCGCAAGATCCTAAAAGAAAAAAGTACACATTGATGAGTATAAAATACATCTACAACATTTACTCGCCCTGTTGCTCTGAGAAAAGGGTCAAGAAGTCTGTGTGCAGTCTCCCACCTGTTATCATCCTCTCTCAGAGTGCCATTGAGTCGTGCCAGCTCCCTCAGTTGCATCTTTCTTAGATCATTCTGGTCCTCAGGGGTCTCAATGCCCTGCTTGAGGATATTACGGATCTGTGGACAAAAAGAAAGCACTTAGAAACATGCAATAGAATGATTGTTGAAGCCGATAGCTATGCTTTTTCATTAAACTGATTTCTAATGCGTTTTCGAATTCCAGGTGCAAGAATGTCTGAAGAAGACTCACCTGCTCTACAGCTTTCTTCACATTCTCCATGGTGTTAGCAGTGACCAGTGCATGAAGAGGTTCATCTTCTCCTGGAAGCATCTGTCCATCCTTACGGCCCACCTTCCCTTCCTTCACTGAACCTTTACCACGAATCATGATTTTAGCACAGCACTCCTTCTCAATGTTCTTCAGAGTGTTTCCACTGGAGAAACAAGCAATAGACCAAGTTAGTTTAAGTAGAGACTACGGATTCAGCAAACATTGAGTTTAAAATCATGCAGCTTACCGTGGACCAATCAAAAGCCCAACAAAGTTGATCTCTGGATATTCATCCTGAGGAATCATCACCTTATCACTAACCCGAGTAGCTGGTGGTCTGAGTAAGAAGAAAAACAAGTAAATATCAGACACCGTAGAACCAGAGAGAAAAGAAAAGAATTTGTATAAGCCATACTTGTAGTCAGCAGGGGGTTTGAATTCAGGGTTCAGCCCCACCATCTCTGTGATGAGAGAATGTCTCTCTTCCTCCAGCTTCTTGCGTGTACGATATTCACGCGTGTTAAGCCTCTTGCCCTCACTGTTGTAGATGGGCTCAGGAGATGGAGATCTGTAAAAAGGAAAGAACAACAGAAAGATGCAGCACAGTCAAAATCATAACACAGTACTAACACCCTCAACAGTTAAACATTCAATGGCTTGCCTACTCTTAACTGACATGGTTTGACTTGTTCTGTGGTCATAAAAAAAAAAAAAAGTGCATGGGATGCCCCGGAGTGCTCACATTCTAATGAGACGAGAGCGAAATAAAAGTGGCCACTGGAAAACTTATATTGAACCATTTAGAAAGGGGAAAAAACTTCAGATTAAAGAGCTTGAAGCTAAGTAAAGCTTTTTTTTTTTAAAGGGCGACAAAACTTTGTATCAAGGAGCCCACTAAATTTTTGAACATTAATAAAACGTGTCTGTCTCAATATTATTTGGGGGATGAAAAATAGGACAAATATCTGAGACAAATGG